GATAAAAGACTAGATAACCATTTGAATAAAAAGATAAACGGAACTCACAATTTTTCTCCCTAAGTTAAGTTTGACTTTATGTTTGATTTAGAAAATATGTTCTCTTTATGGACACTGATTCGTCTCATCATCCATTCAGAACGGTCCTAGAAGAGAGGTGTAAAAGTGTTAGCTTTGGGAATAACAAATTTGTCTCGAAGCATATAAAGTCATGTTTGTATCGGTGAGTGCTTTTATAATTATCCAACTTGATGGCAAGAGAGCTAAGATAAATTGTTAGTTTCTTGGCTTTATTAGAGGATGTAATGATTGCAAGTTTTAAACTGTTGATTCAGTCAAGGCTTTTATGCTGGCTTTTGAAATGGTGACAAGATATTTTGCGACAAAAACATTTTTTATGAAATCACCAAATTTTGCCAAGACAGTAGCTTTATATTTGAAAAGAAAATATAGAAATACATTTAAACAAAAACTCTTTAATAATTACAAAAGGCCGATAGAAAACACTTAAGCAAATGTGCCACAGGGCTCAATTCTTGCACCATTGCTCTTCAACCTTTATATAAATGATATCTTTTTCTTTATCCAGGAGGACTCCTTGTGTAACTTGCAGATGATAACACAATTTCAACTTCTGCTAGGAATTCTGATGAACTCCATAGATTAGTGCAACTTAACACCAATAAATGCATTGGCAGGTTTTCTTCAAGTCATATGACAGCCAATCCATCTAAATTTTAGTCGCTAAGTGTTGGTAATAACGACAATTATATTACAGAATTTTAAATATACGATAGCTTCGCACTATTGTTTACACTATTGTAAAATGAAAATATAAAAAGGTATTATGTTATCGCATGCAATATTTCATATCATTTTAGTTTGGAAGACACTTTTATGAAAAGGGCACTATGACCCTCTAGCAATTTCTATAAAAGAGAAAGAGGGGCGGTTGCCCTTTCACGACCCCTCTCCGGCGTCCCTGGTTCCAGCCATTGACTGTTCTTGATCACTTGTTGATTTATCTGGTCTCGTTTCCCTTTCTTTCATAGCTGGAGACGGATATCGCCCTAATCTGCTTCTCACTACCACCAATAACTGTTTATACATAGTTGAACTGACAGTGGGACTCTCAACGAATCTAAATTCAAACGCTGCGAAGAAAGGCTCAAAGTGTTTTCCACAAGTTTCTCATCTTTCAGTACTCTGCCATTAGATTTGTGAAGCTCTCCATCAGCTGTCCTGGCAAATTTTGTAAATCATGCAACTCATTCAATGCAATATTCGACAATCTCAGCCTTGCAACAAGACGCCAAAATTAAATCATTTAAAAAATCAAAACATGGCCATTCAATCATTGTGCTATATCTTCTGTAAAAAGAAATGAGTCTCTAGATTCTCCTGAACTCTCCTCTTAACCATGTCTTCCCTCGATCAAAAAGGTTTTGAGACTGTAGTTTTTATGCTTGCATTACCCTCTGTACCAGGTTTGCCAATTGAAAATTACCAAACTATTATAAAGCCTGCAGTTGTATCATTACATGAAATGAATATGAATAAAGTTTCAAAAAATTATTGTCAACACCATTGCTATCATTATCATTCTACCCCATTTGGAAGTGCAAATTTTTCCCATGCTTGTCATCTTAGGTTTTGACACCCAATTCAGGCAACCTGCGGTACACATATTTGCCACCTGAAATGAATGAATGAATGAATGAATGAATAAATGAATGAATGAATGGATGAATGGATGAATGAATGAATGAATGAATGAATGGATGAATGAATGAATGAATGAATGAATGAATGAATGAATGAATGAATGAATGAATGAATGAATGAATGAATGAATGAATGAATGAATGAATGAATGAATGAATGAATGAATGAATGAATAAATGAATAAATAAAGAAATGAATGAATAAATAAAAAAATAAATAAATGAGTAAATCAATGAATAAATCAATGAATAAATGAATAAACGAATAAATGAATAAATGAGTGAATAAATAAATGAATGAATAAATAAAAAAATTAATAAATGAGTAAATCAATGAATAAATCAATGAATAAATGAATAAACGAATAAATGAACAAATGAGTGAATGAATGAATGAATGAATAAATGAATAAATGAATAAATGAATAAATGAATAAATGAATGAATAAATGGATGAATGAATAAATGAATAAATGAATAAATGAATAAATGAATAAATGAATAAATGAATGAATGAATGAATGAATGAATAAATTAATGAATGAATGAATGAATGAATGAATGAATGAATGAATGAAGGAATGAATGAATGAATGAATGAATGAATGAATGAATGAATGAATGAATGAATGAATGAATGAATGAACGAATGAATGAATGAATGAATGAATGAATGCATGAACGAATGAACGAATGAACGAATGAATGAATGAATGAATGAATGAATGAATGAATGAATGAATGAATGAATGAATGAATGAATGAATGAATGAATGAATGAATAAATGAATGAATGAATGAATGAATGAATGAACGAATGAATGAATGAATGAATGAATGAATGAATGAATGAATGAATGAATGAATGAATGAATGAATGAATGAATGAACGAATCAAGCCGGAAGCTTGGGGAGTTTTCGAACAATTGATTTGTCCTAAATATTATGTGAACTCAGTTTGTAGAGTTTAGGTAGCAAACCAGATGAAAATACAGTATTCAAGGTGTTGAATTTTGTAGAAAATCTGATTCTAAAGAATTACGAGCCTTCAAGTATTTTTGGCGTAATATTTCATCCTGGGTGACAACTGACGGTCAAGTTAATGATGAAATCCCTCATCTAAATATAAGGCAGCTCTTTATCTAGGGTCATCCACATCTTCACAGAAATATAGCAAATTGCCTCGTATCGATACACAATAACTGAATACGGTCGAGTTTTCATTCGATCGACGTACTACTAAAATCCATCAAACAGTTGCGGTGGTTGTGCGGACTCGCATTTGCGAAAACGCTTAGCCGTATCAACAGTTGAAGACTTTCAATCATCATGTCCAAACAAACCTAAAGATGGCGATGTAAAGATTTAATCTTAGTTTCCTTGCCAGCCAGTCGTTAAACTGTGAAAACACGCACTTGTATAAACAAGGATTTACAAGTTTGAGAAGCAAGTGGTTGTTTCCAAACTGTTTCTAAGCAGATTAGTTTCTATTTTGTGTAGGTTGAACTGAGAGGGGTTGTTGCTAAGCAATGCTGCGCAGGGGCGGATCTAGCGAAAATTCTGAGTGGAGCAGAACCTGAGGGGGTTGGGGGGCGGAGCCCCCGAAAAATTTTTTATGACCACGCCCTTTAGATTCTCTGAAAACGACTTTAATTTCATGCGAATCTCAGATAAAATTTCTAACTAGCACAAACTTTTAAATAAAGCTAGTAGCAATTTAGAGGTTATAAAAATTTTGTTAAAAAACTGCTTGAAACTGTACTTTAGTTGACGGAATTCTTTCTCAACAGAAACACGCAACTAACTCGGAATTTTAAAATAATAAACCAAACTGAATCTTTTATCTTTTCACGGCAGTAAAATTTCATGACGTATAAATGACAAGTCACGAAAGAATGGAATTTCACACCAAACGTTTTTGTTGTATTAGCCGATTACTAAAGCGACATGTGCCCTTTAATCAAATTGATGCCTTTGAAAGTTTCCTTTGCGGTGGTTTTTCGCGGAAATAGCCGTTTGTTCATCGGTAGAAGTGTCATTCTTATCAGTTTCAAAAACTCGCCTATTTAATCGTAATACTAAAAAATGCTAATGGTCTGAATTCAATCAACACAAGCTGCATTTGTGAATAGCTTTTATTATCTCTTAGATGAAGGAAGACAAACATCAGTTTGAAAGACAATTTATAGAGTATTGAAATCGATTATATCATATCAGTCATTAGCGACCCACCCAGATTAGCAACGTTTGATACCAATTCCTTTCTCTTCGTATATTCAAAGAAAATCATAATATTAAAATTACATAAAACTCCTGAATTCAGAGCAGAGCTCCGTGCTTTAGACAAACACTCTTGATCGAGGGGCAAATCAACAATTGAAACCCTATAGCTCTTTTTAAAAATCCCTAGAAATCTGTTTGTTTGGAGGGAAACTGGCAGCTGAAAGAGTGAATTGCCCCTCGCCTCTGACAAGAGCTTTGATTCTATTTATTACAGCTAGCTACATTCCCACAAGTATTCCCAGCGGCCAAGGCATAAGGACCTTTTAGATTAGAAAAAAAGATCTGTACCATTATTACTTCCGAATAACTTTGTGATAAGAAAGTAATCTGTTAAATAACATGACTTGCTTATAGGCCTAAATGAACCCCTATCTTATTGGGTTTATAAACGTCCACAACGACAGCATCAAAAAGAGGGCTCCCTTAAACGACATACATAATTAACATTAGTAAACATACCTGTTTTGCCGTCTCTCTTTCAAAAAACTCAAATCCTTGTCGTCAGTTTTTTTTCGAAGCCCCGTTACACACAGAACGTTACGAAAGCTCCAATTCGAAAGAGTGCGCTCCAACTTGCTCCCGATAACGGATTCAAACCAATCGCAGAGCTGGATTTTGCTCCAGTTGCTCAGTAGTTTGATTGGCTAACCAGCACTTCCTGGAGCAAATTTTCATCAACTGGAGCAAAATCCAGTGGTCTGATTGGTTTATTTGACCATGACGTATTTCATATGGAGCAAAATTGTGAACATCTCCTCCACAGTCAACACATAAGCAACTCAGACGACAAAATGTAAACCAGTTCTCTAAGGCACCTATCTAGTCCACAGGGGTTGTTTGGGGGGCATCAGGAAGTATTAATTGATGATTTATGAAGTAACAGAGCTAAGTTAATATCAAACAGGCACTATAATAAATTTAGAAAATTCTGACTGGAGCAGCTGCTCCGTTTGCTCCGTTTGCTCCGGTCTAAATCCGCCACTGCAGTGCGTAATCAATGATTTATGAAACGAAAAAATCAAGCATCTTGGTACACAACCCATCTACAAAACATTGTGCACTGAAAGCTATTGATTAATTGCTTAGCAGCCTGGCTGACAATGTATCTATCAACAACTGGGTACAGAAAACTATTTGAGATCAACGTTAACTAGAAGAATATTTGTTAATACGGAATGCATTCATAGTAAATGCAAAATTTACACAGATGCGTTGGTCCTTGTCAAATAACAATATGCATTATAATCCAAAATATAGCTTCGAATAATTGAATACTGTAAAACAATGAGTATTTTAGTGAGCTGTCCTGTGCTTCTTTTTGCACAAGAACAGGGATGTCTAATTTATTTTTGTTCATAAGCCAAACAAGTCTAAAAATTGGATCTGAGAACCCGCTCGCGAGCCATCCACATTCCTGTTTCTAGTCACACGCAGAAAAGGCAACCAATAGGAAAATATTATTTCAAACAAAAATTTTTTGGATTGTAACTACTAACTTCATGAATTGTGTCTGGCAACAGTACATTTGACGTAACAACCACGTGGTTTCATGACTGTGTCGCTCCAGATCGCATGAGAAAAATCGGTCATTCTTGTCTAAATCCCCTGATTCCAATACAAATAAGAAAAAATCAGGTGCATATGTTGGCCATATACATGCTCTGCTGGATTATCGCAGCGATTATTGCAACACTCTTAACGAAACCAAGTTAAAAGCGTTCGTACAAAAAAGCGAGAGCACCTGTAGAATAGTTTTTTAAGCTGGGCTACAACGCAGGATCAGGCATATCATCTACCTGTATTGGAAATTGGTAAATTCATGAAATGAGTTGCAGCTTCTAGTTGGTTCTAGCACGAACCTCCATCTAGCCTACCATTTTTTGTCCTTCAAAGTTCATTTCGACAAACAAGATACAAACTGACCACGATATTACACTGGAATGGCGACAACAATCATGTTGCAGTTTCTAGCAATTATCATTAACTCAGTTGCAGCGATCACGCTGAATAGCTTTCTCTTTGCTCTTGTATACGGTTATCAAAATCTCCGAACTGATTTCAACTACACAATTCTCAGTGTTTGCTCTGCAGATATTGTCGTTTCACTGCAAATATCAGCCCTCTCCATCGCCAGTATGGTCGACGAAAATGTATTGAAACGACCAACAGCTTGCGATATAAATGGTTTGTTAAGTTTGGTTGGTTTTGGAGGATCTGTTATCGGCTTGGCTGCAAATAGTTTCTATAGAGCTGTAATGATATGCAAGAATGATATGTACTTGAAATACCTGTCTGGATTCGGAACAAAACTTTACATCATGGCTGCATGGATCTTTACACTGATGATTTCAGTACCACCGCTTTTTAGCTGGAGTAAATTTTCTGTACAGAATGGAATGCTGATATGTTTTGTTGATTGGAAATCAGATGTTTCTTATACAGTTTTCATGGTCCTGATCTGCTTCCTTGGTCCTATAATTATCATCACTTCTTCAACTTTGTTGATTCTCAAAAGACACAGAGCTGTTGCTGCAAATCTGCAAGAAAGCTCACAGGCAGTAAGGAAACAAGGTTTAGGGAGGACAATTCATGAAAAAAGAAAAAAGAGAGATGATCAAATTGAAAGAAAAATAACAATGTCAATTTTTGCCGTTGCACTGACTTTCTTTTTGGCATGGGGGCCATTTGTCGTTATTATTATTTTGGAAACATCATTGATTTATCATATTCCAGATTGGCTCAAATCATTGGGGATAATTCTTGGTAGCATCAACAGCACAACAAACCCTGTTATTCATCTTACAATGAACAAAAACTTCCGAAATGCAGCAGCCAAAGCATGGAGAAAAATAATTCAATCTTTACAACTCTCATTACATGTAAACAGGCCATAATTTCATTTCCATCATATTAGTTAACTTAAGACCGGATCAGGTCACAGAAGGTCATGATACGTCACATGATACGTCACATGATACGTCACATGATACGTCACATGATACGTCACATGATACGTCACATGATACGTCACATGATACGTCACATGATACGTCACATGATACGTCACATGATACGTCACATGATACAGGACAGGACAGGACAGGACAGGACAGGACAGGACAGGACAGGACAGGACAGGACAGGACAGGACAGGACAGGACAGGACAGGACAGGACAGGACAGGACAGGACAGGACAGATATGATACAAGAAGTACATGCTGTCTTTAGCAATGCTGCATCTGTTTAAGTGCAACTTTGAAATCAAGATGAAGCAAAGAATGTCAGAATGCAAACAGGAGACAATAACTCAGAAGTTTCAATTTTTACGTGTGCAAATATGATAAGGCACTTTTGGTGATAAGGCACTTTTTTCTACTGTGGCTTTCCTATCAATTTCATTTTGATTATTACTTTGGCAAAGAATCTCAGAACAAGTAGAAAATTTTATTTAAAAGTTTTTTTCTTGATCTCATCACCAATCATCATTTTCAACATAATGACTGCCAAACTTAACATAATGATTGTTTGTGATTTTAAATTGTTGTATTTTTCTCTAGTATTTTGTGGAAATGTATGTTGTAGAATTTAAGATGTAAAGGGTCTGAAACCTCTTGAAACCCGGCCCCAGGCTTTGAACGATTTGATTGATGCGTTGTTCAGCACTAGCCAGTATAGTCTCTCAGCTTTAACCATTGGTGTCTTGTGAGGGTTCTGTTTTGCAATGACCCAAGGTAGTATAAAATGATCCTGCCACTATTGTTTTTCGTTTCCCAAACAACAAGGCATTTGAGACTACTTAATCGTTTTAGAACGCCTGTCCATCGAAGGTGAACAGCAAATTATGAGGAAACTTTTCAAGGAGACAAATAACTAAAATGTTTGTTTTTCCAACTAACAATTAGCTGGTTAGCTTTAAGTTCACACTTCTTCTGACTGAACAAAGCTCTAGAGTTTTCTAAAAAGGCAAAAGGATTTATTTCGTTAAAACTCTAGGCACGAGCGTGGTTGGCTGTGGCACAATATTGATTATGGCACGATTACGTAAACATGTTTAAAAAGCTGCACAAATAGCATAATATGTATTCTTCCAGCACAAAATAATTAAATTTTAAAGAGATGCTGTCATATTTTGTAGATACCAGTACGAGATTTGAAACCAGTGAAAGAAGCGCCATTTCTTTGATAAAGAAAGTCTTTGTCTTATTTGAAATATCATGTGAAGTCCATTTATAAAAAACATAAAACCATTTAACAATCACGAAATCTCAAACACAGTGTTTGTACACAAACTTCAGCAAAAACAGTTGAAACTTAAATAAAACGTATATTGTGCATGCCAACGACAAATTGATTGCCTGTACACGGGCTCCGACAAAGGTTGAAAAGTGGGGGGGGGGGCGGCCAAGGGAAAATTGAACACCCATAACAAAAGATTTTGAAAAAACTCATCCTTCGTCGGAGGCCCTGCTGTAAAATATTGGCTTCGCATCAATAGCATTAATTGGTATACGAATTAATGCTTGCTATCTGACACAACGCGCCTTACTCAAATGGTCATTTTGGAATATCAACAAGAGTATGATTTGGCTCCATTGATTGATATGGCAAGCTATATCAGAGCAACGTGGTGCGAAAACTGAATAGATGTTTCCTTGAAGCAGAGAAAATTATATATGTTTAAAGAATACGGACCAAGTGAGAAAGCTCAAAGCCTTGATGCTTGCAGGCTCAGATGCTTTGAGCCATTTAAGAAAACCAAACAACTACCCTTCCAAAAAATGAGGCTAACACTTTTCTTTCCAATTTCAAGTTTAAGAATGATACAATCAGTTGCACAGATAGAGGGAGGTCAGAGGGGGCGAGAAAACCCCCCCCCCTCCTCCTGAAAAACTGAACTGCTATTTTGTCGGATAACTTCAGATATTTTCGGAAATAAATCATGGTTGACTATTTTATCTAATTATGACATTTTGAGAAGAAAGATTTTAAAGCTCATAATAAAGACTTCTTTCGTTGTTCTGAATCAGATTGGCAATCTCTTTCAATAAGATATGATACTTGAAAATTCCTTCATTGAGGAGACGAACAACCTTCAATTTGTATGATTTATGACACTAATCTTTGAATAGATTATAAGATTTCGTCTCTTGTTTTGCAAATCTTATTCAAATCTACAGCTCCGAAATGTTTTTGGTTTTTTGGCGGAGACATGATAGTAATAGAAATAAGGTCAAATGAAGTGTCCTGTCACACTGATACCAGTAGGTGATCAACTAACATTCGATGATGACCGCATTAAAACATAGAGCTTTGAGTGGAAACTTTGAACCCTTCTGTGCTAGGTACATCAGATGCAAGTTGGTATCTTGGGTGAACACCATAATCAACATTTATTTTTTGGTTGTATGGATATGAAGTTATTGTATTACTGTTTTTGCATTAGCAATTATTGTCATTTGTTAAGAATTTGCAATGGAATCTCTTCGAATATATGTATTCAAACATTAACTTGTATCTCTTGTTGTTTGAAATGAGATGAATCTGAATTTGGATTTGTTTTTGCATTATGGCATTCATTTTTAACCTGCACGTGGAAACTTTTGAACGTCCGATTATGATTTAGGACATATAGATACCAGCTATTTCAATTAATATTTATTCTGTTTTTGGCGTCAACACGGTATGTTTGTTTTTGACAAAAACTTTACTTTAAATGTTTATCTTTAAATCTATGGAGAGAGGGAGGAGGCTCTAATACTTGGTTTTGTAGTTAAAAAAGATGGGGCATGTCCGCATCGTTTGTCTCTCTCTGACTAAGTCAATGTAACAACACTTTATACTATAGTGGTAATAGGCACTAGGGAAGAACGTTTAAGAAGTTGGTGCAAAAACTCCAATACTTTCAGAATAATTCTACGCTTGGGTACCATGATGAGCTTTTGTCCAAAAAGCAGAAGCTTTGACAGAGTTTTTTCAAGAGTTTCAAATGCTACAGCCAATTCGAATCTAGCAACTTTTCCAACAGAAGCTCAATGCAATACAGTGGAATCCCGTAATAATGAGCTCCAGATGTAACGAACTTTCCGGTATAATTGACTAGAATTATCAATAGATGCGAGATAACGAACGGGACTCTTGGTTCCGTTCTTGTTTGGGCACGCTACCACTTTTTCATCGCGTTTACACTGAAACAAAAACGAACGGAACCAAATTTGACCCCGTTTACATTTTAGTAAAAAGAACGGGATTTTTAGGTGACGCATGACAAACCCACTTTAGAGTACTACACTACACAATTCAGTACAATAAAGCTGCTTTGATCAGCTAGATCAATAGCACACAGGGAGCAAAAACAATATTTAGGTTATATTCGCAATCGATTTATATGAATACGTAGAAATGTTTGCCTTCGCAATTTTCATAGCTGTCCTGTGGGTGGCAGAGAATATTAAATTATGAAAAATTCTTTGTTTTGAAAACTCTGAGCCAGCCTGAAACCAACTTTGCAATCCTGAAACCAAAGTAAAACGTTTTACAATTCCCTGTGAATTCGGTGAATTCTTTCAATTTGCTTTGAAAGAAGAAGTTGAGAACGGTTTCTGTTCATTTGTCTTATTAAAGCACCTTGTTAAATGAATGCCTAAAAGAATTAGCTTTTTAATAGGCACAGAAAATCTACAAAAAGATAGCTAAAAGCTGGGTTTAGCTTAGTTTACAATTTGTGACACTTGACAGGATTCGCATTTTGTTACCCTTAGGTTTTTTGGCACCGATAACATGATAATGGAGTCTGTCCGCGCCAGACGGGAAACTTTGTTTCTTGCGCGGGCAAGTTCACGCGCCTGGCTGCACGACTGCGCGCCTGAAATCACGCATTTTTAAGAAATTTGTATTGTTATTAATGTGAAATGTATTCAAATAGGGACTTTGCGCGGCAAAAATGCAAAAGTGCGCGGATGGAAAACTTGAATGCGCGGGCAATACATCGCGAGCGCGCAACAAAGTTTCCAGTCTGTCCTTAATGTAGCAATACTCGAATAAGCATTCTATTTCATCCTTTAGAATTGCATAGCAACTAGTCTGCACGTGTGGATTGGTCTCAGGTAAACAGACTTCATGTTGGTATTGCTTCTTCCTAAAGCGATGTAAGACTATCTGGGTGAAGTTGTACTGCTGGAGTGCAATTACTTCACCCATGGCAGAAGGAGGTCAGTGTTTTGGTATCCGGTGGATTCTTTTGCTACTCTTTAACGTGCTTTTCTGGAAGCTCTAAAAAGGCGTCTGCTTCCCAAACTGCAGTTCCAAATGTTGAGCTAGGCAGCATTCCCTCAGGAAGTACATACTTTTTCTACTGTTTGGCGATGTACATACTCTTACCTGATTTAGGTATTTCCTTGCTAACTGATTGCACTTTGAAGTTAACGACTTTGTATTTCCCGGAATTAATTTAACTGATTTTCAAAAACTTGCAGCACAGTGAACCGGTTCAAATTTCCTCAAATTATTCTGCGTCTTTTTTTATAGATAAAAATGTTGAAGCGATTTCTTGTTTTCTTCGCTGTTTCCACTTATCAGTATTAATCAGCTACGTTTAGCATTTTTTGACAGCTTTTAACAAACCTGGCTGGTCAATCGCAACACTTCAAGAACATCTGCATCATTTTCAAAAATACTTACGCTCTTCCCTATACGCAATTTTCAACCTGCTTGAACAACGGATTTGAGAAAGGGACCTCGCTAATTCTTGAGGGCTCGAAACTCAAAATTTTCAGTTTCTTATTTTCGTTCAGGAGTCATTGACAATGACTTTGGTTAGTCGGTTATCCTCTGTCATTCAGTCCTTGGTTGCACTCATATGGAATATTTGCTCTTTAGGTACTATTAGCATAAAGAAATTCTTAATCATGACATGTGACAGAATGTGGCAATATGGAAAAAGAGGCGGTTCTCTTGGATAACTGATGAAAAATGAAACTATGAAAAGAGGACACTTTCTTTCGCTGGTTAAGGTTTTCTTAGAAAAAATGAGGGAATGACAACTGGACAATATTTAACATATGCTTCTCAATGAATATTGGTTGCCAATGCAGTTTTCCAAAACGTGTGAGAAACAGATGAGGTATTGTAGGTGAAAAATAGGAAATAAGAAAAGCATCTACTTTGCTCGAGTTGGTTGAGTTCTTCAATAATGTCTGTATTTACTGAGATAGCCAGATGGTGTTTGTTTGAAGAGATAAACGCTTTCTTGACTGATAGAAGTTTTCTCGCCGAGAAAGGTGTTGTAAGAGTCCGCTGAATATGCTATGTGTTGACTGCTTTTGTGAAATCATACCGAAACTGCAAATTTGGTGCGATAGTTTATAAGAAATCTCGGCAACCAAAAGTCGTCTGCTGCAATAACACATTTGGAGAGAAAAACTAAGAAAACTAAAGTAGAGGGAAAGGATTGAGAGCAATAGCTTAGGCCATCAGCAAAGAACGTACTTCTTTCAATCTTCTTTCAATCATAGACAGAAAACGAAGAAGGCTTCCTCCTGAACGAATTTTTTATCTTGACTAACTTTATCTTTATCTTGAAACATGAACATTGTTGAAAAAGAAAACCTCCGCCGTCACGAAATATCAACAAAAAATTGGCATTTTTATGGCCAATACCGTTGAGAACACTATCGCGTGTTTTTTTAGGCTGTTGGTGGATGTTTTTCGCATGAATCTGTTAAGTAATGCGAAAATGATCCTCAAAACATCTGCTTTGCACCATCATGAATCAAAAATAAACTCGACGTTTTCTTTCGAGTACTATGAAGAATTGCTCGCTCTTTTCAATAATTCATCATGACTTCTATAATTTTTAAGAAATATCTGATACAAGCAAGATAAAATGATGGAGACAATGATAGATAAAATATTAACAGTTCTATTATTTCATATTGATACAAGGTAAGCTAATGTAAGACTGCTCCAGTCCTCAAGCCAAAATGTCATACTATTTGTGAAATGTGGTTATTCGGAGCTTTTATCCTCAAAATATTTACGATGAAGCCCCACGCACCCTTATCTGGTTGAACCTCGGCATTAAAAGCATATCGTCCTTTTTAGGTTGTCTTTAAGGAGAGAGAACTTTCCGTATAATGACAGGGAAATCTTTTTAGTGGTGGTAACACTTCAAACAAAGGTGGTGCCTTTAAAATCCATTCCTTCAAATTATAATCTTTTTTCCAAGCTTTCATTTTTACTTGCTTAGATGTGACACTTAGTGAAATTTTGCAAGTAATATAAAGATTGGTAGAATCGATGGGCAGCACCTATTGAATATCTCGTATAAAATTAGTGGAAATCCTATTGTTTTGAAAGCCTATTTATCTGAAAGTCCCAAGGAACTCCTTTGTTTTCGTGGAAATTTCGTACGCCATTTGTAAGAGTGAATTACCCGTCCTGTAGAATCACACAGAAGTAAAGCTTATAGGATCCGTGTGTGCAAAGAGGTATGATCAAATTCATAGAAACTAAAGACTAATATTAAAGCTGTTAACCAGAGACAACACTATCTACGCCGCTAACTAGGGTGGAGTTTGCGGAGCAAATTGCGTAGTTGCACCCTTAGCCCCAGCTCTGGCAAAACTTTTACCGACGCTCTTTTACCTGTTGGTTTTAGTTTTATTTATTTGTTCTAATCTACAGGTTTACCCATTTGAAAATTTGGGCTGAAAGAGTTTGCAATAGCCACTAAACCCTTGACTCAAGCTTGCCCCAGGTTCGTTCTGGCGTCACTGCTTTGTGGAAGACATGAAGCTCAGAAAACAGCTAGCATTCGTAATTTAACTGAAATATTCTGGTTTTAGGTCTTTGCTTGTAAATATGGCAAAATTGGATGTGTATACCATATGGTGTATACTTGAAAGCAACAACGTAGCAAAAGATTCGTCATGCGTTACATTGATTAATCTTTAATAATTCTAACAAAGTTCTAAAAAAATTTTCGATTTCAAAATCTTCATCGTAAATTCTGGTGTTCCAATTCCCCGTCGTATTAGCACTGAATAAAAAAAGATTGAATAAGAAAGGCTCCTGGAATATTTTAGATGCCGTTGATGTCTGATTATTCAGGTTCCTTAGAACTCGGAAGGGCTCCAGTATAGAAATCTTCTCTTCATAAACATACCTGTTTAAGTTGATTTTTGATCGAGCTCTGGGCAGTTTGAATTATCATCGCTATCCAATGAATCTTGCTGCTAGAATGCTGCTGCTAGGTATATAGCCTTAGGTTCTGACCACGAATGCAGGCTTGGAACCTACAACTGAATTTTGAGCTCTGCTAGAAGGTGAAAGTCCGACACTTGATGTCAAGCCAAGCTTCTGGCGTACAGCCCTCCTAAAGTTCCTGTTTACGCTTATATAGACAACTGGATTCGCAGTACTGTTAAAACAACCAAATAAAAAAGAGCCCATGTCCAGCCACCGCGGTACTTTGTTGTCACCAAAAACATCTAAGAACATGACAATAACAAACGGTCCCCATGCGACGAAAAACACAAATACTACGAGGACAATCGATAATGTGATTTGCCTCTCTGATTTTTCATTTCTCCTGGCTCTTCTATTTGCTAACATAGTTGCAGGGCTTATGTCGCGAGGAGACCCAGTGTATTGGCCTGCGAGGGAAGCTTCTGTTTTCCTCTTTGTTCTTACAATCAGAAACAACGTGACGAGAGTAGCTGTTATTGGTCCACAAAAACATATGAAAATCATGAACAGCATGTAAGACTTGCTTGATTTCCAGTCGGCGAAGCAGACGGACTTACCCTTGTGATAAGAAAATCTTGCCCAACCAAAGAAAGGTGGCATGACAAAAGGGCTGAAATAAACCAAACTAGAAAAATATAAACCGCAGTACCAGTCTGCGTGAATAGTTCTCCATAAAGTTGACTTTTACACACAAGAACGTAGCGATTTATGCTGACGGCCGCTAAAGACATAACTGAGGCGACAAATGATATCAGATTAATAAATCCTGTAAAATCACACCAAACCATGTTGGATATGCTTTTCCCATTTTCAGATATGATATCAATAGTTGAAATCAATATGTTCAACGAGACAATAATATCAGCAACTGACGCGTTCACTATAGTTGTGTTGAATGAAGAGCGAAGCGAGCGAACATGGATTACCAAGTATACGATAACACAATTTAGGATGATTGCCAATATCGCATTGATTATGAGAAGAACAGCCTCCCAGACATTCATCCAAACAGTGATAGTTGCCATTTTCAGTATCCCAAGTGATGTCCTAACTGTATTTCATTCGGCTATCTTCCACAACGACATCATCCATTTGACTGATGTGTGGCGCCTGTTACCTGCTTAGCGTAAGTATTTAGTCAAAACGAAGGCACTGCTTCTCCATACAAGGTAGACCAATTTGGTGGAAAGCAATAATTTATTCATAAAAACATTGAAAAGCGATACATTTTTTCGTTACAGGTTACTAGTTGCATCACAAGAAGCATAATGTACCTGCTAACTTCAATCAGTACAACTAACCACACTTCCGTATCTGCACTGCACATTGTAAGTAATGACATACCGTTAACTATAGAGATTTCGGAAGCTAATAATACGCTTATCTTTGTTTATGTAACCATAGTAACGATCGTGGTCATAAAGTACTTGAAAATAGGCAGTTTGAAACAGAATAATTAGAACCACAACCACACAATCACAATCATGACATTAACAAACTGAACGGGCTTGAAAGTTTTGTTTTGACTTAAGTGCAGATTAGCCGAGTTCCTTTACCCAGTTGACCGGTCGGGTGATTCAATGTTCTTGCATCAAGGAGTGAATCGTAAAACGATGGTCAGCTAATTCAATAAACACAGCTGAGATATAAGGTAATTAAAATAGAATAAATATATAATATAGATAATCAAGTGGAACGAGAGGATATAGAACTTATCATTTAATCACTAGCCAGCTTGGTTTAATTCAGAAGACACCGAGACCAGATACGGTTGAAGATAAAACTCTTTGACTATATTTTTTCCTGCCAATGAGATCTGAATAACAAAGGGAGATTTGTTGAACAAATTCCGCCGAAAAAACGTGGTGCTTTTAATTAAAAAATGAATAGGAGAAACTCACATCTACTGATCACATTACAGACATTTTGTGCTTGGCCAGATTGTCATGAACTAGTGCAATTGCGTTAAAATGAAAACTGTTATGTTTGCCATAGACGCTGACAATTTAGAATCTTTAGCACAAATTATTTTCAATAGATTATGAAAAACGCTGTTCTTGTTCATGGAATCAATCATCACCTGCTTTGCGTTGTGAATGACAAAAGGAATCGCGCTCATTTCTCAGCGGCTCGAAGTTGTAGCAGGTGTTCTCATTGCTTATTGCTGTTCAACGCTGCCTGCTGTTCAACATTAACGAACATTTAACATCAAATAAATGGTTATGTGCTGAGGCTTACAGGAGTTGGGGGTAGGCTACAAACAATGTTAACCGTTGGTAAATCAAAGAATGCCAACTTTGATTTTGATTGGAAATGAACGGATTTGATCATCAACGTAAAACGTCACAAAATTCTTATCACTTCCTTTAAATCCATCTTTGATCTCTTTTTGCACAGATTCAAAGGTAAATGTGATTATGGTTACAGTTTACTGGGGGTCGATTGATAGCTACATCTATCTATCTATCTATCTATCTATCTATCTTTGTGCCGTGTCTTTCGACGTTGGCGATTATGTCAGTCCAAGTCCTTCTATCCTTTGATGCTTGCAATACTTCACATGTTGTCAAAGAACCTCCCATTCGTTTATAAATGTCATCCTTTGTTTACCTCTCGCTCGTTTCCCTGCGATCATTCCTGTCATTGCTAAATTATTGATTTTCTCCTTTCTGTTAACATGGCCCAAAAATCTCATTTGTCTCACAGTTACCATTTTTATAAGTTCTCTTCTTGTATCTGCCTTTCTTAATACTGTTTCCTAAGAAATTCGGTCTAACCACGATATACCAAGCATTCTTGTAAGAGACACCGCTTCTAGACGTTCCTGCATTGCTTTGCTTATAGTCCAACTTTCGCATCCATACATAAGTGTAGACCACATGTAGCATTTTAAAATTCTCTTCTTAGTTTTTGCATCCATACATAAGTGTAGACCACACGTAAAATTCTCTTCTTAGTTTTTAAACCGACTTTTTTGTTTTTAAAACCTGTGCTAGATCTTTAAATGCTTTCTTTGCATTCTCTATACGTTTCTTTATCTCTGTGCCACTCCTTCCATCAGCTGTCAAGGTACTACCCAAATAGACAAAGTTTTCTACTTGTTTAATGTCACCTCTTTTTTATTTTAAATCGCATTTTGGTATTGTTTGCTTCTTTGAAATGACAATTCTGTATGTTTTCTTTACATTTAGCTGTAAACCTAGCTTCTCACTCTCTATTTCAACTTTGTCCAACAGATCCTGTAGCTCTTTTTCTGACCCTGCAATAAGCACTGTGTCATCAGCGTGTCGAATATTGTTGATATTGATGCCATTGATCTTAATTCCATTCAGATCTTTAATTTCCTTCAATATTTTCTCACTGTATAGAGAAAACAGGTCCGGTGACAATACACAGCCCTGCTTGACACCTATTTTGATATTAACATAGTTACTTATCTCATCCGCGATTCTAATTGCTGCTTTTTGGTCCCAATAGAGGTTTATAATCAAACGTAAGTCTTTTCCACCTATTTCTAATTCTATCAGTATTTGCATCAGTTCTTTGTGTTTTACCCATCAAAAGCTTTGGAATAGTCTATAAAGCATAAATATGCATCCTTTTGCATCTCTATTGCTTTTTCTGCCAATATTCTCAGTATGTAGATGGCGTTACGACTCCCTTTATCTAGCATAAAACCATATTGTTCTTTCGAGATTTCTGCTCTGATTTTGTTTCTTGCTCTTAGCATGACGACACTACGAATTATTTTTGTCACGTGATTCATCAGACTTATTCTTCGATGTAACTCAAATTCTGTTGTTCCTATTTTATTTGGTATTGCTATGAAAATAGATTTGGAAAGATCATCTGGGAATCTTCCTACATCATAAACCTTGATTGCAAATTCGGTCAAAACGTGAATACCGATTGATACATATTTTTTTAATAATCACATTTATTGGCACAACCGTTTTAAGAAATGAAACGCAAACTTTCTGTAAAGTTCTATCTATTGCATCGATACAAGCTCATCGTTTATGATTGACAATGTGTGCAACTATACCTAACAGACAGGGAACTTTTCCCAACAAATTTGGCTAATACTTTAAAATTCTAAAATTGTTCAATTCAAAAACAAACAAAATCAATCGAAATACTGTAAATCCTCGAATTGCCCCCCCTCAAAAAAGCCCCCCCTCTCGAATGAGCCCCCACCCTAGAACTACAAATTATGAATAAGCCCTCCCTCGAATAGGCCCACTGCTACCGTAAATTTTCGAATTGGACCCCCCCCCCATTTGATGATTTTTGCCATCTGAGGTTGCCTATGCCGTTTTATTGAATTACCACAACAAATTCATACTTTTGGTAGTAATTAACTAAAATAGATGAGGTCTTTTGATAATGTCTTCTTAATGTCTACAATAATTTCATAAGCCCCCCCCCCCCTCGTATAAGCCCCGCTCCTCAAATAAGCCCCATCAAAAAATATCAAAAATAAATTCGACCTAATTCGAGGATTTACGGTAGAATGAAAAAACTGAACAAAAAATGCTAAGAAACTTATATTCTAAAGTCAACGAGTTATAAACTGTCACATGTCAAAGTGTTGATGACGTCATCGTATGCTAAGTCACAAGTACGGGAAATCGGTAATTTCCGCCGTCTATGTTGACATCATGTGAAGCGTAACTGGTAGTGATGATACAGTGGATGTATAAAGGGTTAAGGCATACAGTAGACACAAATGGTTAAATTAACCAATTACTTGACTTTCATATGGTTTTGAAGGTTATATTTTCCAAGGTTTTTCAGCTTGAAATCTCACACAGATTAGCAGCTGCAGATGAGTTACGCCAAAAGTGTTCATATTGTTGGGGAAAATCTCGCTAATGTACAAAGACATCTTAGTTTTGACGAGTCGTTTCCGCCAAGTGATAATTATGCACAATATTCTACTCAAGATGAACGCCTGATTGGGATTTCGCAAATGGTTTGTTGATGCAGAGGTCATAGCGGAAAGTTCTATAGAAATGGCAGTTGAGTACCGGCATTACAATCGGTCCATGAGGCTCTTGAAAGAAAGTTTCAATACACATGTTTACTTCAGAGTCAAGTCAAAACCATTAGCTTTGTAAAGCCCTGGGCAAACGATCAAACATCTCATCCAACACTTAACCCAACATTTTCACGCGCAGATCGAAAAAGGACTGGGTAGAAGTTCGTGCTGAAGGCTGCACTGTTTCTCGTCATTTCGATCCGAAAAAACGAAAGGCAATCACTGTCTTCTCTTTTTATTTTCTCTGCAGATATTTTTACTGTCATCGCGTTCTTTCCGGACGAACGTCGCATCCCCTATCAAGGCCGTGGCCTAAATTCGTCCTCCTGCACTTTCTTGTAGCTCCTCTGTGCTACAGTTTCTTTATTGACGCTTGATGCTTCTTCTTTCGCACAGAATTCGTTATTTTTCGTTATATTGTCTATAATTAAAGTGTAACTGATTGTAAGCAAACGCGATTGTTGAAACGAACGTAACCAGCGCAAGAAAACAACAACGATGCGATGATTGAATTTTGGCACTTTTTAGCCAACTGCGCTTGCGCAGAGCCAACAATGTTGGCTGAGGCGGTCAAATGACCCAACATTTCACTTAACACTTCAGAACAATAGAATTGTTTGACGTTTTCAATTGAATAACGAATCTCATCTTCCTAATGTAATTCACATGAATGTTGGGGGACTTTCTTGTCTTCCTTATATAAGGGGTCCCCCTCTCAGTTTCTTTCCTTAGAGCAAAATATGCCTCCGCTACGCCACTGCTTCATATATTTCTTTCCCTGTTGTAATATCTCTTGCTTTTCCTTTAAAGGGATCGGTGCCATAATGAAACAGCCTTTCCCCTGAAATTGTCTCCTTTTGGACACAGGATGTTGACAATTTCATTTGCTTGTGCAACTTTCCATTGATTTTGGCATAAACATGGGCTGTGGTCACCCAGTCAATGGCTACATCAATGTTGAGACCGTAACCCAACCTGTGTGGCTCCGCTTGTATTTTTGTTTCTTCGTTGAAAACTGCAGTGACTATGTCCCCATGAATAGTTGAAAATATTTGACCCGGACAAACTTCCCCCGAAACCTCGGTTGCATTAATCTTCAATAAATTCGTGCTTCTCTTGCTGCATCTTCTCAAAGTGCACATGTTGAAAATGCTGTTATTCGACATTGTGACCCTGTTGAATTTGAAATGACAGATTCAAACAAATCGTGTCTTAATTCCTCTTATATTTTGTGGTAATTCGTTCCAACTTTTTTCTGCCCTAAAGCAGAAACTATTTTGTGAGCTCAAGGCGAGGACTTAGCATCGTGACATACCGATGATCCCTTTACAATTTAATCGAACCAAGGTGGATCAACAAAACACTGATGGCACTGTAAGGATAGCCGAAATAAGGAAACATGGAATCAAAACAACTTTAAAAATAATGAAACTCAAGCCATTGCAGAAAATTTTTAACATCGATTGACTGAATATGAATTATTCTTAATTAAAGAGCCGGTTAACTTAGAAAATCAAATCAAATCAGTAGTTGAATCCGGTTGAATCATTTTGAAAGTTTGAAAGGAATCTAGATAGAACATTAACTGTAAAATGTTGAATATAAAAAGAGACTAGTCAGGAAATATGGATTGTGAAGATTACAAATAATGATAATTACACGATAAAATCAATTAAGAGAGCATGTGCAGAACAAAGCATCATCAATTTCCCCTCTCTTTCACGTCGACAGGTGTAGTGACTAAACACCGGCAGCTTTAATTGGAGCCATTACGGCTAGATTTTGGACATATCATAGCTAGATTTTGGACGCTAAGCTGCAGGGAAATATGACTTACTTGGGTGCCCAACAAGGTTCAGTATTAGGTCCCTTACTATTCAATATCTACGAAAACAACATTTGTTTCCTAATAAAATATAGTGATTTGAAATTTATTTATGGAATAATACAGATGATACAACAATCGTTGCCTGTTGATCTTATCTAGATAAAATATAAGAGTTTTTTGAAAGGGATGCTTTACAATGCCTGCCGAAATTATACTGAGCACTAAGCAATTTGCGTTGAGCTTTTCTATATCTATTTTTTCTAAAATACTACTACTTCCAACTCCCTTCCCTTCTAACGACGTCGATAGTCTAGACAAATATCATACAAGTCAGAGGACAAAACATACTTCATAATGTCCCTCCAATAATCAATAGTAAACCAACATTGTTTCTAGGGGGAGAGGAGGATGGCTGAATTTGCCCTTGAATACTGACGTCAGTGTTCTAAAAGTTCTGGTAGAGATTATACATGAAAATGAACGAAGAAAAGTGTTATCTTCTGATTTTTGTGAATAAAGGTAGAGCAGCCTCTAATGAGCCACAACTACTATTAACTATCTTTATTTATGACGTCTCACTTTCGTTATTACCCACTTGTGCGGATGTTCTGTTATAGGAAATTGAATAATAAAATAAACAGGATCCAATTACAAGTCCTTCGAATCATATGCAAAGACGGCACCTCCACCTTTAATCAATTATTAACTAAAACCAAATCAGTGTCCGTTCACCAACGTACAGCTGCTCTTGATCGAAATAAACAAAACTTTCTATAAATCTAATATTAATGGAAGATGTTTTTATTACTAGAAATCTACAATATGAACTGCGAACAAACAGCAACATTGCTTTACCTTCTTCAAGAACAAAACACGTGGCACTGAGAACATTATAATTTTTCGACCAAGACTTATGGCAAAGGCTACCGAACGAAATGAAATAGTCCCAATAACTGGACATTTTCAAATGAACCATGGTCCATGCAATTTTAAGATAACTTGTAGTACAGCTATAGATTAGGTCAAACTTTTATTGTACATTTAGGCTTTCGTGACCATTACTTTTAATACACATTGTTAATGGGTGGCTTTTATTAGCTCCATAAAAATGCAAACCAATCACTTATCTTTAACAAATCTTGTGAAACCGTCCTTGCAATGTGTGGAACCCTTCCGTTGATCAGCAACACAAACATTATCTCCGTGTTGAAAAAGTGTTGAAATTGGAAAATCAAACAAGCACTTACCGAAGGAAGTGTAAGTTTGATTGGAATCCTACGAGTAATGGCAACAGGGCCAAAAACCTTGTTTCCTTTTTTTAACTTATTTTGTTTTAAAGAAACTTCTTCTAAAATTCCATAAAAACATTTTGGTTTCATGAAAACCTCATACGCTTTTTCAAACACACCTTCTAATACAAAGATGACATCAGGTCTTCTAAAAATTTGTAAGATTTTATGGACCGCACGTCATCGCACGCCTAAACTTTTCAAGATGTGAGATTCCCATCACGCCGCCAAATTTCTTATTACCAGGACTGCTTCTTGCAGAAATCTTAAAATTTCTTTACATAGACATTGTATTGTTTTAGTGTACCTAGCCTCAGAGAAGCCATTATAATTTCTGTTGCTTCTTCTGATAGGTTGATTGTAATCTTTTGTTCCCTGATAAAAGTCCCGCCATCAGGTTCAATTTCTTTTGAAATGGATGAATCTCCTCCTGTCTCCCTGGCATCTCCAACAATCCTTTGCAATGATCCAGCATAACTGGCCTCATACACAGAAGGGACATGAATTTCCGATACCAAACTTGGGTTGGCCAATCCGGTGCTATGACAATGCCTGTTGCTTCCTCCTTTACATCAATTCAATTTGTTCATCAATCTGCTTACTTTGAGTTTCATTAAAAATTGCTTCAGTGAAAACTGAGCCTGAATGAGGTATTCCTATAAATTCGATTTGAACACCAGATACATATGAAAGGATTTCTGGATTTGATGTTTCCCACTTTCTAAATATAATTCCTCAAAGAACCAGCCTCAGACTTTTCAACTCTATCTTCAAGATACAATTTAATATCATGAATAATTTCAGATACGTTTCTCATCTTTTTCATGGATAAGCAGTCACTGCTTTCCCCGTCTATTGTAGTATCTGTAATTTGCATTCTTTTAAAGTTTGTGATCTGGCCTCTGGAAAAAAAAGACTGGTTTTGGCTGTGATAGTTGTTGTTATGATTTCTACTGTAATTCGAGTAGCTTCGTTTGTATTCATAATTTCTACCTCTGTATAGGTCATTGCTTCTCATAAGATTATTAGCGATACTACTAGACTCTTTCAAATCTGCTATTTGCTGATTGAATTCATCGCCAAATATAAGCTTTGCTATCTTAGTTTCCTCAGAGCAAAGATCTTTGTATTCCTGCTTAAGATAGGGCTTTACCATGGTCCTTCTTCATTCACTTAACTCTCTGTTTGAATGCCCAAGCAGTGCTGAGCTGTCTACCGATTTCTTGGCTATTTGTTTCATATCATCTTCTTTGATATTTGAATTCAAGACAAGCTCAGTTCCCTAAACTAATGCACTTGTGGCTGCAATTACATTTTCTTGTATGTGTGCTATTCTCCTGTCATTATCTTTTTGTCATTTTCTCATTCTCATCCAAACTGGCCTATTCACTCTAGGCACAATAAGTTATGAGAACAGTTTGATGGCCTCTTATATGAAGAATGCAATGTCTTCAATTTTTCACCTGGAATTAATTTTTTCCAGCGTTTCTCTATGATATTTGCCAACTTCTCAGACACTGGGTCATCCATTTCATCATCTTTTCATTAAGTTCCTCGTTTAAATCATCGAGAAACTCACCTCCATGTTTGTTTGCAACTTCCCCTCCATCCTCGCCGTTTGGCGCTTGCAGGTTCTCCTGGTCATTTTTTGTGTGACAAATGCAAAGAAGACGAATTTTTACGACGTCTCTTGCTGTGAGAGCATCTATTTCCATCATCAGAAGAGGAAGAAGATACGATGCTGCTGGAATTTTTGTCATTCCATGAGCGTTTCTTTCTGGTGCTACCTGACTTCGGCTTTGTTGCCCCTCCTGATTAATTTCATGAATTCCTTAAACATATTTGCCATTGTGGCTATGGAATCCTTTAATTCATTCATATTTTAAGTTCGTTCTGCGGTAGTTGACTACACTGTGGTCCGTTCCACTCATTCATTGATATTTTCTTCCGTAGATTTGAAGTTGACCTTTTGGTTTCTTCTTCGCACGAAGTCGAGGAGGCAAACCCGTCTTGCTTCTGAGCTTACTCTTTGTTCATTATCTTCATTCACACAAATTCTTGATCAGCAAAATAAAATAAAAACCAAGAGCTCGAAGCTGGTCGATTGACACCAAGACGCACGTTTCGCAACTAACCTCTACGCCCATGCACCGCATATCTCATGTAATTACTGGTGACGTATGTGGAGGTGACGTAGAATTGAGTTTTGATGTCTTCGTTGCTAGTCTGTGAGTTGTTAATGATCAAATCAGAGATGTCATGTGGGCAATTGATGCTAATTATTTTAGAAAGCACATATTGTGAACCTTCAAAACTTCTGCCGGGGTTCTACAGGGATCGATATTAGGCCCTCTTTTCTTCCTTGCTTAGACTAATGATCTGATCTGGCCTAGCAAAGTCAGAAATCGATGTGACTTTTCTAGGAAAAAGATTCACGCTGACATTCCATTTGGTGACTCAATGATGAAGATGTTATGAAAGCTGACAAATAGCAACATTTAGATGCAGTGTTTGACATTTCGACTTGCTAAGATAGACTGTGCATACGTCATATTCCACAAAAATATTTCAGCCATGAAATAATCATAGCCAAATGGAAAGCTCTGAATCTGTATGCGGTTGGCTTAGCTAAAGCTAGTGTGTTGGAAGATACGTGTTGGAAGATATAAAGTGATAAATATCCGAGAAGCTTGGCTACGAATCTTTAACGGTTTTGGAAATGGCATGTTGTTCTTTTCTTTCAGTTCATGAATAAACTTGCTCCACAAGCTACGAGATATCCCACCCCACAAATTTACTTGTCCAATCACACACTTCGAAAGCAGTCTGTCGCTGGGTGAAATGCAAGAGTCGAGCGTTTTCAGTCAAGATTCTATCCCAATTGTTGACATCCCAAAGAATAGAACAGAAACCTGTTTGTGGAATTTATGAGCCCAAAGGTGTCGCTTTCCTCACCGAGCTATGGCAGGCTCGAGACAAAGTTGACCCGATGTGTCCAATAAATGTAGAGTTGAAGGAGGTAAACACTGCTTGCCTTGATTTCATGCAAATGATGGTAAAAGGCATTGAGTCATGATAAATAGACTGGGTATACCCTAAGTGCCAAAATCCGCTGAGTCATGATTTCCATGACTGCGATGCTATTGGTTGACCTTGAACTGGTCACATGAACTCACCTCGTACTGATTAACATAACAGTTTCCATTAATAGCAAGTTGTCAACAACGGATGCCAATATCACATGAAACAGCAGCGATCACGCCGAAACCAAATGACCCCCTATAGAGAAAGCCTATTTACCATGACTCAATGCCTTTAAAGACGTGCACAATTAACGGAATTTTTCACAACATCTCTAACTCGTCCAATCAACCCTTCGCACATAATGTTGTATTCTCAATTTCAGAAGTCATTCATAGGAATACCTCTGGACTTTCGATGGAAAAAAGTGGGAAAGATGGGAAACTATCATTGCAAGGAGAAGGGAGGTAATTTTGATGCAAGTTTCAACGGAATGGACTGAAATCATAAAAACATTGGAAACTGCGGTGAAAATAAGGGGAGCCACAGAAAAGCAAAACTGACAGACCGTTTTAAGCACCTTTGCCAACCATCTCCATTAGCAAAGTAATGTTTATAAAACGATCGAAAATCAGAATATTAAACGGGTAACTGAGATCAGTTCAGGAGAACGTATCACTTATCAAGATTTTGAATTGCGAGTGACGTAAAAAGGGGACATGATAATCGAAACTGCGTGTGATTAAAATCAAGGCAAAGTAATATTCCACTTGTAAGGAAGACTTCGGGAATCTAACGAGCCATTTTCATGATCACCGTACATCAAAAATGCATTACCTAGCATACTGTAAATGACCCTGGGTACAATAAAAAAGTAAAAATCAATTTTTATCAACATAGTTATCAACAAAAGTATTTCTATACGATTCATTTGAAATCAACCTATTAATGTTTATCTAGGACAAAATAAATGCTTGTGTTCGTGCAAAAACGATCAACAAATTTTACCATTCTGGGTTCTAAAAGGCAACAACTGCTATTTTACCAGCAACATATGACTCCCGTAATTGCAGCCCAATAGTTACTTACTATAGAATGGTTATTAGATACTCTCAAGAAATACGGTACTGGAATATGTAAATATCAAAGTGAAATTGCTGGCACGTTGAACTATCATTACATTTACAAAAAGCATTAATGTGCTGGCACTTCTCAACTCACTTTTGGGCACTTCTCATCTGAAGAGACTGAACTTTTTTATATAGGTTTTTAGACAAAAATGCTTTGCAGATATTCCTGTGTGGTGTCATCAAGCAATGACACTTTTGATGGTTTTCTGGGGGAACTACGACAAGTAGCTTGATATATGGATAGTATATTGCGATAGTACAAGAGTGATATACGGATAGTATATTGCGATAGTACAAGAGTGATATACGGATAGTATATTGCGATAGTAGAAGATAGCCTGTCTGATGAGTGTAAAACTGTTAGTAACCAGTGCCTCAATCGCAATAAACAAAACATACATACCAAGATAACACCTGATTACAGTTATAAGAAGTTTCATTATATCTACTATTCCACGGAATAAGAGAAACAGAACTATAGAAAGCATCACAGCACAATAATGCAATGAAACTGTGACAATCTAAGCGCTAAAATCACATTTATCTAAATCTCTAAAGTATTTTTCTACACGCCTCAATTTATGCCAATACTCGTACATTAATTATTTGAAGCTATATACGTTAAGTATTCTGACTAAATGAATCTAAAAGCCTTACAAGATGTATTCTATCTAATCTAATCTACTCACTGAACAAGGGTGTAATACTGGGGGGGGGGGCTCAGGGTGACTGCAACTCTTTCTAAATGCGGAGCAATAGCCCTGTTTTACTTGCTGCTATTGGTCTTTGGCGAAATTTACCGCGAGGCCCCCTTTGATCATTTAAAAACTTATATAGTCAGTAATAAATATAGCCGATATCAAATAAAGTCGGTATTAATTAGCATCTATGTAGCTATTAGATTGATGCGCCAACTATAACAAATTATTTATTGTTATCTATTTCTATACTTCATAGCACAACACGGCAAAAAATCTCTGATAGGTACCCATAATTTCAAATTGTGAAACGATGATACCAATTCATGTGAGTGCAGAGTGTTGAAACCAGCTCATACAAAAAATTCCATTATAATAACTGTTTCTAAAATAAAATATTATGTTCACCGCAGGATGTGAAATCCATTATGAGAACAAAGAATGCCAAAACCATTTTCACGAGGTTGTAGCAGGGGATTATCTGTCGCGCTAAAAATGGAGAATTGCAATATCAAAAATCGGCGAAGAAATCAAAACTAACCAAAAACACCGCGATTACAGAATCCTTACAATGTGTTTTGCTAACAAATCCTGCAAAAATTGTTATTTAAACCGTATTTTCTCGATAAAACACGGCTTGTTTTTCTCTCTCAAATGGAAATTCTCTACCGATTCTTTAATCGGCTTATTTTCGAGTTGTTTTTTAAAGAGATTTGAAATAAGGGATAGGAAGAATGACACCCATTTTGGAAAATGTTCGTAAAATGTTTGTAAATTACCATTCTTAGGCCTCTTCTAGACTATACTTTAACGTTTTCAACGCCTTATTCTTTAAACGAACCGATAGCACTTCCATCTACGCTGATCGTTTAAAATGCGATTTAGCCTGTCCACTTGCAAACGCTGAAACGGCTAGAAAAGGACGTGACATGAGTCAAAATTGTAGAGGCCTTCTTTTATTATGCAGCCATTTGGGTCGCGAAGCGATTTTCTTGCGTCGCGAAGTAAACTTTGCCACACAAGATTAATTTTTCTTCTCGTCAAGTCCGAATGCAAACTCAACAAGGCAATTTTTTGCTTATAGGCTTAGAGCTATCCTTGGGTTATTCCATGATCTTTTTCTAGTTTTTTAATGGGTTAATATTTGTGTTTGCCTTAGTACCTAGCGTTCCCTTCAGTTTTGTCTTGTAAATCACAAATGCTTCTTTCTCAACGATTTTGTAATTTTCTACCGGTTTTCACCGATCAGTGGTCTTTATTTCGATTGCTGTATAAACGGCTTTTTCAAAAGTATCCATTTTGAAGAGCGTATTCAAAATCATAGGTTTACAAACGGGGCGATGAATGCAACTGAATGCATCAGGCAGAACGTACGTAGCACAGGTTGGGTTATTGAGTGGATCTTTGTTACTTTAAACTTAAAGTCGTTTGTAAATATACGTCAAAACATTGCTCAGTTTTTATCAATTATAAATCTTATTAAAAAACTTAGTAGTAAATAATTGTTTTTTCTGTTTATTCTGCTTTTAGTAGGCATCAATTAAATGTAGCATGTAGTTTAGAATTTTCTGAAATGCCTTCTTAAAAGAAAATAAAAATGAAAATGTAAACGAAAATAAACACATACGTGCGGACGGGGTCTTATAAAATGCTGCTTTTCGAACAATAAGTCAAGGAAAACAAAAGTCAAGAAGTCTACTGGTCACGAGAATTCTAGGCTTACATTCGAACCGGCTTATTCTGAAGGTAAGCTCTTTCTCGAGGAAAAACTGAAAAAAGTGTTATTGTTACTGTTTGACATGCTAATTATTGCTTTGAAGCAATGCTGTGACGAGGAAGAAACAGCAGTCGGCTGGCAGAACAGCTGACTATATCTCAGACACGAATTTAGCGGCTTAAAAACAAATCGTAGGTCAGCTCTTTAATAAGCGGCAGCAGATTAAGATCGAAACTGAACTGTGAATTCCATCTTGCATCGATTCAGCAAAAACATCAAGAATCCATGCATTTAGAGAAAAGAGAACTAGCGTGCATTGTCAAGAAGCTATTATTTTAGGATTCTTTAGAATTGCAATTTTTGTCAATAAAACTTGATTGATTAAAATTTTGCATCAACTGACCGTATTTTCAGGGCATCATACAAGGAAAAATTGTAACCATCTTTTTGTGTCTCAAAAAAGTTTTTTGACCGCCAAAAATCTGACTCATCTAAATATTCATGCAAGTATATAGGGATCATTCTAGAACTTCCATAGGGGATTTTTATAAATGATGTGAATTCCTTCGTAAATATTTTCGTGTTTTCTCGTGTGATACCAAGGGGACCTTTTGAGAACAATCGTCACGTGATGCTCCATTATATATTGTATCCAATTAACCAACGACGAACTCGTAGAAGATTCTACGCAGTTCAATATAGCTTTATAATGTTTTTAACTAAAAATTCAAAACCAAGAACATTTTCTAGAAGTAGCCCTTTCGCAAGAAATGTAAAGAACGCAACGGAAAAAACATGTCAATGGCGGTTCTTTTGGTTTCAGGGCAACATTGTAGAATTCTTCAAATTCCTTTCACGGCATTCTGAATCCACAGAAACAAAACAGTCAAAAAATATCAAATTCAGAATGTCAAGAGTATAAAATACCTGGTAAAAATTTGCCCATTTTAATCCTTCTTTTCCCTACCCTTTACAGCTTTACCCAATCTTTCCCAGAAATTTTTTCGATAGTCTTCGTCAGTGTACTTTAAGTAGAAAATACCATTCATATATGAAGGTATATCGCAGCTTTCGTAGAGCACGGGGATTAAAATTCGTCCTTTGCACCCTGTGGAAGAAGGATTATTCGACTTAAGCACTGGATAACAAAGACGTAACGAGTAATCAAGGAAGATAGCAACAGGGAAATGTTGCAAAAAGCAAGCTTTTGACATTTGCTAAAAGAAGTGCAGCAAGCTCTAACAAGCAGAAATCACAATTAACACCATCCAATCCAATTATCACAATAACGACCAGCCAATCAAATCATACAACCAACACCATCCAATCAAATCATCAAAATCGACACAATCCAATCAAATCACACAATCAACAGAATCAATCCAATAATCAAAACTATACCCAGTCAAATCATACAATCAACACAATCCAATCAAATGATTAAAATCAACACAATCCAATGAAATGAATTAATCAACACAATCAATCCAATAATCAAAACTATATCCAATCAAATCATCAAAATCAATGCTATCCAGTACAAACATCACAATCACTGAAAACACCTCCTGAAACACTATAAACTACTCAAACACCACCTATCATGAAAAGCTAGCCAACTCCATCAGCCACTATAACAAATTAAAAAACCAGTATAAATCAACGACAACTCTTATCAACTTTATCAACCACAGAAAAGCAACCGAAAAACTATTTCCACTAGAGACTTGAAAATCATTCAACCACCACCAACAATAACCCACCAGCCAGCCTTCCCAATAACCATCAACATTAATATCCAGTTACTATCAACTTCTTTCAACATCAACCCATCACAATACAACCACCACAGGCAACATTCAGAATCAACTTAAATTCATTACCAGTTACAAAATGCTTAAACCACCCACCTAACAACCGATCAAAAAAATACCAATCACAATCAACTAGCATGAGTAGAAACTATAGGTGAAGAAAAAAACAAGGCTCTTGACAGCAAGACAATCAAACAGTATCTTAATATATCTCAACCTTCTGCCTAGGTACAGCCGCTAAACAAAAAATTGAAATCGGAGACTTTGAAAAATAGAATTGCTTTCTTTTTGTGTCATCACCTAGGCTCAAAATTAAGAATTTAGGCGCTGCCTGAAATTGAAGTTGACTGAGCAAATCAGAAGAAAATGAACAAACCACTATAAAGGGTGGCAACGCTTATTAAAAAGCAAGCAGATACTAATGAAAATGGAGCATTCATTTTAATAGTAGCCCGGACAAACAATAGTAAATGGTCATACATTATTGAAAGAAATTAAATATGCAAATAGCTGCCAGAGAAAAACAGCAATTTTCTGTCTAGAATCGCTTTTAAACATACAGCAGTCACAAAAAAGCCTGCAGACTGTGATCAAATAAATTTTCCCTCAACTAATTTTCAACAAACCCTTAAAAAATTGAGCACTTATTTACTTGATTCAAATGTAAAATGGAAAAGGGGCATTAAACAAGCTGGTCTCATACAATCTTAGCATCATCTGCATGGAAAGACAACATATCTGTACACCTGTGTTTAGTAAGTTGTAATTAGCTAGAGTAAAGAATTACGTCACTAGTCCCGTGACCCCTAAAATTCGGCTGCACGTACCGATGCTTTGCACGAATCCGAACTGTTCCTATCCACCATTATTTTCTTCAGCTGCGACATTTTGCATATACGTTTTATCGCTCTCAAGGTACGTTTAAGTTGGCCAAGGGTTGAGCATAAATGGTTAAAAACTCTCTCGTTTTTTATGCTAATGTAAAGCTGCGGTACTCAACGTCACACAACCAAAATAAATATTAAGCACTAAGCACCCCCTCCAGTTCAACAACAGATTCATTAAAAATAGATGTTCAAAGTTGGACAGTTTAGAAATGGGTACCTTTACAAATGGAGCTACTGCATAGGGAACATTTATTGGCGGGAGAGTTTAAAAACACTGCAACAACAGCTTTCTGTGGATTCTGCTTGGATTCTCTTGAAGATTTTGATTTCGTTTCGCATACTGCATACTAACCAAAAGGGAAGAGTGGTGTAGATTATCATTTTCAGACATCCCAAATGCAACTGTACGTGTCACTTAACCAGAAACGCCAACCCATTTAACCCGCTAAAATCTAGGGACTTAATTTGGTCAAAACAAGGAGGCAGTCACTTTGGACAGATAGAATTGTTCTCCTTAAGGTTAAAACTATCTTATGTTTTTCACTCCTATAAGTACTAGGTAAGCAGGCCTTTTAGAATGAATACCCCCAGCTTTATCGAGCAATTCACTAAATATACCGGCAACTAACCTGGGCTGAGTTTCATCGCCACCTTTGCTTGGAAGTCACAGTCATTGCACTTGACGTAATTCTCCGACAAAATGGCAATCACTTTTCTACAGCGTTGTTCAATTACTTCTACAATCTGATCCAACATATGTGGCCCAGGCAGGAAATCTCGAAAATCGATGCAAGCTCTGATTCTGTATTTTGTTTCCAGCTGTGATACTACTTCTTTGGCAAAGTTAACATCTGCAGCAGCATACGAGATGAAGACATCATACCGCTCATGAACTTTTAAACAAATAGGAAAGAACATTAGACATTAAAAGAAAACTACGTAAGGAGAGCCCAGCCAAGTGATTTGTGAAGACGGTGTAGCAATATGATCTCAAAAAGTATTTACAAACAAAACTAAAGAGATCGAGATAGTTGTAATATTTCCTTCTCTTTGAAGTAACTAGCTGATTAAACTAAACTATCGGTGCAGACTGTCAATGCTAGAGTAGCAAGTGTTTGCTCTACGATTTCAAAGCCAAAAGACACAGGCAAATGCGTTTCCTGAAATAAGGAATTTTGCTCACACGTTTAAGCAGCAATTGCGCTTTCGTGTATAAAACAGTTCCCTGGAAACCAGGGCCACATAAATTCAAGCGCGGGAATAAAAGAAGTAGAGTTAAAGCAACAAGTTCGTCTCCATTATAATTCTAAATTTTTACAGTTTGTAGAACTCAACTCTGCAATTGATTAAAATTGATCCTTGACAGCGAACGCAAAACTCTTTAATGAAGTCTAAGGGAAATCGCAACATCTTAGATTTTTTAAGCAGGTGAAAATCATCAAAAACAGTTCGTTGAAGTTAGCCGAGATTCTTCAAGTAAAGAAGAAAGTTTAAATTCTTTCTATTTGTACAATAACAAATAAGATTTCTATAAATTAAATTAGACAAAAGTGTGGTTTGTGAATGCTGGATTAGTCTTGAAATAGAATTAGCGCAAAATGCAAACAACCCAACACCAAATTTTTAGCAGATATGATTATACGAATCTCCAAAATTGAAGAATCTTGGTTTTAGATCATGTCAAAATATCAGCACATCCGCCACATTTCCCTAATATAGTTAAAGAACTACATCTCTAGATAATCTTGCTGATAAAATTCAGCAGTTAGGCATGATTATTTAATCAATGTCTAGCGTATCTCTCTTTTAACGTCTCCTTCTTTTTTCAACCCATTCTACATATTTAACAAAAAATTAAGATGTATTTATCGTCCTCAAACTCAATGGTAAATCAATTTCTTGTGAGCATACATTCTTGGCATAGTTGTTTAAAATACAGAATAGTTTTAACTGGCATTTTGGATTAGACTTAACGCAAGCATGACTTAGGACTTTGAAAAGGGCTCTGAAAAAAACACACATTTTGAACAAACCTAAGATTTTCGTCTGACACTCTATAAAACATCAGAACATAGGTCGAAAACTCTATGCTAGGAAATATATATACCCAGTTGTGGAGTTGTGGATCGAAATAGGCTAATTAGAAACGCGAGCACGACTGTTGAAGTCGCCCAATCAGTGCCGCTTGCCTCTTGAAAATGTTACCAATTGAGTCCTAAGGTGAAAACGAACTCCTCTGTCTACACAATAACGTACTACAACTCCTCTGTCTACACAAGACTTTCAGGAACACGACTTTAATTTTATCATGGGCATTAATCTTCAAGTTACTTGGTAGATCCCGTCTGGCTTGCCCCAAAAACCGCGAGTTTTGTACTCCCACCCCCCTCTGAGCCTTGAACATATTAAAAATTGGCGATCTTAGCAGGATTAGGTAGTGCTTTTGGTGCAGTAGCATCACGTTGTGGGCGGCCATTACTGAATAGACCCAGCAAGATGCCCTCTTAGTGCTGCAGCATCAGGCCCAATTTTGGCTTATTCGGGCACTGGCAATATTAATTGCAACCCATAAAATTCCCAGAAACAAGTTGAAGCGGGTTGCGAAATTTTGGATCAACATATACTTTTTATAAGAAAATAATTTTGATCAGCCTCTGTATACTAAAACGTTCGCAACTTTGAGCCTGAATATATCTTTAAATGATTCTAAAAACGACACCATTGGAAACTTTTTTATTAAGGGGAATGGTAAAGAGGAAGGGAGTCCCAAGGCAGGATGATTAAACTTAAGGCTATCTTTTGATGTTGCACCGGGATATATTTCAATAACATTCAAGTTCCAAAACTGTGAGAAAAACTAAGATAATACATTTGATCAAGTTTGAGCTCCGCCAATTTTCGAAATTTATCCTTAAATCATACGAGGTTTTCAATAATTTTATAAACAAAATTTTTATAAAAGAAAAAATTGGTACGTTCGCTTAAAATTTCTAAAAAAGAGCATTTCAAGTGTTGCCTGTATTCAAGCTAACTGTGTATGCGATGTCCTGAAAGCCTCACACTTAAGATACGCAAAACATTGAGATAATTTGTGCAATAAGTTCATGTTGACTCGTCTGATATCACGTCAATTTTCTGACACAGAAAAGATCTTAACCGTGGCTTAAAAACCAATGATACACTAGGAGGATACAACAGATATACAATGGAAACAAAAAAGATACTGGGAAAACAGTTCTCGGGTAAATAAATGTTTTGGCTATAAAACCAAGTGCTGTTCTGAATGTCTGTAAATGGAATTCTGTATCTGTTACATATAACGATGATGATTATCTACAACAGTTGACTGTTTTCTTGCCTCTAATCTAATGTGGCTCTGTCTGTCACTGTCTAAGCTATATTTCGATCTGGTTCCAAAAAAGGAGAAAACCTTAAAGCAGTCAACAGATAATAAAGTGGTTTAGGACATCTGTCATTCAACTACTGCCCAATCATTAAGAGGCTGAGCGTCATCACATTCATTCATTGGCCACTTGCTGATTGGCAGATGACTTAAGCCAATTTAGTCTCTGTCTGTCGCCCTTAAGCTCGTTTTAGCGTTTTCTGGAAGGTGCTTAAAAAACTGATAACATCCATAAACAAAGCATAAAAGACAATGAAAAAAGCAATCCCTCAGTTTTGTGACAGGGAAAGACTGAAAAGAATGCACTCCTATAGATTTCGTTTTGTAAATTGTGACTACAAGATGACAGTGATAAATTGAATTAGAGTAAATGAGACAGGAAATGATTTCTTTTTCAACTGGTTTGTCAGTAATCGCTGGCCTAGGAGAGGAAGGAAGTTTTGAATCTTGTGACTTGGGCATAGCTGTAGTACTACATTTCCATGATAAAGGCAAACAAATCTTTCACCAAGCAAATGCCTTAGTGTTCTTTCAAATGAAATTTCAAGTAAGGTTAATTCATAACTGCAACTTGACAAAATATAATCATTTACAAGTCTGAATGTTACCAAGACACAACCATGCAAATTATTTGAAACTAGGCAAAAAAGATTCTTTTCCACCTGTCAGGTTTAGCGGCATAGCTAAGTGACCACTTTTCACATTGAAAGCAGAGGTTCAAACTAAAGCTGATTTTTGAAAATTAGAGGCATGCCAAAATAATGCAAAATGACATATAATTCATGAATTGCGCTTAATACTAGATTGCATTTGATGATTTTCTAAACGAGGGAAAATATCATAACAACTTACCTGTGACAGGTGAATCATCAAGTGCTGCACTTTTTAAAAGCATGTTTAACTCTGCAACAAAAAACTGATCAATAATATCTGAGAAACATTAATGGCTGTATTATCATTTGAATGCTCAAGAGAGGTTGAATAACGTATTTGATCTATCAAACATCTAGGCATTCATTGAAAAAATCATTTTTTCAAATCAATAGGCACTCAATCTGAAAAGTATAAAATCTAATCAATTGTTAAAAAGTCATCCTCCTCTTTTTTGAATCAGCTGATAGATTCTCCTCAATATCAAAATCTGCTATTTCAAACAGATCCTTTTCTTATTTTCATCATAAGATGTTATGGTTTTCAATTTTTTTCTAACCTTCATGGCAAATTTCTCAAAAAAAATATTTAAATGAAGAAAATTGCTACTTTTAAGCATTAAAAATTCGTTCTCAGCCCCTTGAGCCCCTAGCTCTACACCGTATTACATAACTTCCATAGGACCAGAAATTGTATAATCACAACCCACTCCCGAAAGTCACGCTAGCCAACTGGGGAATACATATAATATGCTCTACATTTCCCATTACAACGAGACCTTTTCAAAACTGTCTGAAAGCCAATATTTGGCATCTCAGCATAAAAGAAAATATGCAAAAAATACAAAGATTTTAATTCATTAAGAAACTCTTTTTCATTGTCCCCTATTCAACTGCACTCTATTTGACCATGCTCTCAAATACAACACCCCACATACAGAGTGGATATGGGAAATGACTGCCTCCCTCTATAAACACTGCTCTGTAATAAAGTCTCATACCTTAATGCAACATTTATAACAAATAAAAGGTAATTGATAAATATCATATCAATGGGTCTTCCGTTCTCTGCCGCTAGCACAAGAAAGCTTTAAATAGTAGACATACACAAACTATTTTAGCTGAGCTAAATGGCACAACCCAGCTACTTGCATAACATGTGTGGCAGTTTTCTGCAAGAATTTTGCCATACACAACATTCAGCTCAGCTAAAATCTCTTGTGTGCACCTAGCATAAGAAACAGAACTCGAGATTATAAAAGTTTAGTTACAAGCATGTGTTTCTCCTAATGGCAGAAAGTGTTTGGAAATGTAGCTACAAAATAAATGTTTCTCTCTAATAAATGCAGAACCAAAATTTTGAAAATTTCATAATTACTGGAGTGTCTAAATGAGGAAATAATAACCAAGATATAGCTAACCAAAGAATGGCCTACCATTCTGACTTTGCTTGTATTCATCGGCCGTAAGAGCTTTATCTAGAATAAACAGATTAATATTCTTAATAAAAAACTTTTAGGTTTATTCATTAAAAAATAAAACAAATAATCATAACATGCACGGTTTCAGTTGGGTGAAAACCCATAAAGCATCACTTGGCCAACTACAGAGTAGGGGGTAGGGACAGATAATCCTAGGCCCAAAGCAAAGAAAGGATCTGCAAGTTGCTACATGACATTTACAAATTTAATTCAAAGAAATAGCCTGCCAACATCAACAGAATCTTTAAATAAGATTAAATCTGTCCATTCTTTCCATTTATAGACAGCATAATAAGGGGCAGACTGGCTCCAAATTTAGGCTTGGGCAATTATGTCGGGCAATTTTAACTTTTATAACATACAAGGAAAGGGCCCCCAAAATCAAAGTATCCTAAACTTTTTTGAGGCAACACTTTTTTAGACTGGATTTAAATGCCATTGAAAATATTACCATTGTTCAAATTATTACAATCAGAGATGTAGGAATAGGCATACAATATTAAAATTTAGGCAGGGCTAGACTCTGAATTGTAGTTTTATCACATTTAGTTTCAAACAACTGGGAAATTTCAGCAGTCTGAGTTTGTGCTACCAACCACCAAACAACTTTGTCTGTATGGCCTAATCAGCTGTCGTTTCTAAAAGATTGAACACCCCAAGAACAGGCTGAGCACCCCAAGAACACCCTAAAAACAAGCCATAAAATCCCCATTTAGCGGCTGAACACCCTTTAAAACATGTAAAAATCAGCATATCATTCGAAAAATAATTTGGTCAATCAATCAAAATTAATTGTTTGGCTGGAAAGGGCCTATCAGCCCAATTCACTTACATAACTATTATGACCTAAACTGAAATGCAAGTTATTCATCACCAATGTAACATTCTATAATCTGTTTTTAATGTAATTCTATTGTGATATTAAATTCTAATGGGGGATTGAAAGCAGTAATTGTGCGGATGATATGCCATTTTCACTGGGTGTGAAGAATTTTTGGAAACAGATAAGGGGTTGAAGCAGTGAAAATATCTGGAATTACAAAATAGGCCCTCAGCTCTTAGTCAAAGAATTTGAGTTCTAAGTCAAAGTATTTGAGTTGCTGATTAGATGTCATTGTTAATATTAACTGGCCCATTATCTTCTTTTGCAAACAGGTTTGACTTGGAGGGGGGGGGGGGTGGTCTTTTTGCAAGACTAGGTGATAGCGACGATGAAACATAATTCAATTTACTGTTGTGTGATTGAAATTTTGGAGTGGGAGAATTAACCAATTTCAGCCGAATTCGTATTTGTAAGAGATTAATGAGCAACTGATGTCGTGTGACTGATTGCTATGTTGAATACAGATGAGCTGAACGCTGACCTGCTTGTATGAAAGTGTATTTCTCTACCTGAATTGTTTACTCTTCTAATGGTTTGACTAATGAAGTTGTTTTCATTGATAACGCGACTCATTATTCAAGTGTACTTCTCTTTATCATCTGCAGAATAATTGTTTTGCACAATATGTGAACTTGCCTGTACAGACTTCAAACTCTGTTGTTTATTAAATATATTTAAATGAAACATCTAGATTTGTCAGATTTGTAAGACCAAAAACTTGAATAGTCTAATTACACTATTTCAACTACCAGAAATACATGACATGCAACTTCAAATGTCAACCCTGCTCCCTATATTGCCAAATTTAGTTATCACCAATTTGAACTTTTCAGCTGTAGAGGCTTACTACAATTTAGCATAGATTTGTTTGAAAAGTAAGCACCCTAAAGCACGCCTCTAAACATGGGTTTGTTTTTCAAAAGACATCAATTTATAATTTGCTTTTTGCTGAATTTAAGAAAAAATTCTTTAGCAAAAAAAGGATATTTTTTTTCATGGGTGTTTCCTACTGAATAAGGGCATGGCCCTGTCCATGCAGAAGGAGCAACTATTTTTTGCTAGCTTCACCACTGATGGTAGCCCAACAGGCCAGTTTGCCTCAGGGCATAATTTTGTCTTCAAAATGAAAATTTACTTGCTTTTAAAGTGAAACTTTCAAGACTTTAGAATAGTATTCAGTAGATGTGATGCATTCATTCTTCTAAGGAGCAAACAGGTCAATGTTGAAAACTTAGTTTCTTAATGGTTAATTTTTTCTGATTGTCCAGTACCAGTTTTTCACAAAGGGATTTTTATAAAAAACAAGTGAATATTGAGATAAATGCATGTAATTTATTATCTGAGCACAGAGCTGTTGAAGACAGTTTCCATTGATTCCCTATCACTCAGCCACGTAGCTGCAGGCTGTGCCCCCCCCTCCCTAAATAAAAATTTTGACAACAACTTGCACCCCTCTGGCTACAGATTTTCCAAGTGATATTTTGAAATCTTGGCATAATTATAATTCCGTGATCTTGATTTAGTCCACATTTATATGTTTGTTATATATCTGTTTTCTTCTTTTAAAGCCTGCCCCCCCCCCCCTCAGGTATGGTTCTTGCTTGAGTTTGCCCACCCATAGCCGAAATCTACAGCTATGTGGTTGCTATCACTTATCATAAATCCCCATATACTAAGGATGGGCTGGGCAATTTTAACAGTGAAAAGATTCCATTTTTATGATAAGGGGAACAATAGGTGATCCATATCTGTTCACCAAAACAAAACCCTTTCTTATTGGAAACTTTACACAACATAAATGGTTTGCTTATACCATTGTGCCAGGAAAAACAAGTTATGCCAGCACACCAGTTCTCTGGTAAATCCACACTGGTCATATTTGGGTGTTATCACATGGAATGGTCCCTGAGCTGGGGAAAGACCTAAAAAGGCCAGACTGAAAAGTGTGTCAAGAGTCCACTCAAGATTGTAATAATGACAGATATTTAATGAACTTGGCCTAGATAACTTTGGCATTTTCAATGACTGCACTTTCTGTTAGGGGGGTTAATATAAAAGTCTGAATAATTTGTCCTGAACTATAACCACTTTGTTTATTTTTCTTAGCAAATAGATGAATTTTTCAAGCAGTTTAGCTACTTGATGCTTATTCCAGGGTGGTATTCATGTTATTTGTGCCAGAGATCTACTAAATTCCTTGGTGCACTGGCCTATGATCATAAATCATACACTGGCCTAAACACAAGCAGCCAACCCATAAACACGTTTTTCTTTTTTAGGCCAGTGCACCAAACCTTTGTTGGTGAAAAGGATATTTATTAGTTTCTATCATGCCCTGCATCATACAATTTTTTGAGTTAGCATCGCTGGCGCAGCTTAATAATATTGGCCTGGCCAATATCCGGCATGAGGTCTACATGGATTCCACCATGGTGCTCATTCCATAAACAATATTTGGATGAACTGTGTGGCCAGATTTTCGTCTTAACCTAAAGAAACTCCAGCCAATTTTTTTGCATCGTACTTTCCTTGAAGAGCTTCTGGTGCACTCGAGATCTCGCCGAACATTGTCACACATTCCATGCAGTCTCGCAGAAAAGAAACACTGTACGATATAGAATATAAAAAGATTAACAAAATTTGAGAATCATAAATACCAAAATAATCTTGAAGATCTTCAATGACATCAAGCCTTCCAAGTTTCTTTAGATATTCAGTTAATTTTCCTATCGTAGCACCTTCTTGGTGCCGTTTTACCCATTCCTTCATCAGTTCAACAACAGGTTCTTTATCTTCTGCAAGGTACATAATGTCTTCATTGCTGAAACCGATCAAGTCTGCCAAAGACCTCCAGTCTTTTCCCAACCTTGCAGGTTTTAAAAGAAGCGACAATTGATTAAGTGCTTCGAAGCATAATGTTTTCACTAATTTCTGTGATTGCAATTGTACTGGTTGCGCACTTCCCGCCATTTTAGTGGAAGTTTCCGGCTGGTGCAAACTGAAGAGCCTCAGTTTGATGATGAGACAAAGATTTTGTTCACGAACAGTGAAGAAGTTGTGTACTTCAAGAGGCTAGTGTCTGTTTATTCATCAGAGCCGTAGCGCCCAGGGTGCATTCCATGTAGTTTACGCCGGAGATCTCCAGCGTGGACTTAGCTTTTTCCTCGGCGTAGCGGCGTGAAATTTGCTATTTGCGCGCCTTGGCGCATTGGCGTACGTGATAAATTTTCGCGATCGGCGTAGCAAAAACGGTACTTGTACAGAATACGTGGACAGCCTGATTATATTGATATGGACAGTAAAAGCAATGCAAACTATAGATTAATCGAAAGCTTGTATGTTTTACACTTGGCGTAGCAACTAGAATAGGTTGAAATTTCTCTGGCGTGGGTCTAACATAGAATGCACCCTGGCGTAGCGCGGGTGAACTATGGGATCCTTGACTTTATGCTTTGTACTAAACAAAAAAGATGATTGTATTGCATTAGCCAATCATGTTCAAGACACATATCTATATTATAGGCACCGCTTTTTAATTTGTGACGCCAAAAGGCAGCAATTTCATAAGAATATCCCCTATTATGTTTTAGCTTTGTGAATAGATTTTTTATCTGATTATCTATTGGCCTCTCTAGCACGTGATTAGAAAACAAACTTCTGCTGAAAAAATGAGGAAATTATCCCTTCATATGCTGAGGTAGCAATTTTCAAGCGGAACAAAGTCACGTAAAACCAGTTGTAGATGCGCAAGTAATGACAACTCTTGCCACGTAATGATTCTCAGAAGGGACTAAGACGTTTCTAAATAAACTTCGAGCATATTTCCCTCCCAGTAACAACTTATATAAGATATTTTGAACAATAAATCATTTTATATATGCACATGGAGTAGTTGGAAGCGCTAGTATTATGTTTAAGGAAAGAACAGTATTGGGATCAGTGATCGGTGTTTACTGGAAAAAGATTGCAAATCTTCTAAACTTTGTCAAACAGACTTGCAGTTAAAAAAGTGGAATGGTCACAATGGAATGGGTTGTCTGTAAGGAGTGCCGTAGTTTTATTCATTGTAAGCGAGAGATAGATTGTCATCAGTACACCTTTAGGTTACAGTATTCGTTCCATAACCATAAGCGCTGAACTTTTAGTAAAATTTATTCGTATTTTAGTTTACACGAGGAGAATTCATGCAAGCTGATACATTTTGGGGAGGGGTGAAGGGGCTTCAACGCCCTCATAATTCCACAATGTGTTTCAAACCAAAACTTGCTCTGAACTTGCACATTGAAAAATTTCTAGTGCCATGCCCCATCTAAGCCATGACCTCAGCTTCCCTTATTGTTTTCTGCTACCATACTTCCGCATACTTTCAACGAGAAATTGCTGAGAAATCAAAATATTGATTGATAGTAAAAAGTATGTTAACAAGATCTTTTTCAAACAACTATTGTCATGCATGTCATTGTCATTGAAGGAACTCTCGACGAAAGCATTATCAGTACCTTAATTAGGTTAAGAAAATAATGATCAAGGTATCTCATTAATGTAAGCCATTGAAGCCTTGTCATCTATGGTCTTGTTACATCTCGTGTTCAATGAGTATTCAGTGTTTATTTCAAAGTAGATTAATAGGACTGCTAGGCATGCTTTTGTTTTTGGTTTTAACAAGAACAATCTGAAGTAAATGAATAGGATGGATTCCAGAGGATTTTACCTTTTATTATTGAGGGCAACCATGCCAAGCGTGACACAACTTATTATAGAAACAGTTCGCTGCGGTGACAAAATAATAAAGACAATCAACCAATATGATAAACACCAAATGAAAAGAATCCTACATGAGAAACTCAGCCTGCATTCATTGCGTGGGCGAATCGGTATCGGGACTTTGTTACAACCAATATAGGAACAGATTCAAAGCGTCAGTTGGGGACCCGGTCGCCCAAGCTTTCACTTCGGTGTGTAAACCATAAACATGCCTTCATAACTGTTACATTCCATATTTTTTAATTCCGGATTTTATTGGATTATTTGGAGATGGGGACTAACAGACCAAAGGACACCTTGAGAAACGATATCTTCGACAATTCACGAAGAACGATGCTTTTTAACGAAAGAACAGATCGATCTCTTCATGCAGAACTGTCCCAACTGGATAAAAATCGAAAAGAAATAATGAGGGATTTACGAAAGATCAAACAAATCAAAACTGCTTTGCAGGAACAACTAAAATCAGTTTTGGAAAAAACACCACCGAAAGAAGCTGGTTTGGAAGCAAAAAATGGTGCAAGGCCTGAGGTTCGTTTACCCGCGGTAGAGACAAGACGAGGAAGACCGAGGTTTCATAGTGACATGGGTCCATTGAATAATCTGATTGCGAGTGAGAGACGACGGATTGAATTGAAGGGTAGCAAGAGCGAGGCGGCCTTGGAATACATCTCAGGGCAGAACCAGCAACAGGAATCACATATTGACCCCCTCAGCCATCCGAAGTATCGTGGTGGCAAAGGAAAGTCAGAAAGCGAATACCGTACTAACCAAGAGCTAAGAGACGAACTCATGATCAAATCGCGTTTCCATCAAGTTGGCAGTAAATACGTTGGTAAAGAGATATTTGACAAAAAGCATCAAAGAAAAACTGCGAGAACTGTTTACAAAAGAAAGAGAGAAGGTTTAAAAAGCTCACAACGGTCTTCGGGAGGCGAAAGTCTAAGAAAGTTACATATTTCAGACGACATAGAAGAGCAAAAAACTGAAAATGATGGGGATTTGTCAGCCGATTTTTCTTCGTTATCAATTCTCCGGAAAGACGTTTCTGGACAGGCAATGGCAAAGGAGATAGAAAATAGTGTTACAAGCAAACACACGCCTGACCGACAAGATGCGAAAGCAAGACATCAAGCAAGACTCGGTGAGCACCTAACAGGGGAAGAAACCGGAGCTACATCGATAGCAAACGCTTCCAGCGTGCCCCACTGTGGGTCATCTGTTGTTCGAAAATTATCAAGCACATCAACGGGCGTGCTGGAGCGGGACGTTTTTCACAAAACAAGACACGACCCGGTGCTACCATCCATCCCCCTAGAATTTCGATCGACTCGGCAGGATAGAGGGCCGAACTCGTTAGAAAGAGCATTCATGGTTTGTCAACAAATGAATTCTAACAGTGGCAGTCTCAAAAGCGAGAGAAAGAGGAGATTTGCTAATTTAGTGGACCTAGTCATAAAACAGCGCAAAGTTATCCACGCATGGGAACCAATACTGAACACAGTTGGCGACATTCAAAGTGATGATGAAGTTTAATCAGGCGCTCAGAAGTATGGATGCGAAGGCTTTTAATCAATTTGAAAACTTCTCAAAGTTATGAAAATTTGAAAGAATGTGACAGTTGTTGTAGCTATGGTAGTAGATTCAATGATTACAAAGATACAAAGATACAATGAAATTTCATCTCCTCCTGTCAATAGTTTATAAAATACAACAAAAACGCCTATAATCATTTGTTTAGCCAATAGTTGCTTTTTGCAGACTGCATAAGTTCTATAACATTTTATCAATATCATTTGATGCTGCCCTTCGGAAACTTTCAAATGACAATCTGCTTTCCTGAGGAGGTAAAGCTGGACATGTAGCAACTGACGAAATCTGCCTTTTTGAGGGAACGATGACTCCCCTAGCCCCATATAAATTTCTAATTCACTTTTAGTGTTTTGTATTTGTAAATAATGATACTGAATCTGTTAATAGATATTAGAGTTATCTCACATAATAAAACAAAGCTGCTTTCACCAAATATTTTTCTTCTTTCCTTTCTATAACTTTCACCAAAGTATTAGAATCAAATGTGAAGTGTGTGATTTACCTCCTTTTAGAAGAACCAGAATATTAAAGCTAAATTTTTCTGCTTCAAAGTTTCTAAAACTTTGTGTTAATACTTTGTTCTTAAACCATTAGTGTGTATCAAAATGAGACAATATTAACTACAAAACAACATTTGACAACTGTAATGCTGGTTATTATTTTCTAATATTATTTGCAAAAATACACACCCTATATTGTCATGAAAGATACATCTTTAATGACGCTCTTCCTGGAGATAGAATAAAAAACTACATTTCCGCAGCCTGTACTTAATTTGCCCTTAATTATTTGACGAATTTGAGGCTTGTGTTCTTTAATGGACATCATAAATCTGGCTTTTGCACTCACAGCCTTGCAACAGTCAACGTAAAATTAAAGCAGCGTTATTGCTACAACTTCAATGCCTGTGCTGAATAATTTTCAGATAACGTCCTTGTTATAAGGAACAAAGCTAATGCAAGATTCTAGAAAAAAGGTTGGTTCTTTCTCCGGTATATGAGCAAAAACTTTCAAAATCTGCCCCAAAAAACTTTTAAAACAAGGATTGCTCTACATATTGAAACGAGGGTTGCTTTGTTTCCAGTGAGCTTTCTCTCTTGCTTTCTCTCAGTTTTCAGCTGTGGTTGTACCCACTTTTTAAGGACCTTGTAGCCTTAGAATGCTGCACAGAACAAAAGTGGTTCTCCGGATTTTGTCAGCACCGTGATCGATATCGATCAAAACAGAGGCCATATCTTATTGCCACCCAATTTTTTATCACTAGGTTCATGAAATTATGACTAGGCTTCCTGAACAGATAGGGAAAATGTACTTGATATGCGCAAAGAAACCACAGGACACCGAGCGAAAACTGACGCTGGGACTTTGTTTTCTGCGAAATCCACTATAATTAAATGTTGCCGCCCTTATGAAATCGAATAAACGCAACAATGAAACCATGAACATTTTTATTAAGTATACTTTGAACAAAAGTGGAAAAAAGGAAAAGAAATGTGGAAGAGTACAACAACATGACTTTTAGATAATTGTGAAAAGTAGTTTAAAAGGCAGCGGAAAAGTTCGTACGGTTCTACGTGTTGTTTGTTATCAGCTAATATAAAAACATCAAATATTTTGGCAGCTCCTAAAAAACTCTAGCTTGAATATAAATGCAGCTCAAAACTCACAAAACGAAAGGGTTCATTCAAATGCCAAATTTTATTTTTCCCCAGTTCAATTCCAGTTTAGTTCAATTTCATCATTCCTTTCCTTTGTCTGCACTGAAATCTTTCGTGTCCAGCATGTTTTTATATCAACCATTAAGCTTTCTGCGGTTTATAAACACGATCAAATGATTCCATCAAATCTTGATTCAGCCTGACCATGCATTTTAGCTTCCGTTAATGTACCGTAATGCCTTGAATAAGCGCCCGGGTGCTTATTTAATTTTTGAGGCTCCAGGGTGGGTGCTTATTCGAGGGAGGCACTTAATCGAGGGTGCGCTTATCTGAAAAGTAGATTTGGGTGCAAATTATGTTGTTCATTAATCTGTCTTGTCGAATTGCTTTCCAATTATGTTTTCGTTGAAAATTCGAATAAGCGCATATTTCTGAAGGTTGAAGGATTGGCGCTTATTGGAGGGTTGGGCGCTTATTAGCATGGGGCGCTTATTCAATAACTTCACCTCTAGGGTGGGCGCTTATTCGAGGAGGCGCTTGCTCGAGGCATTACGGTATGTTTCCTTCTTCTGCATGGATTATGAATTATAAACTGAAAGTGTTATCTTAACCGACATCTTGTAACAATTGGGGAGATTTCAACTGTTGCTAATCTTTTCTAAAAATGTCTGTCAAATTGATAATGGCACATTAAAGGTTTCGTACATTTAGAGCAACAAGGGGTTTTCCATCTAAAAAGTTAAGCGTCCCTGCAATACGATCAATTTTTTTATAAGAAACTGGCTATAAGAAATGAGTAATGGACAGTCAGATAAAAATTAGGAAGCTTCAGTATTCGAAGCAAAAAAATCAAGAAACTATCAAATCGTGATAATACTGAGAACAACGAAATTTTGTAAAAGCCAAGAACATGAGTGCCCTGTTGGCCTAGAACTTAAGACACAAGGGATAAAAATATACTTCCCACATCTTAACACAGCGGTGGGACGTTGGGATGTGATACTACCCTTGGAAAAATCCGTTGCAAAAACGCGGAGTTGTTTGCCATGTAAGGGTGCCTCGTCGACAAAAACTGTTTAAACAAATTGTCTGCAAATAAGATCGGAGCATCCCCCTTGAGCACAATGTCTAGCGTCGGTCCTATCTATAGGAAAACTAACGAGATACTAACTGGCTACACCAGCAGAACCAAAATACATTTTCTTAGCCCAAACTTTTTGCTTGGCCTAAAAAACAGACGTCACAAACATGAAGTATAGGCTGAGATTTTGAATCCTGAATCATGCAACAACCGACTTAAATACAAGATACATATCTTTGAACAGATACACTAAGGGTAAATAATCAAGCAATCAGTTAACCGTTTATTTAAGACGCACAAAACAACATGATGCCACAATACTATTATACACATTACACAGCTAATTCCTATCTACATAAATGCGTTTGAAATACGAGAAATGTCTAATAGGATATAGAAAATAAAACATAGTTAATAAGATTTTAAGGTTGTAGCCACTGTTGGTTAATCAAATCTGGGTGCTCTGGTACACCCCCAAGTCTGATAGTTGCAAACGGTAGTCGTGATCTGCCTCTGAATATATCCTTCTTTAATAGAGGTTGTGAGCAGTAGCATAGCCAGGGTGGCAGGATTGGGGATGCAAAGGAGAGTTGAGCAAGGGAAAATGGGGTCACACCCTTTGGAACACGTCCGCTCCCTCTTGCCTCATCTACACTACGCTACTAGTTGTGACCTTCAAGCATTGGGGACTTGCTCTGGGCGCTTATATCTTTTCGACAATTAATTATTTCGCGTACAAGTAATAATCTAAAGCGCTTGCATCTTTTAAATGAAATTGACCAGAGAGCAATAACCTCTAGAACAACTCATTTCTGACTTTATTTCTAAAACCAAAGGAGCCAAACCTAAGTGTAACCGAAAGCTGACTTTGGGGACGACTACATGGCTGATAGTAGCCATTCCAAATAAACATGATATGTAAAGTTATCATACAACATTATGGTATTCGAATGCCTAAGAATTAGTAGTTCCTGTTTAATGTTCTACTAAAGGACAAATTTGAAGTTGAACTGGGGTGCAACTGACTAAGGATTGATAATAGCTAGCTAGCTTTATAAAGGCTAGACCCTCAATTGTTGTTCTAAATGATTGATTAAGTTGATTTTGAATTGGCTATTTGACACTAGCTAAATCTAGAAAACCTATAACAATGAAAATCAAAGTTAAAACGATAAAAATAATATTTACAGATGCTTAATAGAGAAATTCAATTAAAGAAAAAGCATAGCTCATAATACATAGTAACATGTGATAAAAGTTGTAGAAGGAAAAAGGGATGTCGAGAGCATTATCTTAATCCTAGTCTGCTAATTACAGTTTCTTTCGGGGGAGGGGGGGGGAGGTGGGGGATGATTGAAAAACGCGACACAGTATGCGTTTAAATAGAACAAATCTGACAGCAGACGCAATGTGGACTGGTTTAGAACCATCATGTTACTCGAAAAAGGTCCTTTAAAGGGAATCAGGCTTCGGTCATGGAAGTTAAAATATGGTTTGGATCGAGGGAAATTTTTTTGGAAAAAAGTGGCGTTGTCAGTTAATTCAGACACTTAAAAGCCTAGGTAAATAAAATTAAATAAGATTACACGATTTTAAAATGACAAGCTCTAATACAAATGTAGAAAAAAACATCAACAAAGTGAAATTTACATAAAAAAAGTAAAGTTGCTTTAAGGCGAGGGTCATTCTCCATCTTCGTGTATATCACCGCCATAAGATGCTTGAATAAACAGGTCGATTATTGAAATAATATCTAAGAAAACCAGCAATTATAAGTTGCCTAAAACATCACGAAAACCCAAAAATGTTCTCGCGATCATCGCCCGAATACGTTATTCGAAGCGGCATGAGCTGTTTTTAAAATGAACCACATTAGAACACACAATCTGCTCACCAACCCTTCAAACTGGCATAGGACGATACTATCCCTTGGAGATCCACTATCTTGAGCAAACACAGTGATATCCTTAACACTTGCATTCAAATTTCTGCCAGCCTCCTTTTTTGTATCCGTCATACCTTATTGCCGTCCACGTAGTCCAACTTCTCGATTTTTGACAGATCACCTACTCGACGGCCGAAAGGAGACTATAAATTGTCAAGCCGTTAGGCAATATTTCATCTAATAATTGGTAAAAATGCAACAAAAGTGTTGGCTAGCAAGTTGATTCCTTTCCTTCGGACAGACTCCACAATGAAATTCCACTAGAAGCTAAATCGTCATTACTTGACGCCGACATGTTTGCTATGTTCCCCATTTCTGTCGCCTGATTAAGTTGAATGAGCCGCTCGAACACGCAGTGGACTGTGATACGGGCATCTGCATCGGGGTCCCAACAGTCTTCCATACACTCGCACATAACACCTATACCCTGTAGGAATTTGCACGACATTAGAACTTGTTTGCTTTGTTCTTAAAATAGAAACACTAGGCAACATATTATAAAATACATCTAGACAGAATTTTAGCCGTTTTCAAAAACACATTCACAGGTAGACCTAATTTTTTACAAAGTCAAAGTGTAAATGTCCCTATTGTGGATACACTTCCAATGCAGAAAGACCTTGTGGTCAATCTGGCTATTGCGCCTTTAAAATAGTTAACCCCGCAAAGAAAAATACATAATTTCAAAAGCCAGGCTGTTTTTGGTTTTGAATTTAAAGACACATATGGTTATTTCAGGTTCAAGGCTCTTTTTCCAAAGGCTATATTCCTTGTGTGTATTTGGGGGAGAAAAGAGTCAACATATCTTGTATAAAGGTACTTACATTAACAGAAATTAACAATACAGTCTTCAATGGGCATGTGTAGCTCAACACGCTAAGTACAACTGAAAATTGTCCTTGGTCAACATGCAGAATTTCAAAAAGATACCTGTTATATTGCGAACTTTATATACCCCCCACACTTACAAATGTTCTCAATACAAAAAAGACATCCAATAGGTTCTTAAATTCTTAGGTATTTCTCACAAAGACTTAATGGTTTTCTAAATAAGTGGGGGGGGGGTTAGTTTTTATGGTCTGCTTCTTGCTCGTCGTTCTAGAGGTTTTGCCGTAGAATGTTTTTTGAGGATATTGCCGGATGGCGACAGCCGTTCTATTGACTCCTTACATTGCTCTAACTTTTATGACACCCTATACCATAACAAACGCAGCTGATCTTATTGGATAAATGTAACGATCACCGAAACTGCAGGTCTATCTAAATATTTGTAGCTATCTGTAAAAAACAGCTAGACTAATCACGTAAAGACTCCATATGCTGTATTCTGATGCTCTGAAGATTGTGTTCCTAAAAAGACTGAAAAAGAACCAAGCTTACCCACTCAGCAATTTCAACTCAAATGTGACCTCAGGAGAAAAACTGTCACCTTTATTTAAAAATGAAAGCCAGCTGGTCTGCACTCCACAAGAATAGCACATCTTTACAACAGTAATTCATGCAATGCTGTGACATGTTGCTTTTGTGGTTTTCCTTTATTATATAATTTTACATTATGTGATAGGCTTGAATGTGTAAACATCACCTTTTAATATATTTTAGGTTATGTGGCTTGGTTCTTCAAGAGGGACATCTTGCTTTCATCAGGCTTTATGAAGTAAATTGTGTGCCTTTATTAAATTGGAATCTGACACTGAAATCTATGTGTCAACAGCTGGTAAAACTGTTTCCTTACAGAATTGGTGTTTCGCTTAACATAATTAAAGGCTCTTGCTCAACCAGTATGCTTAACAGCACCTGCCTTGAGAAATTGATTATGTTTTGTATTTTCATGCAGTATGATATTAGGCCAGTTTTGAAAATATAGTCGCAAAGCATGCAGGTTGTAGAAGAGCCTTTAAAATTTCAGTATTTGTGAAAAACTGCTCAAAAGTGGACAAACTCACCTTGTGTGCCCTCCATTCCCCACGGATTTTAGGACGCAGCTTCTTGTCAACAACAACATCTTGCATTGCTTCAATTGATGGATGCAGACCAACCTCTTCTTCAAATGGAAGCTTGTATTCGGGAAATACACCTTTGTGGAATAAAAAACAAATCTTTGCATACATGTAAAATCATAAGGACGGCCACTCTGGTTAATGACTTAATAATATCTATACTGAAAGTACATATGCAAATTCCACTCAAAACCTGCACTAAAGATAGTCACTTAGTACATTATAAAAACATGTATATACAAAGCAAATGCTTAATCCAATAAATAGTATTCCAAATATTTTTAATCAAGAAAAATTAATATCAACTTACAATGAAATTCAGAATTGTCTGGATTCTCACTACTTGTCAACACCCTTCGCTCTGTGTCTAATATGTAACATGTTTCTGTTAAAGTTTCATGTCTCAAATCAAATAAAGTCTCAAATAAATGAAAACAAAATCTATGAGGTTTTATTTCCAACGTTATGTTTACTCCTCTTGCTGGGCCGTATTTACTTGACAAATTTAAATATGTGCATTTTTTGGCTTGATGGTTATCAAATTGTCATTATGTGGAAGCCTCATCACCAGCATGTTACACTTTTCCATGAATTTTGACAAAGAGATATTTTATATCTGTTTTCCAAACAAAATTTTAGCCCTGCCTGATTGAAAATCCACGTTGACTTATGCTACTAGTTTCTAGATGATCCACCACAACATATCTGTGTAAAGTTAATACTTTTAGAGCAATTAGAAAGTGAAGGCATGTGTAGGTTCAGTAACTTTTACGATCTTATCTAATGTGCAGAAAACATTAAGCCAGTAAAAAGATTGTTATGGGACATCTTTATGCCACATCTTTATATGTCTATTCATAGAATACAAAACTGTGTGGATACACAGAGAACCATAGAATGCTACAAATGTTTGATTTGAGAGTGAAGAGCAAAAAGCTGGCATTTGATAAACTAAGCACTTTTGACCTATGTTAAAAGATTGTGATTTAAATCTTGATGATATGAATAGCAAAATGACAGAGCTTGGTGATTCCATGAATTGGTCAGGCATTGACCTTCCAGTGTTAAGAGTCATTCTGAATTAAAGTAAACAGTTGTATGATTTGAAAACAATTAAAAAAGCATTTATACAATTGTTTGAAATTGATTGAAAAAATAGGAACAAAAGCATGGTATGATTGGTTAGGTGACAGTGGATACAAAGACAATTCAGGGCATCAATGACAGTGATACAATGGAGGACACAATTACAGACAGAATAATCCACTACCAAGTTAGTTCAGATCTTTGGACTCAACATTTTGAAAAAAGTTGAAAAATAAAAACTCACTATCAGTAGCAGTGCATCTGGACACCATTTCCCACATCACCAAAGAAAGAGCATAGATATCTATCCTCATGAATGATTCCCGTTGGAATGTGATTGCTCCATCAAGGACTTCTGGTGCCATATATCTTTTGGTACCAACCTAAATCAGATAGATATTTATATATAGATATTTATATATAATAGAAGATAGGGTAGAAATGAGACATCTTCTCTGCTACTCCGAGTTTTGTGCTTGTGCACTCATCATACAGACTATAATTATGGTCTGTCTGATGAATGCGCAAGCACGAAACTCGGAGTAACAGAGAACATGTCTCATTTCTAGCCTATCTTCTATTATATCAATGCTTCTGCTCTGTGTTTTTGCACATCAAGCACTGTTAAGTCAGAATACACAACACAATCTGGAATAGATATTTAAATATAGATATTTATATATAGATATAGATCTTTTTACGGCATCTTACCAGTGTTAGCCAGCATTTTGAATACATATAATTATCATAGTGTTCTAAGATTCATTAAATGACCAAAGCCTATAGAGAGTAGGCCAACCTTGGAACTGAATAATAATACACATTCAATTCAAGTTAATTCAATTCATATTCAAGTTAATTACAATATACTAATGGTAAAAAAGCTCAGAAAAGCTGGGAAAAAGCTCAGAAAAGCTATCGAGCCAAGTGCCCTTTCCTCAATTAAACAACAACTTTTAAGACAAATGAACTGAATTATGCAACAGTAAAATAACATAACAACAACAGAATAAAAATTTTGTAAACACATATGTAAACAACTTGCAAACATCTTTATAATTACAAAAATTTAGGGATCAGAACTTGAGAAATTTTCATGAGAAACTGCTAGGACCCTTTTCTAAAGATAATTTTAGAAATTAACTATTTTTAAAGGTTAGCATATAAAATCAAAGAAAATATTTTTTAAATATATTTTCACTAAAGTAAGTTAGTTCACCAGGAATAAATTTCACAGAATCCTAGGATAGTGGTGAAAAATATTCCTTTTTAGCAGTGCCTCAAGAGAGGCAGTTAATTACCAATTATCTTGGCTTTATGCTGTCAATGAAACCTAAACAATATTTGTTACCATATTGATCTTATACTCATTTGGGATACTGTAACTTGCTCTAACTTAAGGCTTCAACTGCAATAAGACTTCATGTGACACCAAAAAAACTGAAGTCTTTTTCAGTTTTAAGTTCAAAATTCATGTATCTCAGTAGGAAGACATGGTTAAGTACTTCTATCCAAAATGATCTTGTTGGAATTTATGGGCAGTTGAGAAGATGGATGAATTTATATAAATTACACATATTTATAATTCTCGTGTCTTCAAACCTTTTTGTTTTTCTTTCCAACATAAAAACTTGAGATTTTATAGATGCTTTCAAATCATTTTTATTGATTAATTTCATTTAATGTCAAAAAATCAACAAGGATTTTAACCCTTGCTTAAGCCTGGAACACTTGAGCTATCAACTGCGCTGAGCTTCACTCAAGACTGTTGGCCTAAGCTGTTTTCTCAAGTGTGTTGTTACCTGTTATGAGATTTTCATCACCCTTGCCATTGGTACAGGATATTCAATATGTTGAATGATTTTGCGTATTAGTGAACATTTCCTCACAGTGTGTGCACATTCTGAGCTATCAGCTCAAGTGTGCCCCTGGCTTTACCTCTCACTTCTTGTTTTTTCTTTTCCTTCCTCTTTTCCTTCCCTTGGCACAAATGAACCTCTTACAAATCAGCTCTGCACCCTTTGTACCATTTCTACTTGTGCTTGAAGAGCCTACTTATCAATCTAAATCACAGTACAAAAATACAAACAATTGGCACCAAAGGGGATCCTACCTATTGTTGAATGTATAACAATGACAAATAGGTGAAACTAGAAGAGGAGTAAATAGAAATATAGTTAGTCCATACCAGTACTGCCCAACTACAATAATATCATTGAGCATATAAACTAATTACCTGTGGTCTCAACTCATTCTGGTCCATGCAAGCTTTACACACAATTGCAAGACCAAAATCACCAATGCAACAAGTAAGGTCAGATTTGACAAGAACATTACGGCTTTTGAAGTCGCAATGTGCGATAGCAGGCTTTGGCAAAACACTGTTTGGGGCATCTGAATGAAGGAAGGCTAGTCCATTGACCATACTTAGAAGCATTCTGTACAACTGCTCCCAACTGAGGACATTGTTTTTCAGGTAGTCAGACAATGAGCCATACATATGGTATTCAGTAATAATCCAGTATTGGAATCCAATATTGTGCTTCCTTTTATCAATGCCAATGAACTTCAAAATTCCACAATGAGACATATCATACTTTGTATAAATTTCTTTTTCTGTTACCCATGAAGCATGCTCTTGCTGAGCGAAAACCTTCACAGCAACAGTCTTATCAATTGATTTCGCTTTATACACAGATCCAAATTGTCCTTGGGCAATCATCGTTTCGAGCTGCACTGGGTGTGAACCAATCGCAGGGGAGGGAGGAGGTGAGTAGGCCGGCAGCCTCATCTGTCGTCCTATCAAACTTCTCTTGTGTCTCCTCCATAAATAAATAATAACGGCAATGACTACACAAAACCCAAAGCCCGGTACCAGAATGTAATACAAAAGAGACTTTGGCAAATATTCTGGATCTTCCTTTCTACTTGGGACATCATCTTTGCTTAATGGGGATACTGAAAAGAATAATAGAAAGCAAACTGTTATAAATATATAAAGCTTTGAGATCAAATCACTGAAAGTAATATTTTTCAAAAAAATTATGTAGCAATGATTGAAATAACAAAAAGGCACACCTGGATGTTCAGACTTCAATCTTGTAATGTTGCTGATATTTGCATTGCAAAGGTGACCAGTGCAACAGCAAAAATATAGATTACTGTTAGGGTTGTAAGTCCCAATACAATCTTCTGGAATATCTCTTTTATCATGACAACTTCTAATCGGCCAACATCCTTTCTTTTCATAAATCACTTCACCAGATGAGTTTTTCCACAGGGCAAAACAGCCACTTCCATGCTCACAGCTTTTTGTATGGTTACATATTTTTCCAGGTCCAGAATTTATAGTGCAGTGTTTATCATTTTTATCCAAGTGAGAACATTCAATGACACCTACAAAAAGGAAAGGTGGTGATAAACCAAAACAATGCTTGTTTATATATTGAGGTAAACTAAAATTTTCTGGGGGTTTCTTCTAGCAAGTAAAGCAGAAAAACAACACAAATCATGATACTTTAAAAGTTTTAAACAAATGGCATCAATATGCATTTTCCATTCTCCCGTTAAACAGCATACAAATCTTAGAAGATTATGTAAAAACAGAGGGCAAAATATTACTTTGCAGTGTTTTTGACAAATTGCATTGCAGATAAGATATCATCACTCCTGGTTAAGGCTTAAATTTATTAGCAAAGCATAATGAAGTGACATATCACATTACAAAGGTGCGAGTGGTGCATTTTCATTAAGGAAAAGTGAGGAACAGGGAAATTGAGGAAAAGGGCGAGAAGTTAGGGGAAGATGAGAATAATGACTTAAATCAAATTTATTTCAAGAGGGTTTTAGCTTCATACTTGTACTAGCCCCAGCGTCTGTGATAAAAATTGGTAGATTGCTATTGTTTTTAGATAATAAGCAACAATCCATCATCCATCATCTTGCTATATCTCTAGGTTTTGATCATTTAAATTACTGAAAAGCACAAAGCTATTGTTTTATGTATTTAAACAAAGCGTTACAAGCAAGCTTTTAACGTTTTACAATGAATTTTTTCTTAGGATGACATGGCTGAAACCTGGAGGATAAAAGCTGCCATAGCATTGAACTGAGGGACGATCGGTTTCAACTTCCCATCGCCCTTATTGTTTGGTAAAACGGCATACTTGATATTAGCATGCAGTCACGAAGGTGCTTCTTTTGCGGCCTGTACGGGTCTGGACTAAGTTTGCAAATACCCAGTTTAACGGTCCTTTTATAGCAGAATGGAACTCTATGTATTCATAAAGTTTGTAAAGTTGTAATTTGTTATCAATAACAAGATCTTGAATATCTGCTAAAATCCAAAAGCATGTTGTAAAGAACAATCATCAAGAATTGTCAAATGTCAACATGGCCTAAAAACAAAGCCATCGTCAACCCGACAGCACAGGGTCGATTCATGCGTAAAGGTGACTGGAAAAGTACTACTTTTGAAGAAAACAAAGATAAAAAAAGCAACTCACCTTCTGGAACGCCACTACATGGAATCGTCACAAAGATAACAAACAGTAAACTCAATAAAGGCTTCATCTCCTCGCTGGCAGTAGAGAAAGCAGCATAACCTTCCTACCTCACAAATGTCCCGGATGTAGTTGATTGGCATCTCGATTCTCGAATTCAATTCAATTAAGAATTTGACAAGAGAAAAATGAGCACTAAGTTTGAAAGTCATAGGATAAGATCACAGAAAGTATGTTGCCAAAATATTACCGCACCCCAAACATTTTCTTATAAAATTCAGACAAAATAAAAAATTGATCCTGATGAGATCTGGGGGACGTGTCCCTCCTGTGGGGCGCAGCTATTGGCTGCAAGGGTATTTGCCCACTAGTTAGTGTGATGAAAAAAGTCCTGGGCCAGAGGGTATGTAGCCAGTTGAAATGTTCTCACTAGGATTTATCAACATATAAAAAACATTTTGACAAAAATTCTGCTAATATGGAAGCTGATTTTCTTCGTAAAAAAATCTTCTTCAACGACAGATAATAATTGTTTGGCTGGAATGAAGCATTGCATGAAACAAAAACTTTAGAAATTGAAAATACGGGGAGAATCCCTCTCCTTGAGTCTCTGTCAACCTTGAAATAATAAAATTGAATTTTATTCCTCTGCCTGGCACTTGCCAGATTCTTAAACAAATAAACATGAAAGATATTGACGATATAAAAGTTGTGTGTAAACCCTCCAATGTGTGTAAAAGTTAAGCCAAAGCTTCTCTTTGACATGCTCACTTGAAATTGAATTGATAGCGAAAAACTGACGCTTCTAATGTGCTCTATTACATCTAATCACAACATAGCTATTGTCAACTTTTCAGTAACAGACTTTTGTGACAGTGGCGGAAATTCAGGATTTCATTTGGTGGGGGGGGGGGTGGTCAGGCCCACGATTTTCCGACAAGATAACATCTTGGGTCGCGCCTAATTTCAAGGAAAATTTATCACTGCTCTTTTTAAAAAAATTGGTAATTTTGGGTGGAAACCTTAATAAGTCATTGCTGACCACGCCTAGCCTGCGTCACAGATCAATGCTAACTACGCCATTTAATCTAGTAGCTAGAAGAACAACCCTTTAATGATTTATGATATGACGATTGACATCTCGTCTAAGGCAATTGATGATACAAGCGGTCGACCGATTACACTATTGATAAGTCATTCATGAATGAAGTTCGGCTTATTTTTACCGAATTGATTCGCAAGCAGATTTGACTTTGTCATAATTTAGTTGTTTGATTATTCATTACTTGCTAATATTGCATCAGAAATATGCTTATATTGTACTGGCATCAAGGGCACAGAGGTAATAGTGGCACCTGGGGGTAAAACTGGAAAATGCAGATCCCCATGCTAGCGAAGCGAGCAGACAAATTTTACCAACCCGCCCTTAGCTTAAAAAACATTTCAGAATAATTTTTGCAGTTATTATCTTTCGTTTTAAAGTAGTTAATTATTTTTAGCCATAGTTCTGTACGTTTAAATCTACTTCTTTACTTCACGATGTTCCTTACACCTAGAACTGTTGTCCTCTCTCTTTGTGACTCTGTGTATCTTTAGGCTTTCCAAGTTTGTGTAAAATACGGAAAATTTGCTCACTTCCTATAAAATACAGTTTTATCACTGCACACTTATACTGTTTATTACCGCACAAAACCGTTCTACCACTGCCCAAAATGGTTATCACTGCACCTTAAAACTAGGTATATCTTACCATGGTTAAACTATGTTCACACGCAAAGCAGGCCATTGAAATTAAAGAAATTGATGCCACCCCTAACCTGCCCTGTTATATTTGTTTTCTGAGAAAAGTTTTCAAAGTCCGCAGGAAAGATTCTCGAAAAAGCTCCAAAATCCAACATTCAGAGTGGCAATTTCACTAAATCTTGATGGCGACACAAACATGTCTTATTTCCCAAATGAAGAGTATTAGAAACCTCACTGAGGAATCAGCAATTTATGCAGGGTGTCTTGAATCGTTATCGGAATAGATAAGAACAGATCATTCATGAATTTCGGGCGCAGGAACAGCTAGTAAAATTAGCATTAAGAAGAGATTTTCGCAAGGTCTTGTACTATGAAGGTCGATTTTTTTAACCAAAATGGCCCGTCCCCGTCCAAAATTAAGCTTAGTTACCCCCCCCCCTCTTAGTTGCCCTCCAAGCATGTTACACCAGAAACTCATAGACCTCATTGAGTCTATTCAATTAAATGAACCTTCGCTGTTTATTTTTAGATGAAAGTTACTTTTACAATAAAATGATATACGATTTGATTGTCACCAGTTATCTACTTGGAAACTATGCTGCCTGCCAAATGGATTATGTTTCTGTGCTGAAATATTCGGATACAAAATAAAATATCTTGGTCAGTAAGGGTTTCGATGTTTTTAAGAGCGGAAACTGATCCTTAAAACGGGTTGAAATCTAAATCCCTAATCAAGTTCAAATTTTTTTTAGAATGATTTATTACATTATGAATTCATTTTTACTTTCTGTCTTAATGAGTGCGGGTATGACTATGAACCCTATTCATGACACTGGATGCACAAGACAAGATGTCAAGAAAGGACTTTTAACAGTGCATGAATAGAACTAAAACATATTGTTACAAATGAACATCAAAATATTAAAACTAAAGATAAAAATTTGTTTTGAAAAAACATATGATACTAATGTCATAGTAAAAATGGTTTCATAAATTATTAGAAAGAGAATCGTTGTTTTTATCACATAAAATTTAAAATTATCTAAATAAAAGGGTGGGGAGGAAAATTGAAATTTAAAAAGCAAGAGGGGTTTAAAAAAGCTACCAATAAGGACGCCAAGTACGGAAATAATCACGGAAGCTAGAAAACGAGAACAAGTTACCATAGGTAGAAAGAATGAGCTTCCTCTGAAAACTATTCTGGGCGAGCTTTCAGGAAATTTGCTGCAAAATATCGAAAGACTTCATGAGAAATAGCCTAATCGGGTCATTTGTTGTGCAGACTTCTAGGTTCTTGTTCATGAAGAGAATGTGGATTCATGCGGATTAAGTTAGTAGATTCATGCGGATTAGATTAATTTCTGTTAGAAAATCGAATAGTTTAGCTATTCATTCTAAAGCAGGGTTTAATTAATGCAGACGTTTTCCTCACCTTCCCATACGTATTGCAAACTTAGATCTCACGCAGACAAGGGGTAATAAGATACCAAGGTATTCCCATACTCTAATCTCAAGCAGACAAGGGGTCATAAGATACCAATAAGCCAAATAGCCTTTAAAAACTCTATTTATAACACCTAAGAGTCGATGAACCAGTACGGGTCATCAGCATAGTTTAGACAGCTCCTGCGACTCCTCCTTGGAGATGATAGCTTTGTGCTAGATTTTCTTTGCTGGCTACTCAGTCTTGTATTTGGGGTGTCCCGGGTCACCGGTTTGTGATTCGACCGCTGTGCTCGCGCAGCTGAAGACATTGCCGGGCTGAGACCAGCCGTATCGGATGAATCAAGCAAACTAGTATTGCTGACTCTTAGTGAGAAGGACGCGTTTGTGTAGCCCCCGGGCGTCTCGCTGGAAGGACGGGGTCGAAGTTTTCTATCTGGGGATGAAGAATAGCACGTGTCAGTTGTGTCTGAGTCTGTTGTACATTGTTGCCGTTGGTAACGCAAAGAGGACCTTCTCTTATTTCTACTCTTTTGTGTGAATGATTTCTGCTTTTCGTATACAGCATTACTATTGTAGCCATGACTGGTTTTAGCTGGCGTCGAAGAGAACCTGCTGACTTTGTTATGCATAGTTGGAACATACTCCTCATCTTCCGAAGACATTTCACGAAAATAACCATATCTGCTTTTTCTCGACGCATCAGCAGTGGAAGATCTTTTCAGCAACTTTCTTCGACCTGTGCTGTCAACGTTCTCTTTGCTCTCACTGCTTCTCCTCTGATTTTGCAAATTTTGTTTTTTCAAGTCATCTTTTCTTGGCTGCTTTGGAGTAGCTAAACCAGAGGTGGAAATGGATGCAATGCAGGATGCGTTTCTTTTCCTCATTTTCAACCGCTCGTGCATTGTAACACCTTTTCTTAAATCGTCATCAAGAAAAGTGCTGACGTCATTAATCAAATTGCAGTCTGAATCAAGCCGATTAGAAAACAGCAGATTTTTGAGCACTCGGCTTTCCATTAGACTTTGGTTGATAATGGGACTGCTTACTTCACATACGTCAGCTTGTTGTTGGGATATTAATTCGGGGTCTAAAAGGGACAAAGGTATTATCTCATTAACAGGCTTGTCAGCTTTCTTCTCGGAACACAACGTATATTGATGGTCAATATCTTGCAACAAAACTTTACTATCAATGGGTTCTTCAAGAAATACTTCGTCGCCATCACTACACTCCTGTGATGCCACTAAAGTATCGTCAAGTCCTTTCCGAGTGTTATGGTTTACATTTGACTTTGGTGAGCAATTTACAACCTCATTAAGATGGTTGAAGTCCTCTTTTACTGGATGAATCGGGCTCACACCACATTTTTTCCCACAATTTTGTCGTTGTTTTTCAGTTTGAATCAACGATGCCATAAGAGACTTCTTGGATTTAAAGTCACTATGCTGTCCACAATTCAATTCCATTTGCTTCTCTGAAGACCATTCGAGTCCAACAAGAATATCATTAACTTCGTTCTTCAGTGCCATTTCAGAAGTAGGAGAGGAGAATACGCATAACTCACCTTGAGCATCTCGAGCCATAGCAGACTTTTGGCTTGGTGAATGGGGGAGACATTTTGATGGACTGTTAAACACTTCATTATCTGCTGTTTGACATAACCTATTGGTGGAAAGGCTAGCTGGACAACACTTTTTGCTAACATTCTTTGATTCTGAATCACACATTAGACCAGTCTTTCTATCAGAGTCGATAACATGGACTTTCGGTTGTAGTACATCCACTTTTGGAGAAGTTATTTTGCTTTCAACTGGCATCTGATATGAAGATTCACAATAACGAAATGAAGATTCATCGTAATGGCCAGGGATGGAATCTCTCTTGATTACAACATTTTTATCAGTAATTTCTTGTTCTTTATGTTGGTTAATATTTTTGGCTGCCACATGTTCTTCTTGACTGTAACTGTCACCATTGGTGGCACATACAACATCATGGTCTTCTTTACAAATATCAGGCATACTACCAGTGTCATGATCTACCTCACTGACATTTCCAACTGAACTGTCACCCACAGTGCATCTTGTACTGCTTATGCTGCTAGTATCAGTGGACACTTCTGATGTCGAGCTCTCTGAAAAACTTTCTTCTTCCAAATCTACACTTTTGTACCTACACTTTCTGGCTTCCGGTGGACTGTAGCAAGACCCCTTATCCGATTGGTCATCGGCGCCCTCTTCAATGTCATCTCTTGAATCTCTGCTATCGTTAAGGGAACTTTCTTCAAAGCATGTAATTAATTGAACTTCATTCTTCGAATTGAGAACCTGGTCTTTGCTTTTCTTGAGTGAGCTTCGTGGATGTAAAGAGCGGAACCTAGAATCATCTGAAGGTGCAACTACAGCCATGCTTTCAACAAAAACATTGCTTTTAAGCTCGTTGCTCTCTTTATTTAACGTATCTTTCAGAGCTTCAACTGCAGAAAGCTCTTTTCCAGGAAAACCACACTGAACAAATTCATCTGAAGGCATTCTAGACTCTTCATCTACCATTTCTCTTGTGTTTTCGTTAGGTGTTAAAGGAAGGGGAGAGATGATGCGCATTTTGATTGAATCGCTGTTCACTTGAAGAGAAGGAGTACCTATTTCAAGTTTGGTATAACGGGTATTGAAATCGCAAACTGGCTCTTTCGTTGGGTAGCTATTTACTGTCACAGATTTCCCATTATTCTTTCTTGCAAGCTGCGACAAGCCGACTTCCGCACTAATTGATTCTGATTCCACTTCTGCATTTATTGACGTTATTTGTTGGGCACATTTTTTAACATGTGATTCAGCAAAAGATGCTTCACCTTCTAATTTATCTTCAAGTGTGTGGGCCTGTGCTGCAGGGGGCACCGTGGTTGGCATAATCTCTTCTTTCGTCAAACATTTCTCGTTTAATCGCTCTTTTTCATAAGCATCTTCGTCACCAAGGTCTTTACTTCCATTAATAACAGCAGGGTCATTTTTTGTCCCCTTAACGGAGCTTTGCGAAATAGCTAATTCGTCCTTGACAACACATTGTTTTGTCATCGATAACTCACAGCATACTGCAGTTCGTGACTCAGAATTTACCTCAAGTTTTTTGGAGGAGGATATGAGGAACCCGTCTTTCTTTATTGGTTCAGTATCTTTGTTATCCACTTGTGGCTTCAACTTCACATCACAATCAGTGGGGCTACTTATTGAATCAACAATTTCTGCTACCTGGTCACAGGTTAACGATTTTGCCATGATGTTCTTACGTGAAGGGCTAGAAAAGATCATAGGTTTTGAGAAAACTAAAACCATACTTGGTTAGAAGTTATGCCGAAAATTTAACAGATTTTGAGGCTTTCGACAAAATACAAAGCTTTTTTGTAATCAATCGTCATTACTGGTACTCAGAAAAATTGTAAGTAGTAAGTATTGGGATAGGCAACACACGTGTACTACAAGTAAAGACGGCAACCTCTTCATAATTCACAAGCAATATAAGAACAAAGTACATCTTATCCAGAACTTTCTTTAAGCAATCGACACGCGATCAGTCTCAATGTGCAAGTGTGAATATAACCAAAATCAACGGAGCTATAAACTCACCTTTCTGTTTCTGCATGCAGTTGCACAGTGGCCGCAGCCTTGTATTTATCACGAACAGCAGAGAGAAAGTCATCAAAAGAGAAGCCTTGCTGGATAACAGAGTCGAGATCGGCATAATTGCTGTCATTACGAGCATAGGCACGGTGTTGATCGCTCTTCAGGTGCTGAAATTAAAGGACAAAAAACTGCTAAATCGCTTTAAATATGAAGCTAGGCCGAGGCGTTCTCTGTAAGAATTATGAAAAGTCTTACAAATGCTTTCAAGCGCTTTCTGAAATTTCATTTAGAAATAGATTAAAACAGACGAACAGCGCGAATGTAGCAAAACTAGAGCTCTGTTACGACTTCTCACCAAAAATATTCGCTATCTTCTTAAACCAACAAAATATGATCCACACATTTCGTCACATTTCGCAACATAAGAGTTACAAAAGGGTATTTCTAAAATAGCTAATAGGATACAGGATTCAAAAGGTATAAAAGCTAAAATATCACGCCAAAAGGTTGACTTGTAATACCTTGGATATATCATTAAATCGCACAGAGCAACATTCGCAGTAACCATTTCTGACATCTTCCTTGGCTTCAATCCGTTTTACGTGCGGCTCCAATGGTTTCTCTTGTTGTTTTTCTGAGACATTTTCACTATTTAAAACAAAAAGTTACATGAAAGTAACAGCAAACTAAAACCTGAGATTGAACTACGATCCCGGATAAAACTTTTGAGACCAAATGCAATTTTCTACCTGACGTTGCCACCGTAAATTCGACTTATGGCCGAACTACATTTTATTTGGGCATTCTGATCATTACATTGATTATCTGATAAGGTAGGCATAAAACAACTACTTACAATGTATAAGTCTTAAGAATGATACACATAGCTTTTAAACCTAATCGTTGCTGACCTTCCAAAGGAGCTGTGTTTTAGAGTTTAGCTCTTACATACGTCTAAAGTTGTTTTTCAAAACGATTTATTCTTGGTAGCTCACGAATTTCGGCTAGTATTGCCATTTCTTGACAGCGGCGTGATGAAAGCCTTTTTGCAAATTCTATCCTACATTTATGGACCTTTACACTGCTGCGTATTGTAGGTCGAGTGAAAATATCTCAGCTGGTATTTATCCCATAAGCTTTCAGGCAATAGTCTTTTGTCCGTAGGGCTTGTACCTGATTTCTTGCGCACCTGTAAAGGGTAGGGGACAATGCTCTCGGTCCATGTAGCGTACGTCCGCAGATCTTTGCATCGATAGTCTCTGGTAGTACGTTGAATGGTCTAGCAGCCGGTTGGCATTTCAAGCAACATTGCTAATGCAGAGAAAGGGTCGAAAAAATGTCTTTGTAAAAAAACCATACCTCATATTTTTGGAAGATCCATCTTCGTTGGTTTCCTTATCTGAGGTCTGCACAACCGTTTCAGCAAAGGCGTGCTTCTCGGTTGGTTTTTCAAACGGACAACTGCCCGAATTCGATTCAAAAAATATTGAAGGCCATTCTCCAAGTTCCAAGAAAAACGGCCGATATTTCCTGGAAGGTAAACATACAAAATTAAAAGAGAATAAAAAATTTCACATTGTTATTCATCGTTTAATTTTTTAAAGAATATATATAAACGAGGCATAAAAAAAGCTTAAGTAGCTTTTAAATCTGCTTTCAAAAGAGCCTTTATGCCCTTTAATCGTAGAAAAGTATGAAAATTTAAGCAATCCCCCTTTGATTATTATTTGGAAAGTATTCTTCTTGATAAACGCTGCACAAATGACAACTTTCATTACTTTAGAAATAAAACACTTTTCAAATTACCTTGTTTTGTCTTCAACTCTGATAAACGGTGACTTGAGCTTTTTCACTGGAGATAGAATGATCACAAAAAGGTACACGATTGCGTCACAGCTTATCAAGAGAAAACATTTTGAATCATTCTATCAAATACAAGAGTAACACTGAGTCAACAGAAATACACTTGGATAGACATAACTATTCAGTCTGAAACGCGCATCTTTTCCTTAGCAATATATTCACAAATCAAGCAATGAATTTACAGAAAGTCATGAAATCGTTTTGGCCAGAGAGCTAGTGATTCCAAAGGATGCCCAGTAGACAGTGCAGCTAAATACCACCAGTCCTAACTTAGGCAAAGAACCACTGAAAACTTCGAAAACTTTAGTCACAAGTATCTCTTAATCAACAATTTGAGAGGACACAATTTCAGACAAAATCGTTAAACTTACCTCTAAATGTAGACGTTTTTCCATGGCCAGACGAGCTACTAGATTCTGTGGATTTTCTGTCCCGAGGCTGAAGAAAAAAAGAGAATAAATAATTGACTAAGGTTGGTAAACCACAAAATTTCGTAAAAGTGTTGAAACAAAATGAATAGAGAAATTCGAAAAGAACTGCACATTTGTCACATGGAAAGAAAGTATTGTGTTCAAAATTGTACAGTTGAATCCTGTTAAGTCGCACCCAGACAAGCCAAACTTTCAATAAGTCTGACTGATTTTTGAATCCAGTTGGATTTGCCTACAGTATTCTGGTCTTAGCTCTGATGATTTTTGCCCTGATGAAGCCTCGTATGCAGGGACAAAATATTGGCTGCCTTCAATTCACTTGTGTTGTTGTTATTTGTTCTTGGTGTGTTGTGTTCCTTATTTTCTATATTTTTATCGACTTTTTGCCATGAGCATTCCATAAAAGTTCGTTGAGCAACCTGCTACCGTGGCCTCTCCTTCAACTACCTAAGTCTTACCCTGGATAAATCGGAATTGGCAACATCAGACCATTACCTTACCCCCCTCTCCTTCGAGGTATGACTTGACAAGATTAAACTCTAAATAGACTAGCCTTTTTGCAGGAAAATCAATTTCAATTTCTCAATACATAAACCATTGAAAAAACTTCATTTTGTAGATACTCAAATCCAGTTCCTACCTGTAGAAATTCTGCAACTTTCTTTTCTTTGGTCCATTTTAAAAACTCTGATGACAGTTAATGGAAACTTTTAAATAGATTGATCAAAGTCAAATTGATTGCTATTACTCTCAGAATGAGAAAGTAAAGGCATATATAAATTGAAGAAATCACTTGAAAATAAAAAGGTAAAAAAGGCCTAGTCAGCAAGGGAATAGTAAACAGCTCTCCTAGTAAATTCCAGACTAGCTATTCATAGGTATATAAAAGAATAAAAAAAGGAAAAATTTTCAAGGAGGGCAAGTAGCTTTTTCAAAATCCACGAACAATTGGGGGGGGGAGCCTGGTGGGGAGCAAGAGCTATTACTCAAATGGCCAGGCCTGAAAACAATTGCAACTTTCATCACTTTTACATCTAACATAAGCTCTGAAAACAAATTCTTTACATTCAATGGTAATAACTACTATTAAAACAAAACAAAAGGATACGTTCCAAATGCAGTACTTTTGTGCCCCATTTTTGAGCCAGTTGCAGCAAGTTTGATGAGCCTTGTTTCTATATGAATAATAAATAAAAACACATACAATTTGCAACTTATTTCACAAAACCAAATGCATCATTAGAATGAAGTAAAGATAATTTCCTGGCATAGCAATTCCAAAAATTGAAGTTAAAGATTCAAAAGAAAAGAAATAAATTATCTACAGGTACCCTACAAAAGTGTTTATGTTAGGTGTCATTACCTGTGTTCCATTCACAGCTTTACTGAGAAGTGACTTTCCTCTTGTGATCTGTTCAAGACAAAAATACTGCAAATAACAGACTGCAAAAAATCTCTGTTTAAAAAATCTTGAAAAGCAAAATTTTATCACAATATATTCACATTTTTTTTCTTAAATTTCTTAAATAAATAAAGTTTAAGAATATGGGCTATTTCTACTGCAAGCCACTTTTGTCATTTTCCAGATCAAAGAATTCTGATAGGACTTTCTTAAAAAGGGCACTTACAATATAAATCTATTACATAAAAAAGTATACTACTTACACTGAGGCCTTTAGGGTCCAAGCTGAAAATAGAATACTAAAAGTTAACAGGAGGACAAGATTGACAAAACTTTTTTATCTAATTATATATCAGATAAAATGGTTGATTACTATTTCACTTATGGTTGATTACTATTTCAAACAATTTACTTTTTCTCTCACTTTTAGCTACCTAGGCCTTCCTGGCCACTAACCTGATTTCCATTTATTTTTCTCTCTATTGAAACATCCAAGCAGTGGGCTTAAAACGCTACATGTCTGCCCATCTGTGGCCAGAGGCAACAGAGTAATCTACTACATCACAAGAATGATATGATTTACATGAAAACCTATTAAAAAATATTCGAACACAATACATAGTTGTCAAATCAGGGTTTCTGATGGTGGGGCTGGGGGCCATGGTTTTTTGCAAAAAAATAGAGCTTTTCGAATTTTTTTTGTTATGGGTGTTATGGTATTAACTTTTCCTCCCCCCCCTTTCAAACCTGTGTCAGAGCCCATGCAAAAAATGTCATTAGATTAACCATCACTTTCATTTTTGTATATATCTTTAATACTTGGGTAATCAGGAACAGAATTAAATAAAATTTTTACCTTTGTTGTGTTTGTGGGGAATCTGTGCTGAGTGGGGAATTGAGTGGACACTTGTTAGAAGATCTGTGGCAACAAAAACAAATTGGTGAAGTGAAAGCCAAAGCCAAAAGAAAACAAAGCATTCTAAACAAACAACTCATGAAAACCGGCTTAAAAGTGGCAACTATGTACAGAGCAATATCACAGCTTCTGTCTTCAATGCTGGGACACAAATATAAATGACACAAAGGACAAAATGACACTAAAACTATCCAGTTCAGTATATTACCTAGATCTAGTGAAGGTAAAAATTAACTCCATATATCTGAAAAGTGGCAGTTTTTTATCAGAGCTTTGTGGTTGTTTCAGAAGTTTACCTAAAGTATGGCCTTTTCATGTTGACAGGGATACCAAAATATCTTTTTCGTCCTAGTCTTATTACAATGATATGGCTTTTTACCTCCTGTATGGGGGCTAACATGACATGGCAGCAATGTTCTAGATTCCTTAGCCTTACCCCAGTAAAACCAGTGCAGATTTTAAATAAGGTTTCTTTCTAAGAAACTTTACCCATTTCATACTTACAGTTGCTGCAATGGACTTGGAACTGGAGCAAATACTGGACTAGGAACAGGCCCTGGTAAAGGACTTGGAGTGCCACTTTTACTTTGATTCCTGTGTTGTATAATCTCATCTATTGTAAATCGATTTGTCACTATGCAGTAAACTTCCTTGGAGTTAAACTCTTCCAGTATCTATGATGAAAACAAAATGTGAGCCTATATTACTGTCCAGAGGCTTGTGTGACATCTTAAGCTTGACTGTGAAATTTTTGTTGGGTGGGTTGAAAGGAACTTCTGTGACAATGGCCTATCCTTTATTCACAAAGCACATTATCTACAGACTTTTTCAGAAAAAATCTAAAAACACTTACCCCTCCAAGTTGCAAAATTATATCTTTCACTGTTGAAGCTTTTGCAGATCCCTGAAGATCCAGGAAAAACTTTTTGTTACTCAGTATTCCAGGCTTTTTGGGAGGAAAGCTCAGTTTTCTTTTAAATTTTGGACTTGGCTCTAGAATTCAATCAGAAAAAGAAGTATGAGCAAAAAACTGAAAAGGAAAAATAAATTTGGAATTAAAAGCTTATTTTATTGTAAAAAGTTTCAAGCAGCATCAAGACAATTTAGAAAAAAACTCACTTTTAACCGGGCTTTTCTTTGTATTCTCTTGAGCTTTTAAGACATGATGTTTTCTTCCAACATCAAAAACTGTCAATGACTGTAGCTTTTTGTTTCTCATAATGATATGCAAGTACCAGAACGGTTAAAATCAAAATGCCTGAAAAGAAATTGTTTCTTTTAATCGATCAATCAATCATACACAATTTTTTTATAAACATGTAGTGAATGAAAAATGAATGCAATCCTCGTCTGATTTTACTATTCTGACCACAAAATGCTTTGATGACTAATTTGCAAAAATCAACTGTTGAGTTGAACCTTTTTATAATATGAGCTATACTTTTTTGTACTTTGCCAGTGTTTTATGAAGATGTGGTAATTGTATTTATGAAAATTAACAGTCTAATAAAAAGAGCATTGTGGATATTATTAGGTTGTACGATATCTAAACAACATAACTTCAGGAAACTGCTGTAAACTGCATTAAATTTATATGGATATGTATGTAAACTTTCCGTCTCGAAAGTTGATGTATCACTACCAGGCTTGGCATTTTTTGAAAGGGAAAACACTCGAAATTCATGCCAGCTAGCTTGCCTTCTGCTTATCAATAAAGAAATCATGATACGAGAACTAGAAATCATTGCATTCTGTTTGTCAACATGTTACCGGTAGCTAGCCTTAGGCCCAAATAGCATACGGTCCTGAGATCATTTAAGCTGGAAATACCTGAAGATTAATGAGAATAAAATATTTTCAAAAGAATGAAACAATCAGCTGAATTTGGTAAAAATAACGAGAAGAATACTCGCAGAAAGATATTTACCAAGTCACGCTTAGGAGCAACATTCAATTCACAACCACCATCCTTGCTCTGAGATTGGCGCCAAAATTCCAATAGGGATTGTTGGAGTTGGGTCGCAATGGCTCATGGGATAGTGGCATCAACAGAAACGGCCCAGAAAATGCTAAGAGGTGGGACAGGGTGGCTTATTCTACTAAATTGTGCACTTTAGCTTATTCTGGAAAAATAATTTTGCACTATTCAAACTCACTTTGTAGAATGTAATAACTTTCAATTTTTCAAATTTTATTTTAATCAAATTTTAATTTCTGTTGCGTGAATTGTATTTTGGAGGACTTTAAATATGAACAATGAAAAGAAATAGGCCGCCTTTATAAATTAACCCTGTAATATTTTTCAATCCCCCCTTCTTATTCATCAACAATTAGGTTGTAATCTGTTAAGGAAAGAAATAATTACAGTGGAAATAGCGGTATATTCTTAGCAAAACTCTATTTGTATCCATCTGGGTAACATAAAGATAGATTTCTGTGATGTTACAATTTAAGAACTTCATATAAATAACAGAATATGATGAAAGGAAAACTTCACTTTTCCAAAAATTAGCGATGCACGTAGCCACCGCTTCCGCAGCCCCTGCTACGTATTAATTTGATAATTCAATATTAACTGGATCTATTTTAAATGACTTTTTTTAGGCGTGGTTAAAATGTTGTCTCTGCCACAACTTAAACCGAGTCATTATGGGTGACCGTCCTTGCATTGCAGAGGGCCCTCAACGGTAAATATCGGTCCAAGTAGAAAAGTATTTCTCTATAGAGAATTCTACACTATTGAGGAAAGTAACTTCATCTAATTGTACAAATTAAGAAAACATTTGGCTTCAAATGCTTTTTTCAATCATTCTGTGCTATTTTGCGATGCAAGGACATTTGCAGGGAGTTTGAGATTCTAATCAGTACAAGACACAATACTGTGTATTATATGTATTTGTGTATGTTCTATCTTCCGCTTTAGCTTCAGCAACTAAGGCTTCGCAGAGTGTATATGCAGTGGCGTAGCTTGACCTTCCAGACTAAGGGAATGGAGGGTAATCAATGGTAAAATTTACTGACGAAGACATAGATAAAGATAAATTTGGGTACTATTTCACCTGCCGATAGACCCCCTACACCCCCGCTAGCTACGACCCTGTGTATATGTAGGCAAAGGGGTGAGGGTAAAAATATCATAATATTTAGTAGTGTACGAGGCTTTTGATGCATATGGTAATGTGGCTATTGCCATGAAAAACGCATATCTACAAAATTAAAATATGTGCGTTTGCAACTATGTAAATTGTTCTTTGTCTTGAACAACGAAATGTTACAAAATGCAAGGAGGTTACGTCAAAAAATACAACTGTTAATAAGAATGAGTAGCACAACAATTGTCCATTTTGTTTCAATGTGACGTGCTCTTGCAGCAACGTAGGGTTTGGCACCAACACAATGCTGCCCTTGACATCGTTTATGTCTGCAAGTTGAACTGGCATCGCAATTATATGTGCAGTGGCCTGAGCCAGGTAAACAGGTCATGACGTCACACGAAGCACCATTTTTGCAAATGAACGTACAGCTATTTCCTTTGCATACCATGTACCCGCATGTCGCCTTATTATCACAAATCAAAGTGCAGTTTGATCCGTAGCATGTCATTTGCCAGCAATCTGATTGGTTGTCACAAGTCTTCAAAGAAATTTTGATAAAGATTATTAATTCTAGTATAAAGCCAATCCTGGTAACGGAACCTAAAATTCACTGCGATGTATATAATCTGCGATAAGACAAGATTGTATTGACTTTTTCTATAGAAGTAGCGAATGAAGGTTTGATGGCGAAGCTACAAGTCGAGAATTGAAGATGTAGATATATAAGTGACACGACGTCAAATTCGTACCTGTCTTGTAGTAGGTGCTGTGCTACTCATCAAATGGATAAAACTTTGTCCAGTAGAGCTGCTGAACTGCTCGCATAGGCTACTTGCATTGCAGCTCATTTCCAAACACCTACCAGTCTTCGTTTCACACCTCTGTACACAATGACGAACATTTTGAGTGCAATTACACTTCTGGCACTGACCATCATGTACATCATGGTACTCACCAACCCATGTGTGGCACAAACCATTCAGGGCACAAGAGTGCTCACACGTCTTTGCAGTGGAGCAGTTAAGGCTACAAATCGCTCCTTCTCTGCAGTCCAAGGAACAGAGGTCCGCGTCAATGCACCTGACGTCACTGCACTTGCTTTCAGGCCCGCATATCATCTTGCATTGCCTTGCATTACAGTAAGTCTGGTTGCACTCTTTGTGACATGTGTGGGCGCAGGTCTGACTTCCTGTACAGGAAGTCGTTCCGCAGTCAGTACAATCCTTGAAATAGTATAGTTAGTTAACAAATCATAAATGTCACCTGAATGTAATATCTGTCATCAGCAAACACTATAAAGTCAACCCATAGCCCATTAACACGATACCGGATGACAATGAGATCGTCTAGCTAGAAGGACCAAAAGTTGTACGGCTAGCCGAATCAATTTTGATACGGACAGCCCAGTACTCGTGTAAACGGAAAACCTATCCGTATAAGTTTTTATCCGGTTATCCAGCATCGTGTAAAGGCAGCGAGCGATTGCATGATGAGGTCCGGTGCCATAAGACGAAATTAACTTGGATCATGAGGTAATTTTCTTAAAAGTGTTATGTCTCGAATTACTTTGCCACCACCTATACTCTTTTAGGTGAATGTCACAATAGGATATGGATACATGTTCCCAATAAAGTCTTGATTTTGCGCCAAGAGAAGAAACAGAGGTGAACGAAAAATGAACTAGAAATAAAGAAGTATAGCGAATGACGAAGGGCAAAGAGCGACGAGGACAGCCTTTTGATCCCGTCATGAATGTCGAAATTGAAAGGTCAGAGTCCATAATTTTTTTACACAATATTCAAATGATAGCATAGTTGCCTATTTGCCTCTACCAAATTCTATTTAAAATTACTTACAATAAAGCAGTTGTCGGCGTTACAGACTGTTGAGCCACAAATTTCACACGATTGGTTACAAGCGCCAAAACCACCTTTTGTAGAAGAGCAAGTCATGTTTGCAAGCCTGTGAGCTTGGTTTTTGTAGACCTGCATGAACAAGCGTTGAGTTTAATGCGAAAGATAACACTGGTTACTAGAATCACAGTGCAGGAATGGAAGAGAGGAACATAAAAATGGCCCCGTTCTTTTTCTTGATACGATAACATTGATCAAGCCCGCTGAGAGCTTCTCTGGGGCCTAGGGCAAAAGACATAGCCACCACCTGTGATGACGTCATAACAGCAATGACGTTTTAGGCCTTGTTCCCCTCTCAGAGGCCCTGAAATGGGTACCATTAAATGGTTCAAAGCATAAAAGTACGTCAATAACGACAATCCAAGAAAAACTGCTTGAGTCTTTGCATCAAGTTTTTCTCAGTTCCTCTAAAATTTGTGGATCTTCACAATTATTGTGACTGAGATAGAGACACACACGATAAATAATATTTTTGATATATTACTAACAGATTTACTTAGTTTAAGATTAAAAATACATCTTATTTACGAAAGCTTTTCCTACCTGGATGACACTATCAGCACTGGCAACAATGAAGTCAGCAGTCGAATAGTTCATTGCCTGTATGCATTCGTGGGTTGCATTGCAGTGCAGCCTTGGCGCATTTGCTCCAGAATATGCCCTTTGCTGACACCAATCGCTTGCTTGACATTCCATTATGGGACAAACTTGATGCTCATTGCACATCTGCGAGCAATTTGCCCAAACACAAGTGCAGTTTGCCGTGCAGTCAGTCTGTGTACATACTGGCGTATTTTTCAGATCTCCCTTGTTTAGCTTGCCTGAAGCGGTCGAAATGACTGGACAAACGAGATCACTGCTTTTATGGCAGCAGTATCTTACAATTAACCAACACAGGGTGAAGAGAATAAATACACACGTTCTACCTGACATGGTAATACCAATGCTGGCAATACGTTGCCTGATTAGATGTCAAAGTTAAAGACGGCACTGCATGCATCGAGAGAAATGCCCCCAACAGCAGGGCTGCAAAACAGCAGGTTTTTGTTTAGAGAGGTGTGCTAAAAACTGGTTCCATTTAATCGTCATTTCTAGTATGCCGAACGAAGTTGTAAATATTTAGAATGACACAGGTTAAGGCAAATGATCAATAATTCATCTAACAACAAAAGACTTCATCGAGTCCCAGAAACCAAGCCTTGGAAAAGATCAACTACTTTGAGGACAAGGTTGGAGTGACTATCTTTAGTTGGCATTGATGGTTAATAATGCTTCTTTGCACTGTCGACAAACGAGAAAACGTGCAGTTATCCAACCTTTCCAGTCTCTATACCCAAATATCAGGTCCAGTCTTAATCAACCCTTTACCTCCATGAATTTCTATCTTTTCAGACAACTAACACCAGTTCAGTTCTTCTTGCAACTTTCAATTTACAAGTTTGCATTTGTTTTACAAATATTATGGATCCGGCATCCTTTACCTGGTTTTGCTCTTAAATAATTAAACCATAGGTGCTCTAGACCAAATTTAATCATAGACATGAATGTTGATTTCACAAAATGGTGGCTTATTCTGTCCGAAATATTACAATTCAATTTGAAAATCTTACACAAACACACTGCAGGGCCAGCGAAACCGGGGGGGCATAGCCCCCAGCTTTTCTGCAGAGCTAAAGAAAAATTTTAGGCAAAAGTGGAACTAAATGTAGTATATGATTCTGTAAGCAACTTTGCCAGTATTCTCTTAAATGTGTCCTTAGGTTTACCTTGCTGGCTATGTCTTTATCATAGAAGACATACATAAAATTGAATATGGAAATTAGGTCGAAGAAATCGGTCATTGTGTAAGTTTTACAACGAGTGACAGCTTGGTTTAGCAAATTGATCGAGAAATCTAGTCCTGAATAACTTGGTGCCAGCACAAATTGAAGGAATTTCGTTTTTTCCATTGCCTAAGCTTGGCACACAGGGTCTATTTGTTAACAAAAACTTTCTCAGAAACATTACAAAAAAGAGAAAAAGCAGCTGTTGCAGGAAAAGAAACAGCTGGAAAGAACTTTTTTGAGGATATGGGAAATAAAGTATGGACAGATTTGTTCTTAAAAAGTATCATCAAGAAAACTTCAGAGTTTGATCGTTTCGATAATCCATTCCTACTAAGAAAGAGAAAATATCGACGCAATTATAAATTCTATTTTAACAATTTTTGTTAAAGCACTTAATTTCCGATAAAGTTAAGATAAGATGTTACAAAGTTATATCTTAACTGTACAAAATTGCTTAACTTTTTATTTTAAGTTGATAGTTCTTCTGTTGATATTTCAACGTTAATGTTTTTTATTAATCGGTGTTCTAAAACTTTGCAAAACTTCTCTATTTCAAGTCAACATCACAATAGACGCGACTATGCGACACTATCAGTCAAAATTCATTTTAGATACAGTTTCTGGCCATCCCTAACCGGTAGCGGCCATTCCCAAGCCCTTTGAAGACTTTGAAGACTTTGGCCCCTCCACTTTCAAATACGTTTCGCCGGCCCTGCACTGCTAAGGTACATGTTTATAATTCATTTTTACTTTTGGGAGATTGCACGAGTGGGCCGTTTGAAGTGTGGTTCTCCTTTTCAATCTTCTATTGTGCAATTTAAGAGACGAGTCGACCTGACTGTTCTTCAGAATAGCAACTACATACTAAGTCTGCTAAAGGCGAACGAGTTCCTGCGCATGCACAACTTTCAACTTCTTTCTCCGCTGAGAATGGACGGCCAATGTTAAGAAAGGAGTCAGTTGAAATTGAAGTGAATGATTGCAAGTCTTGAATTCACAAACACGTTGGTTTTTATTCTCTAAATGGTCGAAAAGGAGCGACTGAATTCTGTACACCCCAAATATGTCACAAAGCTATATCTAATTATCGACCAGGATATCCCAGGAAGGAAAGAAACCAAGATAAAACACGATGGGAAAGATATAATGTAGATATACAAACATATACTCTTTATCAAAATTCGACTTAACTCAAATGGATTAGAAAGAAGGTCTGCGGATGAAATCCGTGAAGAAGCATTCAATATGAGCGATTACAGTTACAAGCTATTGAAAGGGTCAATTAGATATTGAAGAGTCTAACACTCCGGTGGGTGGTGTCCAAGTGATCCCTTGAGAGGCGGATCAAGCTTTCTTTTTTTTTTAACATCAAGGGTTCTCAAGCAGGTATTACCACCTACATCAGTCCTGTTTTGTGACATCTTGCTGCTGTACGCGTGCCACTATACCTCGGATGCGGCCCAATGCTGCCTGCCAATCAAGAAGACAATAACACCTGCTTAGTGACTCTCTACAGAAAGCGGGTCAATTGACTTTCGTACGGTCATTGAAGGCAGTACGTCACGCCGTTCAATGGTTTACCGGAACAGAGAACAAAATTTCTAATTCAATGAGTTTTCATTTCGTAACAAAGGAGGTTTCTTACTTGCCATATTGATGAGTGGTGCTTGTTGTGACTTGGGCGGAACATAGGTATGTACCACAGAGTAAGAAGCACAAGGCATGGAGAGAGGTTGTCTCTCTTGAGCATAAATAAGTATATATATATATCTTCTTATTAGAAAACATGTTTCTCTCTGTGGTACATACCTATGTCCCGCCCAAGTCACAACAGTACTAATTTGTCACGCTTCTCAAATTTCGAGGACTCTCGAAATTTAACAAACAAAAGCCAATAAACTTTGCGAAATACTCAACGTGAGTTGTTAATCATTTACAATAACAAATGAAAACTGGGTAGACTTTTTGCGCACCATCATTGCGCACCAGGATAAGATTGTAGCCTGTGCTAATTACCCAGTCTTCTCCGATGAGCAGGTAATGTGAACAACATTCCTGATTTTCATCTCAACATAACTAAATTTCACCAGCCTTTCCCAAAATCTCACCATAGTGTGCGATCGCACACCCCGTGGCTTTGGAGATCAAGACAGCCTTAATAGGCTTGCTAATCTTACGTAAAAGGGACGATACATGAATCAATACACTATAATCATAGTAGGTTTAATCATAATTTGTGGGCAAATACTCGTAATTTACCTACTATACTTAATCTCCAATTGAAATAGCATTTGAAATTAAGAACAAAGCCGGTTAACATTAACCCTTAAATACACAGAATGATTGACCTTGTATTTTCTGCTCTCAGTTTCAATATCGGCAGTTAAGCTTACAGGATTTGTGCGATTGTTTCTCTCATTAAAAGGACACCATAGTTAAAATATATAGCTAACAGAACAAAAATAAGAAGCACAAGTGAATTAGCAAACCCCGACACATTTTTTTGAGGACTACATCACATAAAAGGGAGCAAAAAAGGTAATTTCTTAAAAAAATATATGGTAAATGAAATATCAGTACTGGAAAATACTCACTTGAGTTCCACTAAATGTTCCTTTGATGTAAATTGGTGCCTTGGCTCCACCTTGCTTGTCCTTTGGCACTTCAATTTCTGTTCCAGAACCATCCTGAATGCTAAGAACCTTAACAAAAACGAGATTTGATTTCAATTTTGCCTTGTTAAGAATAACTAGGTTTAGGCACATAACAAGACACTAAAAATCAAGTGAAAACTAGCACGGGACAAGCATTGTCACCATCAAAACAGCCGCTTGAAATATGACAAAATACAAGTTTTGTGCAGACATATTTCAGTCAAGATATATTGCTCCTTGCGGGAAAATCCAACTTTAAACTTTAAAATACAAATATAAATTAACTATCAAACAAACATTTTTAAAATATAAATATTAACTCAAAATGCAATGTTAATAGAAAGCTTTTACAATTGTTTTTCTTAACTCAGCTCATTTTATCAAATATCGGGGTCCTTTCATCATTTTAAATTTTGCCCATTGGTTCCAAAGTAAGTGAGTGATTCACAGACATATTCTCAAACACCATCTGCTGGTTTTAGGCATAGAATCAATCAAATATACCAGCTTCAAATGCAAAAAGCAGAGAAATCTTGTTCTTGTTAATTTTGAGGCATTATATCATTTGCTTGTATCAAAAGTTATTGTCATTAAAGACATGTGGCTACAAGTAAATTGTGGCTTATTTGCATCCTTACCACTGAACCTTTCTTCCCAATGATTCGTCCTAGGCAATTTCCAGGAACTAACAATTCCGTTTTTAGCTCAGCATCATACAAGCTACTTCTTAAACCTTCCTTTATTTTGCTGAAAACGCACAAGGAGGCCTACAACAGGACAATACAATGATCATTACCAACAATGCATAAAAGATAGAAGAGAAATAAAAAACTTTTTATCTTCCATTTAGTCTAACAAAGTACCTTAGGACAATGACGTTGTTCTTGTAGGTTGGATTTGAACGCTTAGAGTGTCTATGAACAGATTCTGTATGAAGGGATAGCCCCCCCCCCCCCCATTGAAAGTCCCCCGAGACAAAGTTCCTCGAGATACAAAGTCAACCTTGGCAGAATTGTTTAATGCATGTAAATTTATCAGCATGACACATTAAACGCCGTGCTGTGAAACAGATATTGAAAAATAAAACCAAAAGACCCGAGTATATGAAAAGAAAAACTTTTCGAAAGAACAGTTTACAGTCATCAATATCAGAAGATGACTAAACAGCGCATGCACAAAGTAGCACGCTGTAATTCTACAAGAAACGTGTTTAGATAAAAACACGATCAATCACATTTTTCATTCTTACATCTCTTGCTAAACTGCAACGTTCCTCCTTTTTGTGTTTGCCTCTCTTGGGTCGGTCTATCATTTACAGCATCATTAGATTAGCTAAGCAAACAACCTGTCACGGGCATTCAGTACCTAATTCTCTAGTATTCAGTAATACATACCTTCCATATTGCTTCTGGGGGTCCATTGATTTCAACTTTGCTTTCCCCTCCTTCCTCTCCTTTAATAACCCGGACCTGCGCTTGACTATACATTTTCATATTATTTATATGACTACCTCTTTTACCAATAATGGCTCCTACTGCTCGAGTGGGAATTGATATTGTGACCTGCTCGCCCTTGAAAATAAAAAGATATCCATGATGGTGAATATCTATTTAAATCAATCCACTTATTGTTCAAAGGAATCATCATAAAAAATAAAAATTCTTTAGAGCGACAGCCTAAAGTTAATCTTTGGTTAATGAACAATTTTCAAAATTCCTGGACTGAGCTATGAATGAATAAATATACAAAAAGGTAAATGAAATATTTAAATGAACGTACCACGTTGCTTCGTGGGCCATAATAACCGCTGGGCATCTGATAAGGTGAACCCCCTGGTCCAAGTGCTCCAGGATAGCCATTGAGGATTCCAGGCGAACCTTGAAACATGGGGCTCATTCCAGGCTGATAAAATGAATTTGAACGGAATTAAAAAGCAAAAACAACAAGGGTATAACTCGATACAACAAAAAACTGTGCCAAAGTGCGTCACTACGCAAGGTGATTTTGTTCAAAAGTAAGCAGATTTAATTAAGGCATCCATACCATCTGGCCCATGTATGCATAATTTGATCCTGAAGGACTGTAAGGCATTGTGTTCAAGAGGCCCATGCCACCTTGTGGATAGGGAGTGTTCTATGAAAAAAAACTCGTTTTTACTTTTTACTGATACCAGCTCACATAAAGTATAATAACAATTTGTGTGCATAACATCTGCAAACTGTGCATTTAAGAGAAAAAATATGAACCTTCTTAAAAAAAATATAACTGGAAATTACCAAATGTAAAACGTCAGCAAAAATATTTTCTACAAGATCAAAAAATTTCCATAAAAATTAGACAGTGCAGAAATGCTACAACTTAGTTCATGTGCCTGCCAAGTACTAAACACTGCACTATGTTAACTGCTGCTAATAAACAGAATACAGTAACTTAAGCTTTTGGAATAAGCATCATTGTATACTTACCGACATTAAAGTTCTCATGTCTCTTTCCATGCAATGTCTCAATTTCTTACTGATTTCTTTCTCTGCTTCATAAATATTATCTAAATTTCCTTCGACAGTTATTACTCTTTCATTGCTGAATAAAGGTTCAACGGAATAGGAGAATGGGCTGAATTCCTCGAACCTAAGAAACACAAAAAGTCAAAAGAGGATGAAGTTAGAGAAAAATAAGCCATGTTGACGTAACAATTACTTAATGTCAATCATTAAGACTTTCAACTGGGAAACATTGATAAATAGAGAATGGTTTCTTCTTTCTTCACTCGCTCTCTAAAATTCAAAATTTCATATGTCTTAAGACTCCTCGTACCCCCGCACTGGCTCAGTACCCGCAGTTGACTAAGCAGTCTTTTCAAAGCTCAAGTGCCCACATTACCTTGAGACAAGAAACACTTATAAATCGTAGAATTACGTCATCAATATGTCAACAAATCAACCATCTAAGCAACGAATGAACCACAAAAGCCCTATTTCTCTGTATTAGTATGAAATTGAGAGCTGTAGTATTAAGTAGGGTAGTATTTCTTGACCCATCCAGTAACAGGCCTACCAAACATGCTTCAATAGAAAACACAGGTTTTTATTATGAAACAGGTAAATCTCTGAAATTAGATTATGAAAGAGTAAATCTCTTATCTCCATTAAAGAGTCAGCTTGATATTTCGAACAGTTTGTACGTGTCAACTTACATTGTATTAGAAATAACTACTTTTGCACCAGTAGAATCTTGTATGCGTTTCAAATTAGCGCCACTCCTTCCTGTCAAATGAAAAGAGGTGAAATTCCTCAAATCTAAGGATATGGAAGCTAGCAAGGTCAACAAAAACCTTTATTCACTAAACAGGCTAACAATAATTCCATTACTATTCTGAATGGGTTGAAAAGTAGACAATGCGAAGAAACAGAAACTTGTGATAAGAAAGTAAAAAATTAAGTAGAATTAGATTTAGTTCTTCGCGAATGGGACTATATTATAAACAAATCGAATTTCAAATATTTAAAGGAGGTTGACAATAGCACCTGCCTGCTGAATGGCTTCAACAAGCCATACAGTCTCAAGTCCAGACGAAGGAAAATGGTTTTCCTGATTTTGCTTAGAGGTGTAAGATAAAAGAAAAAATCAGACAGAGATTCAAATTACCTATTAGGCGACCACATAAGGAATCGTGTGCAAGGATCTTGAGCTGAGGTGGCTTTCTAAGAAGAAAACAGCAGATAAAACGTGAAATTAAGTATTTGAATTATCCCGAAAGTCTGTTAAGAAAGCACACTATTACCACTGGTGAACAATAATGTAGCCGAGGTTTCCAAAGGAAAGAGCACAAAGAGGGGTTTTATAACATAAAACAATTGATAAGACTGCTTTTATTCGAACAAATTATGAATCAAGAAAATGAGCATTTGCTATTAATCAGCCATGTTAACTAATTCTGAGCTTCCCTTAGTTAACAAATTCGCATGTCTGAAAACGGATGCTTTTGACGTACAAGTATAAATAATTCTGCCAATCATAAAATTCCAATATCGTAATAAATTCATGGATAAATTTTTAACGATCAGGTATTACAAACAATAGCAAAGGAGGGTGATGAATTGTCTTTAAGAGTCCATATGGATACGTATCTTTAACTAATGCTGAACTTACTGATCAAGCTAACTGTTCAGCTTAAAAAATTTCAGACTTACTCATCTTGTCCTGTCTTATGCATCTCTTCTACAATTGCTTTCATTATTTGGCTACATGCTTCTGAAAAGTTTGCAGGGCTACCTTTGATTGTAGTTATCTGAAAATTGAGACGCAATGTGAATTTAACAGGCAAAGGAAATTAGGACACCATACATCGTTGCCTTAATACTAGCTAACATAGCTAACTATAATCAAAACAACAAATAGATGTCAGGTTCTTGCTTCGAAATAATTCATTTTTAATTTCCAGCTTGTTTGTAAGTTCCCAAATGAGAACCTTTTTGCGAATTCGGAACAACAAAAAGAAAAATCATAGCATCATTTAATTAAGATTATAACTTGATCAACCTTTGATGGGTGTGCTGCAGCACAACGGCTAATGACTTGCTATCAAAGTTATACTAAGTGAGTTAGTTTTGTCAGAATATGCAGCCCTGTTTCCAAGTCGAGGCTGGATTTGAAAAACAAGTTTAGTATATATATATAGAAATCCTATTCATCATGAGATTTCTTGTGTTTCCAGTCAAATAACAAATACTTCATGGTTTACTATAAATAAATAAAGCTTATTACAGAAAAATTGGATTAAGGTTTTGCGGGCGACTAAAAAAATGAATCTTAGGGAAACTTACTGTATCTTCAGATCCCTTATTCTTTTCTCTGTGCACGTCTATTCTGCAGAAACATAAGACAAAGGGTATAAATTATCTTTTATATGACAAAGATAGAAAAAAACAAGAATAAAAATATCAAACAAACAAATGATGATAATGACTTTCAGTTAGAAAGGATTCTATCGATCATAACAAAAACACCCGCAAATTTAGGCAAGTGAACTTACTTTGTGTTGGTATTCTCTTGAATTTCGTGGATTGTAGAGCCTCCTTTACCAAGCACTACTTTAATCATCTTTGTTGGAATGAGAATTCTAAAAACAAGAGATATTGGTTTTGAACTCTGCAAAAATGAAGAGAGATGTAGGTGGCTACACTGTGAAGCTATGTTGCTATAACTAGCATGCTATTAGAGGACTCGAGGGACAAATCACGCTTTGTGAATCTCGTACACGTTTGGTGGGAATCCTATTGTTTTATCTTGAAACCCCTGGAAATCCTTTTGCATGGGCTTCGACGCAGGTTGGGAATTGAGGGGGGGGGCAAAGGGAATATTTAACAATCATAACAAAGAATTTTGAATCCATTGTTTTCCAAAAAAGTGGGCGGGGGGACAGGGTCCCTGGCCCTCTCTTCCTTGGAGGCCATGTTTTGTTTATGTGAAAATCTCGTACGCTATCTGCAAGAGTAAATTACCCCTCGGGAGGACTGAAATCGTCTGTGGTTCTTTGTCGGATGACTGATGAGGGAAGTCAAGAATTATTTTCGTTTGATGATTGATGATTATTGATGATGATTGATGCTGATTGATGATGAAGGATTAGGGTACTGACTGTTAATGCTTATGTTCGATTATGATTGATGGTGATTGATGGTGATTGATGATGAAGGATTAGGGCATTGACTGTTAATGCTTATGTTTGATTATGATTGATGGTGATTGATGATGATTGATGCTGATTGATGATGAAGGATTAGGGCATTGACTGTTAATGCTTCTGTTTGATTAAGATTGATGGTGATTGATGGTGATTGATGATGATTGATGCTGATTGATGATGAAGAATTAGGGCACTGACTGTTAATGCTTATGTTTGATTATGATTGATGGTGATTGATGATGATTGATGGTGATTGATGATGAAGGATTAGGGCATTAACTGTTAATGCTTCTGTTTGATTAAGATTGATGGTGATTGATGATGATTGATGATGATTGATGCTGATTGATGATGAAGGATTAGGGTACTGACTGTTAATCCTTATGTTCGATGATGATTGATGGTGATTGATGATGATTGATGACAACGAGTAATGATTTATCATTATCGTCAGTTGATTCTTATAACAAAGAATCAGCAACAGTGAATACCCAGAATTTGGGAAATTTTAAGATGCTGATAGAACAACTAACAAAATCAAACAGCTCACAACATACATTTTTAAAATAAACATCATTATCATTTTTCGTAATCTAGTAGAAACCAATATATGTTTCTATAAAATTTATCAAATTACCGGCAAGGGTACTGTTCAAGTTGCTGTTGCTGCTGATGCTGTTGATGATATTGCTGTTGGTATGGAGGGGTGTTTCTGGGGTTGCTTCTTCTGTAGGGTCTTCTTCCCCTTATCCCTCGGTCCTGATGTCACAAATGAAAGTAATACTACAACTCCAAGTTTGCATTTACATTAGAGAATATCAATTTTAGAATGCAATACTAAACACAGTGAACCTGATATTCTTCCATCAAGCCATTGCAGATGTTCACAGATTTAGACTGCCTGTTTTTGCTAGTATTTGTATTATATATTTATTTGTCAACTGTCTGACAAAAATTTGAGTTACTTGTTTGCAAATTATACTTCTTTTGTTGCTTTTAGCTCTTGTTATTGTAAATTTGTGGTAACATTGTTGGTTAAAAGATTTAAAAGAATGCAAACAAATAGTCAAGTTTAAATCATTATCATCATCATTATCATCTATTTTTCTCTTCTAGCAGAATTTTCCCATAAAATCTTTGTTTAATAAAATTTCATTTCAATTTTGGCTGAAATCTAAATTTGATCGATAAAAAAAGATTATTTCAAGCTAGATGTGTTGGGATTTAATAGAAGTAAAAAGAAAATATCTTCTAAATAAGAATATAAATCACATTTATGCACTTTAAACTGATTAAGATTGCAGTAGTAGTAATTGAGAGAAAATGGTTTGGAGGTGTTCTTGTCCAGTTACTATTTTGCTGAAATTTTTCATGTAAAATTTGGAAAAAAGTAAACAAGAACAGCCCAAAAGTCTTTTGTTTAGTGACATCTGCATTGTGTCATTGTGTAAGTTATTTTAACATTTTTTGGCAATTGCAAAATTTGAAAAAGAGCACTTCATCAAAACTGGACCCTGTTAATCACAACTAACTTAAAAAGTCTGCTTGAGAAAAAATTCACAAAGCCAATAAAAGGTCACAGGAAATCCTTAAATCCTTTGTTGTCTCCCAGATAATGGCTAGACAATGTAACAATGTCTAGAGCATCACAGGTCAATTTGAATAACAGTGAACAGATAAAGTCATTGATACAAAGTATTAACCACCAGCCACTTGAGACAAAGATCTTTGACCTTGTCTATTTGGCGTTGCAGGGAAACCGCCAAAACTGGTCGCAAAAAACATTAAATGTACCAAAAGTGGCTTGAAACATTTGTGAAAGGTATGATAGTTATCAAACTTCTTAAATATCATTAATTCAGAGATTTTACTTCAATTTACTAGGCAAAAGAATAAAAAATTCATGGAAGCTACCATGAGCGGTAGCAACAAAAGCTACTGGGCCTAAGGTTCTCGCAGTCTCTAACTCACAAAATTTTATCTGCTTAGCCAGACACAAAAGAAACATAAAAAAGATGAACATATTTACAAAAAGAGTCTATTGACCATGCAAGTTACATGTTTTGGCTTAATGGTGGTGCTGCTGGTTACTATGGGTAGATTTGAAAACTAAGAAAGTAATTTAGTTTTAACTCAGAAGATAGCAAATAAAAAATGAATTCACTTGACATTCTGCAAAGTTTGAATCCTTTGGTGGATAAATATTTCAAATAATAAGTTCAGTGATTGACCTAAAACATGTCAACTTACATAACGCCAAAGTATTAATTAGCATCCCTTAAGTCAAAAGCATAGACAACTGTTAAATGAGAAACTGATTGCAAAAAGAAACTCCTAAAAATGAATGTTTGCAAATGTTATGTTTAATGAGTGTTATTACATAGTTGTTAAACATGAAGTTAATGATTGCAAAAAGAAACTATTAAACATGATTGTCAACTAAACATATATTTTAGCAAAATGCTTCCATAATATAGCAATGAGCAGTCTGCTTCCTTTAAATAAAAAATATTTAAAAGAGACACATTGATTTAATCAAATATTTTATTTAATATATGGACACATACCCGTTCACCTTGATCTGCTCTGTCCATAAAGGGCTCTCTACCTGACCTTTGTCCTCTAGAATAAGTCAATTCTAGTTGTTAAAATGGGGTTATTGCCTAAATTGATTCAAGAAAATCCTATAAAAACTTTTTGCTTACATTATTAGGCTAGACTACTCGCTAATAAAGACATTTCTCTGTTAAAATAGCTTTGGGCTAAAAACAGAGAGCAAGAAAATCATTATGCTGCCCATGTTGGAAGCAAAATAAAGAGTAGTCATTAGAGCCAATTGAAGAAACATTATACAAAAAAATGAAATAAATACACAGTTATATAAAACATTATACAATATACAAGAAAGTAAGTCAAGTATACAATGGACAGGATCAAATACCAAAATAATCTATCTACCTTGGAAAGTTGACTGTGATTGGGAAGTCCATGAATATTGCTTCTAGAAATTGACAAAATAAACTCTATAAAATTGTGCTGAAATCAAGAAACCAGATATACATGGCTTGCCATTAAAAATTGAAAAAGCAAGGACCAATATAAAAAACGAGTGTAATCAGACATATATATCAAATACTTAATAAAAAATCACACAGTACAATAGACTAGGTCAAATGATCCCATCTAAAATCAATTAATTTGAAGAAATTATGCAGCCATTCTGGCTCTGTGCTTTGCCAAAATACGAGTTGGTGAAATTTTGGCTAACCACATAGAAAAAGTTGACTAATGGAAGATTTCTCTCCCTAAAATAAATTTAGCCTGTATATATTGGCCACAATAAAAAGACAACTACAAATTCAGTATCATGACTGTTAATAATAGAACTAATTGCTGCTGCCTACTATATATTAAATGAAAGTGGTAAAAAAAGAACTGCATAACCTGGTTATCAAACAAACAGGAACAGATCAGTGAGTGTGAGCAAAAAGATAACCATAAGTACCTTCAAGGACATGGATCAAACTTTCTAGCCTTACAGGATTTGAAAGTTCTTTATTGGGCAAACAACATCTGTTTGCCATAGACACTCTTATTTTGGTAGAAAGAAAACACATTTTGGTAGAACTTTGTCAACTGAATCGATCAAGCCACCAAAATCGATGAATATATTTTGTATAAGTTTTCTCTGACAAAGTTAGTTATAGGGATTTAGGTTTTTTAAAAGAGATAAAGCTTCCCACCATGTATTACTGAAACCATGGTGGTTCACATACACATGCATGATTTTTCAGCACCAGAGACAAAATTAGAATTGAATTTAAAAAGTCACTGTCAAAATCAGCATAATTGTGGTAAACATTTTACAAATTAATATCATACTGTCACATCTGGTGTCCAGTCTATTGGGTCTTTTGGAAATATTTTCTATGAATGTGTAACAGAAATGTTGTGTGAAATTTTTTTTTTTTGTTTTTTGAAATGTTTTTTGATGGATTTCAAAAACATTACCAAGCTTTGAAGTTCTTCTAAAGGTCAAGTGAAATGCTATTCTCAAGCAATTATGAGCATACAAGCATACCTTAATTGGAAATTTCTACAAGCTGATTTGTATTTTTGTTGCTTATTTTTGGCAAAAATAAATTAAAGACGACACCAAGTGAATGCTGTTTGTGAAGGCCTAACAAAAGAGTTGAATTGTAGAAGGAAAGATGGAACAAAAGTAATAATCGCTGAAGTTCAGGCAAATAAAGTGAATTGAAGATATGACCAGAGTCTTCCAAGTCAGTTTAGGGGCCTGTTGTGGCTATAGCTGAGCAGGTCTTTGCAAAATTTCCCTTTTTTAAGTCCTACATGAAAATTCTATTTCAGGCCAAAAGGTCCAATGTATTTCAACTTCAATAAATATAGAGCGTCATGCTGTTATCTGTTATCAAAGATAAGACATGTCACTCACTTCAACTAAAATATTCTTATCAGGCAAATCTAAAATCAAATTTAAGGAATAAAATCTTTGTAATTTGTATGATAGCTTGCAAAGGCTTACAAAGAACTACTTTTGATATCAAATATCTGGTTTGCAGTGTTATGCTGTCATTACAATTTCGAGTCATGAGCCATCAAACAATGAATCACTTTCACTTTGAACCTATAATTTTGTAACTTTTGTTATATCAGTGAATGTTTACCTGAAAGCACTTTGTTTCCTTGTTTTGATATTAATTTATTTTTGTTTAAACACAAAGATAACATTTAAAGGGTAAATGCCACTTTTCTTTCTTGTTTTTTGTCCATGGAGTACACTCACTTTTTATAAGAACAATTTTATAAGAAAACAAGCCTCAAAATTTGTCAAAAGTTAGGAACAAATTAAGAACAAGCTGAGACTGAACGACTGTAAAATGCAATTTGAACAACGTTTTATCTCAAAAATGAGGATTTTTAGCCAATATTCAAATTTTTTGGTGAATATTCACACTTGTAGGCGAATGAAGCTAGTCCAGTGACTTTGTTGGCAAATGAGGCCTGAACAACCCCCTACAGCGAAAAAGCTAGCAATTGTACTGCTTGCATCCTATTCATGTGTCCAGCTAAGGCAAGCAACTCTGCAGGGGTTTTCCAGAAACATGTGATTTTTCATGTGATTGCCACAGCCATTACGATCATTCTGTTTATCTACAGCGCAAGACATTGTGAGCAATTTTGCATCGCAAGAAAACTGACCAATCGCAAGCCGTTATTTCAATGGATGGCTTGACAAGTTGGGTATATGCAGTCCTTTTATATGGACACATTACCTTGAATTGAATAACAAATTAAGAACAATCCAGTCTCAGATTTTCGAGAAAAAAATTAAGCATAGTCAGCCTGAACTCAAATGTACTGGCTCTTATAAAAAATAGAGTGTATATCAATTGTTAGATGCTAATGAAATTAATTCTAAGATGTAAAAGTTTTATAAGTTATTTAGTAAAGTATTAAAACCATTTCCTGTATACTTTGCAAAAGTTTAGCTCTGCCCAAATGACCAGAAGCAGTTGGCCCAACAACTGTGACTTCAACACAGCATGCACTTCATGAAATCAAAACATTCTAAAAACAGTATTCTTATCAGAAAATTTATTGGGTTATTTAAAAAATATTTGGTGATTAAAACACTGTTTTCCTTTATTATTGCAAGTTTGACAATTCAATCTACTTATTTGAATTCCACACCTGAACTGAGACAATCACATGACATAGTTACACCTTTTTATAGTTTGGAAATATTTTGCTATATGAAGCCATAGCCAATAATAATTAACAAAAGTAAAAACAGACTTTGACTCATTATCATTTATACAATTTCCTTTTTGATTTCATGGGTTTGTTGGTGCGACAACAAAGCTGGAACTTCCAGACAAAACTAGAGGTGGTTCAATCAAAGTAGTTAATCGCGCACTATCCACGCGATAGTGGAATCTTATACAATGCTAAAAACACTGGAAACGTGCACAAATAGCTAGAATATTCTGACTAAAGCATTTCGAGCGAATTATTGCTAATATGAATTACGCAGGCTCTCCGCATGGATGAAGCTTCAACGTTGCATACAAAGGGTTAACCTTTAACATTATTGCAATTTCGTCTCACGACATCATTATCTAGCATCTATAAATGGCTAACGAAATGATTGTTTTAATTCAAAATTATCCATAAGATGTCGTTTCATGAAGCAAGATTCATTTCAGACACAAGTTTATTAGTGATTGATATGTTGATGCCACCTCGGAAGGTAGAACCAACAAACCAGTTTGTACTATCATTCCCAGGGGTCAAGTTGCAAGAGTTGCCGGTTCTCGCCCGCTGGGCATGTAAAATCCAAATAAAAAGGAGGTATCTAGTTATTAAAAGTGGACATACCATTTAGGTCCTGAACAGCCCTTTTTGCATTCTCTGAATCGTCAAATTCGACAAAAGCAATCTTTCCATGCATCCGAAGAGATAGGTACTTCAAGCCGTTCTCTGCAAGGAACTGGCCTAAAGCGACTCCAACTGACTCTGCTTCGATACTCGGATTGAAAGCATGCTGGTGCAAATCGATGACCACTTGTGACATTGTTCTGCTTGGGGATCTTTTTGAAGAATGAGGGAAAAGAGGGGTAAAAAAGGACAAATAGGACAACAGATAAACAACTACAGACTCATACCTACCCTACATATGACACGTGCTGCCAAGTGGAGTGGTTGTACAACGTGTCACGTGACGTTTTACATGTCTAATCTTCTGTTGATTGGTTGGATTTCGTATTTGGCTGTCGCATTTCGATGCACGAAAGAACTAACCTTGTTAATTTGTTGTGTAACTGTGGCCGTTCCTGGAATTGTTATGACGCAACAATATCCTTCACTATTGCAAAAATAGACAAAGCTTTTCGTTTGACAAAAATGTGACAAAAAAAGCAACAACCTAAGGAGGTATTTAACTGGAAGTTGTATTTGTGGGTTTCTTAAACCCTTAACGGACAAAGATGGCTAATAGAGATGGGAAATTGCTAGTATTTAATTTCTGGCTGAGGTTCAAAAATTTCAAAGGGAAAGCTACTTTGTGATCCCGCGACAAACCTGCCTAAAGGTATAAAATGGTTTGCTACTCTCCGTTATCAACCCTACTTGGCAGATCGAAAGTTAAAAAGTCAAGCAAGTGACGAATGCACAACTGACGTGAAAGAAGGGGCTTCCATATGCAGCCTATAGATGACTGTAGGAGACCTGGATACTTCGAGCTTCTTATTAAAGGTAAACACGTTCTCGCAAACCAAACTCTCAGCGTTGTTCTGGCAATAAATCCACAAGCGAGTATCTCGAGTGTGTGCTCACAACTTATCACCATTTACCCATTATGGAAAATAAGATTTTTCCTTCCTTTTTCATTATTTCTAGAACAAATAATGCAGTGAATTTGATCTTATGTGTACAAAATATGTCATTAGCAAAAAAACCACCAGTTCGATTACAAATATAAGCGTGGCGAAAACGTGACACCCAAAACATACCTGCTTTATGACTGGCAGCAGTTTAGATGCTCGGACCAACTTCTCACAAAGAACCTTGCCTGGAGGACCATAGATGAGATTATTACTACTTAGTTCAATGTCTTCAAATCTCTTTATAGGCTAGATCCACAAAACATGTGCAATCTTTTCACAAAAACCTCCAACTAACTTAAAAGGATCATAGGAATACAAAAACTGACCTAAGGTTACCAAAGAAAACTCCATAAATTGACAGTAATGCTTTTAGTTTAGTGGTGCTAGACCTTGGGTGCAGGCATGCCCCGCGAACAGCTTGAAGAGATATCTTGCACAAATGTAAATAGGGGTTTGTCATTTAGTTGTTTCATCGTAGATATTTGTTCCAGTTACTTATTGTAGATGAAAGAAGGGTTTTATGATAGTATATTGAATTAGCATATTTATGATATATAATGAATTTTAATTAGGGTCAACTTATTTTCATATAACACAAAAATGTTTGTAAGTTATGATAGTGGAGGGCCTTTTCAAAATTAACATTGCAGAGGGTCAAAATACCCCCTCCCCTAACTTCTTTAGAATACCCTTTTAACGGTAAATAGACTGTTACCTGCCATAAACAATGCACAAGTGTCTATGTTGAAACGATATCTTGCACAAATGTAAATAGGGGTTTGTCATTTAGTTGTTTCATCGTAGATATTTGTTCCAGTTACTTATTTTAGATGAAAGAAGGGTTTTATGATAGTATATTGAATTAGCATATTTATGATATATAATGAATTTTAATTAGGGTCAACTTATTTTCATATAACACAAAAATGTTTGTAAGTTATGATAGTGGAGGGCCTTTTCAAAATTAACATTGCTGAGGGTCAAAATACCCCCTCCCCTAACTTCTTTAGAATACCCTTTTAACGGTAAATAGACTGTTACCTGCCATAAACAATGCACAAGTGTCTATGTTGAAACGATATCTTGCACAAATGTAAATAGGGGTTTGTCATTTAGTTGTTTCATCGTAGATATTTGTTCCAGTTACTTATTTTAGATGAAAGAAGGGTTTTATGATAGTATATTGAATTAGCATATCTATGATCTATATTGAATTTTAATTAGGGTCAACTTATTTTCATATAACACAAACATGTTTGTAAGTTATGATAGTGGAGGACTCTTTTAAAATTTACATTGCAGAAGGCCAAAATCCCCCCTCCCCTAACTTCTTTAGAATACCCTTTCAACGGTAAATAGACTGTTACCTGCCATAAACAATGCACATCTCCCTTGCCACTGAGAGCAAGATACGTAATGAAGCAAGATGCCTTCAACTTCTCATACCTTGAAATCTTAAAGTCTTTTCTAGTGATAATCTAATGTTTATTTGGTATTTAAGTTTGAAAAGCCTTGGCCCTGTGTCACTATATCTCTTAATTGTTTGCTAAGATCCCAGATAATGTCTTAAATGTACCAAGTAATGTTTTTTTTTCAAAAAAATTAGTGCGTGATCCTTTTTCAATGGGATATTCTGGTATAGAATGGAAGTGCCATATTGGGTTATGAAATTCTAACCCAAAAAATACATTTAGAATTAAAAGTAAACCCAAAAATGAATTTTTCCGTATCTTGCGATTTATTTCTTGATATACAATTAAGAAATAAATCGACATTCCATGAAAAATATTTATCGGATCTACAGTGTTGTGTGCAAGCTTGTATAGATTCTCCTGAGAACTTTTGGTTCTTTATCGAATGTTTCTTACAAATAACGGATTTACTTTTTGAAAACTTCATTTCTAAAAAAATAATCGAAATGCATTTTTCAAAACCATGTCAAGCAGGCCAGTAAACAACTATGGATGCCAAAACAAGTAGTTGCTTTTGGTCCAAGTGAAAACCAGGGGCGTCGCGACCGGGGGGTGTGGGGGGTTGTCACACCCCCCAGTAGTATCTCAATAGGAAATTTCAGGTAAAATCCGCTTGGTGGAAGAAACGCTTTAGGTATTTTAGAGACCTTCATGTCATAAAATCAATAAAGGATCAAGCAAAGGTAGTTGCTCCATTGGTTAAATATGATATTCCTTGATATGAATGAAGGTAAACAAACTAATGATTTGAAGCTTTGAAGATTTCTTGTTGGCACTAAATCGAAAAATTCGGGCCCTCTTCAGGTAAAATTGCGTCTTGTGTCCATTTCCCCTAAAGTTTCTCGGTAGAAGCGTCAACTGCAATTCACTATGAGCTCCAGATTTTTTTACATTTAAAAGGCATGCTAAGATGGAGAGAGGGATCTAAATTGACAACCAGTGCTGCTTGTTACCTAGCTATAGAAGTAAATGACAACATGGCTTGAAAGAGTGCATTTTCCAGGGAACTAGAAGCATCAAAATTCGAAAATTTCCTGCTCCTTCGGCGGCAGCCAGTGCCGCCTCGGGTAGTAACTATAACCTTTCCCCGTTCCGATATAGAGATTTGACAAAACTATTAGGAAAATTCCGTTATTATCAAATTAAAATGAAAGTTGTGAGTTATATACAGAGTTAGATTAACAAAATACATTGCAGAGGTTTGTGACAGCAACTAAAGAATTTCAGGCAAAAATTTTTTAATCAGGTAAATTTGTAGTCCACACCCCCCCCAACAAGGCTTTCCTCGCGACGGCCCTGGTGACAACGATGGGAAAAGGAGATATTTACAAGAGGTCTCTAAGCAGAGACGATGGAAGAGGCACCCATAGTCCCTTTAGTGTCAACAAAAATACCTTAAAACCAAAATTAGCGTTTTAAACCAAAATGAAAATGAACCAGACCGGACAGGGCCCTATTGAATTTGTTGTCCACTGTTGAATTCTGGAACATCTAGAAAAGCGATTCACAAAGCACGCACCGTAGTCTAGCTGATTTGAATGAGAATGCTATGCAGAGATGATATCATTAGGCCATATGGAGCTATGAATTATCCTGCTTCTTTCTTTAATCGTTGCATTTCGCTCGAGCCTGAACATTTTTTGCATTAGTTTCAGTTACCATCAATGCTTTGGTCTAAGAGCGGTTAAATACCTTTGTGGATTTATTTCTGCCTACTAAAGAGTTAACATATTGCTCCTCCATTATAACTTTTTCACGGTGCCAACTTTTGGTTTAAAAATATAAAAAGATAGAACATTTCTGTGTTTAGGCTGTAGAGTGTCATTTCGACACAAAAACGCAGGCTTCGGTTGCCTAAGAGAATGAAAAATCTCAAATCCTTATAAAAATTCTTCATTTTTTACAGGTTTCGTGTGGAAAGTTGTCCAAATAGGTTTTTCATAGAATAATGAAATTTCCAGGTTGCACAGAAAGTGGGTAAATTTTGCGTCGCACTTAAGCAACCTTTTTCCGACATTGCCTTGTATAACAGTCAAAGGTGAAAGGAAATTTATATCCAGGTGCAGATCGAAAACACTTTGAATGAGAATGACAGCTTTTGTTGGTTCCTTTTTTGGCCAATCGGCGACCTCTAACTAGTCGCATAGTTGAGTACTTCTGGTGAGGAAATTAATTACCTCTCCATGCACAAGGCTAAATATTTTTCGGAATATAAACGGATTTCAACAAGCCTAGATTGAGGTAAATCAGAAAATAGTGCATGGTCTTTCAAAAGATGATATGATCTTTGAAAGGCAGAAAAAAACTTGATGTAGCTTTTTTTTAGGTTTTATTCACTCGCCATGATAAGGTATTACACAATAATTCATTTTGAAAATGATGAAAGCCTCTATTCTGCGGTGTCCTGTAACTAAATGGCCTTAGTCCCGTCTTCCAATAAAGCAGAAAATTATGTATGCAGCAATCGCATAACTTCAACATAAAAGTTTTATGGATTGGATTTTCCATGTTTAATTAAAAAAATAATATTTGAGGAAATCTAACAAATATCTTCAATTGATTGTATTGATGTTTAAGCATTAGATTTATCTAGTTGTGAACACAATATTAATTCATATTTGAAAATTTATCAACACAAGCCATATTTGGTAGGAAAGGGGTGAGATACCCTCAGTCAATAACAGGATTAAGCTTGTTCCCATTAACCTTGTTCATATTCCCACTGTCAATCATCTGTCTAAGTAACATTCATAAAAATTGTGATTACCAAGTTGTTGTCGTGAAACTGGCCAGAATGGTTTTGACTGGAAACACACGGGTACAATCTTTCTCCAAGTTGCGTCTCCTGTTGGGCAAACTTTAACCCATGGTTGGTCAAGGTACAAGTATTGTTTGTTTTGCATTCGATTATTATGAACAATTGAAACACTTTTTTGCATATAATTATTCAACATCCAACACCAGGGCCCGCGTCACGAATTTGAAAGTGGGAGGGGGAGCAAGGCCAGCAAAGGAAGGGGGTCAAAGCTTCTTTCCCCTTTTATTGCAGCTTTAAAACTTCTTTCTTCGCGAAAAAGTTGGGGGCAATAGCCACCACACCCTCCCCGGTGACGCGGGCCCTGGACACAATAAATTCAAACAGCTAAAAATGTAACTCCGTAGGCGAATAATGAGTGCGAGGATGGCTCATTGGTTATGGTCGCGAAAAAAAGACCCAAGGATCTAGGCTTCGAGTCCCTGACATGACCAGACTTTCACTTCCAGGCGAAGGAATCTCGAAGCGTGGTGAGATTGAGAGGGCAGCCAAGATACTACTCGATAAGCATATTTTCCAGGTGTCCTAATACTTACCCTAAACACTGTCCTAATACAAATACTAATACAAAGAAAAGCGCTTAAGAAAAGCACTGCTGCTTAGAATGAAAAGAAATAAATCCTCTGTTTTATGAATCAAATTTAATTAACAGAACGGAAGGTGTTCTTTTGATGATTCGGGTCCACTGGTTTTAGCTGCAGGTGCGATTGAGTAAAAAAGCACTCACGAACCAACCCTAACATATTTTCATGGTTGATGTCTTTTCAGATGAAACACTCCATTTGCAAATGCGCAAAAAAACACTCCTCTATGCGAAAATGCTAAAACTTCGCTTAAAATTAAATCATAATGGGTAGAAAACTGTAGAGATTTTACAAAACTGGGAAAATACAGCCTGTCGTCTTGTAAATGGGACTAAATTTCATGAAAATAGACTTATTTAATCAGCTGCAATGCAAATTACAATTTAACGGACCTGATAACAGTGGCGGCCTGGCAGGGGGGCGGGGGGACCAGGACCCCCCAGCTGACTTTTTTATAGGGGCACTAAAGCTTGTATAGAGTGCCGAAAAAAGTTTGATACGGCCGACTTGTCTGATTATTAGGTCTCTATGAGGTCAGCAGAGACAAAGGAGACGCCTTAAAATTAAAAACTTTCTTTGGGTGCATGGCCCCATACCCCCTTCTAACAGTCATTTTAGGGCACTTGGGCCCCCTGTATTACCCAGACAAAACATTTGTACTGTTCGCATGGGGCAAAAATTAATAAATTTTTTAGAGCAGTGTCAGGAAACTTGTTGTTAAATTCCTTTGTGTGGAGGGCACAGCATTTATGGAGCACACAGAAATACTCCGAAGACAGTCTGTGTTTAGGGTGTCCGGACTCATGCCCCACCCTCTTCTAGGGAAAATTTTGAATTTCAATGAGTCTCTTTGGCTCTACTGGCCTTCAGAGACCTAATTAACATACATTCGGTTGTTCAACTGTTTCATCCTAGATTAGTCCGTCTGCTATCTCAAATCACTTCCACGAACGTACAGTTTTTTATGTGCACAAGATATGAAGAAATAGCGCTACAAAGTGCATTCAAAGCTAAAACATATTCCAGCGCTAAATCATATGAAACCAGCTCTTATTATGTTTCTTCAAAAAGGAAACATTAAACAGATTACTTTTAACTCAAAACATTGACTTCATGTTTCTCAGGGACGCCGGGGAAGAGGGCGCAGGAGGTCAACTGCCCCTGTTGCCTTTGATAGGATGGGCAAGGGGCCAGAGTGCCCTATTCATTTAAGTGCCCTTGAAACCAGCCATAAGATCATAAGATCAGATATATTCATATTAAATTCTGGTTGTAAATAGTGCCTTATTCATGACGACACTTCTCAAAACTTGTAAAAAAATTCCTTAAGCCAAAAGATAGCCAATGTTCCAGATACGTACAGAAAATCGAAATAAAATGGCAGATACGAAGGAATTAGTAAAAGCTGAGAATTATCTTACGAATGCCCTTTAACTCAAGCTCGCCCCTTGGTCGTTCCTTTAGTAGGTACTTAAGGTTTCTTTTCAAGGGTCAGGCCTAATTTTCTTAACGGTTGCGTTTTTGGTCTTTTATAATATTCCTTTAAAGTTAGATAAAATATTTACTTCATTTTATATCAAATGCCTTATAATCAATTCTAGCATCTTTCAATTGTGCCATAGTGAATTCACAGATAAGTTAGAAATCGCATTTTCTAGCCCTATGAGTAACTGGAATCCTCCACTTATTGTCTAGGACCGACACTTTCAATAATTTTTTCCCCGAAACCCCCTTAGTTTGCCCCCTCACTGTAAGTTGTGTTATATCTATGTTTTGAGCTTATTAAGTTCCTCCAAATTACAAGTTTAGCAAAACAAAGGTAAATATTTTATCTGGCGCTTTGGATTCCCCTCCAAGGTGCCAAATGAACACAACAGTTACAAAGAGAACAAAACCCTCATTTTACCACATCGTATGGGTAACTCTTGGAATTTCCCTAAACATGTTCTTGACACATTTTTATTTAGTTTATCTGCTTAAATTGGCTTCGAAGAGACCCCCATGAAACATTGTCCTGACACCCCCATGAAAAAAATTTATAATTGGGACCCTGTTCTCACGTGGGGGTCAGTCTATTCTTGACATACAAGATTAAAAAATATAAGAGCACTACCAGAATGCCGATCTTTTCAGAAAAAAGACAATAATGTTAGTTATGAAGGGCGCCATTTTGCTGCTGGCCCCTCCAGGCGAAAAAGGCCAGGCCGCCTCTGCTGGATAAGGTCAACAAAAGAGAACACTCAACAATGCAAACATTATCTATCGGTTTTCTTCTGTTAAGGGGTTTTCCTGGTAAATTCTTTGAAGGAAGACCGAGAACTCGCAACCCAAAAGACCACATTTTGCCCGCGGTGATTTATTGGTTTTTTTCCGGATATATTCAAACAAGATTAGTCGAAAGGGCGATCATTATATTTGAATGACAAGGGCCAAACAGGATCAAGAAACATTGTGACATGATTTCAAATGCAAGGATTTATTCATTAGCATCTTTATTATTAACGGAAATATTTGCATTAGCCTTGCTGTATCTTCTTAATTAAAAAGAGGACAATCACAGTGATGGAGGGATGCTAAGGATAAAAGCAAATTGAAATTGCAGCAAGGTGATTAAGACTTTTAAAGAATGGTGCGGTTTTATACCCAAAAAGACAGGCGAAGGTATACCAGCATACTTAAGAATATCTATGTTGAAGACATTCTAAAGTTCTGTGTAAAATAATTAACAATATAATTAAGAATATTAAACTCATAATCAACATTATAATTAAGAAAATAAAATATCAAACAACATAAATGTGATACAGTTCTTATTGAAAACGAAAAAATATCAAATTTTGCATTCATATTTCTTTTTTATTATTCTTTATAGCATTATTACTTGAGTTTATTATGTACACATGCATATTATTCTATATAATTAATAATAAACAATTGCTTTTGAAATATAATTTAGCTAAACTTACACTACCATACAAGCATAACAAAGTCTATATACACAATTTTCTCTGGAGGAATGTAATCCAATGTCAGGAAATATTATCTTTGTTATCAATTGCCATCTGGGTAAAATTCAGTAACAAGTCTCCAACTTCATCAACCTGCAGTACAAAAGCACCATTATTAAAAATATAACATGACTATTACTTTTGATTGTTATCTATAAACATGAACTTGTGCCTCTTTAAGTATTGCTTGAATTCATTGATCTATAAAAAAAGACTTGATTGAGTTTTAATTGTGAGCAGCCCATTCAAAGAGAGTACCGTTTACTATCAATCCTAAGAGCATTCTCCTCTTCTGTGGTTTTATTTTCTGCACTCATATGCAAAGCAATGCAGCTCATATAAATCAAAAAAGCTTCCCCTTCTGTTTGGAGATCTCTTCCTTTAGAAATTGATCAGTCCTCAAACTTTGGCATTTCAAGGCCATAAGGTCAATCAAGTTTTTTTTCGAGATCAGTGCTTTAATTCTTTTTTCTTCTCTTATCTTAAAAATAATGACCTTCATTCATTTCAAGTTGAACATTCCCTTCAAGGTTATCTACAAACTGGGACTAAAAACAAAAAGGCTTTTCTCTGTGTTATCCCAATAGAGCACCCAAGTGTGACGTCATCAAAAATCTATTTTTAGAATTTCTCAAATTTGGCCGCATAATCTGAAAGAACAATATAAAATACCTCTCAATGTGCAATATTAGCTAGATATGTTCCAAATTGGGCGAGATATGGCCAATGAAAGATTTCAAGTTTGCCACCGGATTTCTGTTATTCTGGCCTGGTTCATAAAGTTTTGAACCAATACCAAATTCGTAATGCCTTTAACTGATTTTGCATATTTAGAGGTACTTCATGATGCTCTTTTAGGTCCTGGGATCAAAATTCAAAAATTCTAAAAATAAATTTTTATGACGTCATCATTTAGGTACTCTATAACTTATTTAAAGACTGAGAGCAAATTTTACCTAAAAGCTACAGCTTGACCTTTAGTTAAAAACATTTGATTCACGAAGAATGTTAATTTTAAGCAAAAATACTTGTAATTAACAGGCCAGCTAAAAAAACTGAAAATTTTGATTGTCTTTTCCCGTGGTTATATTCGGAAATGTAAGGCAGGCTCATGGTCTGTAAGATTTATACCTTAGGGCATTTTACATATTAGCAATGAATTTCATGAAATCACCAGGAACTTTTAGAGATATTTCCTTAAAGTTTTTACAAGCTTTTGAAAAAGATCGTCCCTTGCAAAATCTAAAAATCTGAGAAATAGAAAGACCAAAAAGAATATGTAGCAAAAGTTTTCAAGGCAACAATCATTCAGAAAAATTTGGATTGAACACAACTGATTCTAATCTAGCCTTTGGTATAAATACTTTTCCTCAGATATAAAATGTTTGTAATAAGTTGCTGACTTGTCTTAGTGCCCAGTAAAAATCACTTCATCTTGACATCGTGGGGTTCAAGTGTGTGTAACAGGAAAAGCAGTCATGACATTATTCTAGTCTTAAATTAGCAGAAATCTTTTCAAGCTTATCGATACTCTGATCACTAGCTTGTATTAGACACTAAAAAAATTACTCATACTCAAAAGATGGCTTTGCATAGAAGAAGACCATGTCATTTATCAGTAGGATTTGCATTTCAGAAGCAGACTACTTTGAGCTTCCAATCATCATTCAGATTTTTATCAATCTGCTTGTAAAAAAGTTTTTAACTGCAATTCTGTCCTTAACAACCTGAAAGATAATAACTTATATGTTCACATATAACTATTATTCTGTTTGATGTTTTCTGAAGCCTGTCCAAAGAAACACTCTTGGAAAATCTGCAAAGCACTTAAATCAAATATTAGCACTTGGTACAGGAAAATTGACAGGCAAATCATAAACAACAAACTATATACAATTATTTTTTTGTTTTTTTGTTTCTTTTAATTAAACAAGGTATTTAGGCCAAGATGGCCTCTAACCTTATTTAAAAAAAACATAACAATAAACATATATATATGTAAGTTTCAAAATAGCATGGAAAAGTGGTGAGGCTAGAATACTTAAAATAATTTTTGTCAGGCATGTTTCCAATATAAAACCCTTGCTAATGACCAAAATGTAAACAAAAACTTATATCAATTTGCAGATAAAAAGTAAAGTGGGCATAACAAAAACCTATTTGATTGTTTCCTTGTTTTTGAGCAATCAGTGACCTTCACAGAGGCCAACCGCTCAAAAATCTACAGACTAAGATAAAAAAAACTCTTTCTGTCTATACAAGTAAGGAATCTTTTTTAGAGAAGACAGGTTCCAAAACCCCTAAATGTAAAGACAACCTTGCTAAACCAATAGTTATTATCAAATGTGGTCCATATATCTTGATGAGACAAAAAGTAAAGTAGTAAGCTATATATGAATTAGAGTACCACATTACCTGCTCTTTTGAAGTTAGGCTGGAAATCTGGTTCGATAGCATCAAAATATCTGCCTTCTCCTTCTCAGTTCCTTTTCTATAAAAATATTCCTTTAACAAATCTGCTATATCCTTGATGTGGGTCCTTCTTTGCAAATAATTGAAACAAGATTCATTTGCACCACCATCCGATTTATGAAATACTCTGAGACGTGCAAGTGCTAGATGCAGTGGTGTTTTTCCAAAAGAATCAGTAGCTGAAATATCTGCTCCATGGTGAAGAAGTAATGTGACAATGGGAACTTTGCCAGAACAAGCAGCTAGATGTAAAGGTGTATTACCATTGACATCTTTGACATCGGGACTGGCTCCGTTTTCTAGCAACAATCTCACAATTTCTTCGCAGCCATTAGCAGCACATATATGTAGGGGAGTTCTTTGCTTTTCATCTGAACAGTTCAAATCAACATCTGGGTGTTTGCTTATTAAATTTTTGGCTGCAGTTACGTCTTTGGTTGAAGCGGCAGTTCGCAGCCGTTTCTCATTGGCAGACGTGCATAGCCAATCAAGCCTAGAGTGCCGATTCTTCCTAAGAATCCTTTTGTGAGACCTCATGAGCTTTGTCATTAGACTAGTTTGTTCATAAGGGCTCTGTACAGTGCTGTCGCATGGCGTTATAACAATATCTATATTTGCAGGCCGAAGATACATTTGCTTTGGAAAATCAATATCTTTATTTTGTGTCCCTTCGAAAGTACTTGGCATTGACAGGCTTGGTATAGGAGCAACAATTTTGACCAGTTGTTTACATTCATCGTTTTTTCCGTTTTTTTCCTCCATTATAGGAATAGAGTTTTTAAAAATCAAACCTCTACATATAACTCAGGAAAAATATTCAAATCCCTTTCTGTTGTTATTAACATTAAAATGATATAAATCACATAGCCGGAGACTTGGTATAAATCATCGGAAACTCACCTTACTCTTCTTGTCAACTTCAGCTTTGAGACGATCTTCTTCATGAGCCTCGCTACCAATGTAAGCGACCGTTGACGAGGGCGAGGTTGGTGGTTACTTGCAGTATTACCATCAACCGAGTTCATACCGTGGTTCGAACAGTTTTTAAAAACAACTCATTGTTGCTAAAAATAATTTTTAAATACTGTACTTTTCATAAAGACACTAAGCTATAAAGCAAGGGTCCTCTAAAGCCTCTTGGAAGATTTTCTATTCACTTTAGGAAAATTACTCAAGACTATGAAAATTTAGAGAGAATGTAGTGCAAGACAATTCAAGAAAACTAGCCTCTTCACAAATATATTCCAGTAAACATGATTTTTAAGAGCTTGGATAATCCTTTTATAGGGAGCTGAAATTACTTAAACTCTTTTGCGAAGAAAACATTTTTTTGTTGTAGATGCATTGAAATTGAAATAAGCATGAGGAATGCATTAGGCATTGAGAAAATAACTTAACGCTTTTGCTTGAACAGCAAATGGCTTTGAAAAAGCAAACATTTTATAACATACTGGCTAAAAGCTTTTTCTTCTATAATCCTCGTGGCATAAAACGTCAGAATAAAGGTCTGAAAGAACACGATGAAAAGATATACCTAGTTGTGGATCGAAATAGGCCAATCAGGAAAACGCACGCACAAGACCGGTATAGTTGTCCAATCAGTGCCGTGTGCCTAAAGAAAAATTACCACTGGAGTCCAAGAGAGAAAACGAACTCCTTCTGTCAACACAATGGCGGCTTTTTTGTTTGTATGTAGATCGATTCCAAAAATGCTGGATGGAAAGACGGCGGGCCCTGCCAATTATCTGAAACATGTCGTCATTATAGAGTATTGCATAATCTGGGTTATTTAAAAGATGTTGACCGATAGCAGAATCCCTTGTTTTAACACGGTTTCTAGACCTACTAGATCGAGGAGGCTGTTCTCTTTGAGAGGCAGTGTGTTTCTTATGCTGGAAGGAACATGTTGTTTACCCTATCTCCCAACCTATGGATAAAACAACATGTTCCTTCCAACAAAAATGATTTTCCAGTACTAAATCCGTTCTCTTTGGAGCAAAATCTGCAAAAATCTCCGAAAAGCATTTCAGAATCCAGTTTTGTTAACGATTGAAGTGCTTTAGCATTTTAGTTTCTATTTAATTGGGAATGTCTAAAGAACGCGAAGGAATTTTCTATGTAAACCCTTAAACGAGGGGAAACTTTAAAACTTCTGTAGAGGTATGGACTAGTATCCCCTGTGAGCGAAGCAAGCAGAAACTTTTTGCGACCACGCCCCTCATACTAGCTTAAAATACATTTCAGAATTTCTTATAGTCGTTTGCTTGCAGTCTTTTAAAATGTTTTAATTTTGTCTTATATATCCCCCCATTCTAAGGTACTAATTTTATTATAGATTTGCACTTTCCTCGGAGACCAACATTCTGAGGATTGGGGGAGGCGGCCGCCCCCTTACCCCTCCCTTCACTCCGTTCATATTTAGAAGTTTTGGGTGCATTTGTTTAGGTCTTAAAAACTAAATAAGCAAGATCTATCAACGAAGAAAATCACAAGACAATAGTGCGTTCAGGTGAAACGGCAATTTTGAGTATAGCTTGAAGGATAGTCTATTCGCGGAGGGGGAGGGGGGAAGGGGCGCCTGTTCATGATAATTGTTTCTCATAGTCAAAAAAACCTGCAGTCCTTAACCTGCGGAACCTGGTGGGGGTTCAATTTCATGTTTTCTCGTTTTAAGGTGGTTTTCTCTTCTAAAAAGTAGCTCTTAGGTATTTGGTACAAATTCTGAGCTTTGTCTTTTTTATAAAATAAGTGAAGTTCATGCAAAGCAAAACGCGAGGCAACAAATGCGTAGAGACTGAAAGACTGTTCGATTTTTAACTAATGAAGAAGAGGCAGTGATAAGTGTTTAGAAGACAAGAGAATTTTGACCATTAATTGGATTTTCTTGATACGTTCTATTAATGATGAGATATTAGCAGATCAGTTTGCTAAAGAACTGTAATGCAACAAGAACTTTGAGCCCTTCCTACCTTATTTTAGTCAGTATAGTGAACGGAGTATTGTAACCTCAATTATTCAAATTAAAGTCAAGGAACTAGGAATCTTGGTGGCTTCACAATATGGGTTAACCCGTGCCTGTGAATTATGGTCACAAATTCATTGAATTATAGCCGATCTTGATACTTTCATAAGATAAAAGACAGTGATTGATTCATTTTATATTTCTTTTATAATTTTTGATTACACCTGAAGCAAATGATAGATAAACAAATATCTAGTAATTTTTAAAAGATGGAACTGAAAAACGATACAAAATGAATGATTATGTTAGTTTGCTAGCGTTAGACGGACTGAATAGGCTTGGCAACGCAAACTTTGTCTAAAATCCTCTGCTTTATGATAAGCATTGCATATACATTTTTGCCTGTCTCAGGCTTCAAATTTATCTTTCTAATAATGCACGCAGTTATATTAACCAGTACACATGTGGCTTCTTCTGTAGGTCTTCAATAATGTCCTGCTTAGCTTTGTTAAACCAGGAAACGATCTAACCGCAACATGGTGGAGGTGGAGGAGCACAACATGGTGGAGGGCAGGCTGGTGGACATGGTGGTGGGGGTGGTGGTGGGAGTGGGGGTGGTGGTGCAGGTGGATGGATCATATATGACCACTGTTGACAAACAGGAGGGCAAGGAGGTGGTGGAGGAGCAGCTAAGCCAGGGGCACCAGGAGGTCCTGGGGGGCCGGCTGGTCCAATTGGTCCAGCTGGACCAAAGCATCCGTTGGGTCCTCTTGGTCCTGGCATTCCTGGGCCACCAGGTGAACCAGGTGGTCCTACGGGACCTGGTGGGCCTGGAATTGGTGGTGGCGGTGGTGGTGGTGGAGGAGGAGGTGGTGGGGCACAAGGAGCTGGCATTGGTGGTGGGGCTCCACAGCACATCGGTGAACAGTCAGGGGCACAACCAACATCGCATCCATCACCGCAGAAGAATCGTTTTTGGCCTAAAAACGCAAATAAAATGAAATAAGTTGGCTATCTTAGGAGAAAACAATCAAACATGAGTTTTTGAGAAAAAGAAGGTTTAGCAGTCTTGTTTTGTGTTGTCGAGATTGATGTGAGCTTTTTAAAGTTATAGAGAACAAGTGGTGTCAGTCTTGAAAAATAAAGATTAGAGAAAGTGGATCTTAGAAAGTGATATGTCTGATAATAATATGAAGGAAAAAATATCCATAAAAAGTGCCAAGAGAGTCCCAAAGTCTGTTGTTATATCGACCCACGTAAGTCCCTAAGTGTCCCTCGATCACTACCAGAGCCACAACCCACCCCAACCAGCTCTACCGCCATGAATCCCGCCAGCTCTTCCACCAACAATCCCACCAGCTCTACCACCATCGCGTAAATTCCCATGCCATCTGCAAATTTACAGGTGCCATCTGCATTTTTTAAGAACTAAATCACTCTATAACACTGATTAATGAACAAACCGACTTTTATGAACCTTGACCACAAATGCATCCATCGATGTCTTAAACATGACATTGAACATTAAATATAATCCTAGATATATTTTACTGCCTATAAAGCACAATTTAGTGTCCTTCCTTTTCTTTTTGGCAACAATACATTTTGGATATATCAAGAAAATAAAATAGCTAAGTTGTTCATATTTTACTTATATTTGAGGAATATAACAGCTAAGGGACTAAAATCTGTTTTTTATATTCTGGAATTATAATAATTCGATTAATCTGATAATTTCTTAAGGAATCATATGCTTATATTGTCTTCATTATGATTCCTGATGTAGAATATATCTATAGCGCGAAGCAATTAAAATGTCTTTTTTAATAGGATTATTTTTGAAAGCTAGAACATCGATCTAGTGCAAGATTTACTTTATAGAGCAAACAATTGTATATTCCATCAATCCTTTCCATTTAAAGTTTCCTTCCAGCCAAAGCTTGGAAACTGCAGTACTGCCAGACAGATAGTGCTAGACATAGCTTAAGAATAACATACTGAGATACGCAGCCAATCCGTTAATTGAATATCAAAAAAAGATGACAAGTCTGTCCGTATCCTTTAAATCTTTTTAACTATAAGCTTTAAAAATTCAGAATAATCAAACAAAAGTTGAAACCACAAATGATTGAAAAAATATTGTGCAATGATCATAAGGGAACAGGAATGTCATTACCAGTTGTATAGGGGGCACGACGTGGGTAGTTTTCAGCATATGCGCCAGAGACGAAAACGCCTGAAAGCTCAAATATAGACTACGAACGCGTTTTGGTTACAAGTTCTCTATTTTGTAGTATCCAAAACACGAAACTTTCATTCTGTCAAATATAATTATATTCACGATTTTTTACATGTACTGCTTGTTTTTCAGTTTTGTCAGTTCTCTATTCAAGAAAAAACTTCAAATGTCGCCTTGTCGCCTGTTCTAACTTAGCAAGATGCAAAATTACGCTGTAGTAAGATCTGTCAACTGTGAATGACTATCATTGACTTAAGTCTGCAACAGAAGCTGGTAGAAGTTCAAATCCTTGTTAAATTTTACTACCAAACTTCAAAACGATAGTTGATATACTGTAATTTTGTTTTTCTTGTAATGAGCATACTTTTCCAAGGTACATATAGCTGTTATCTTCATTGAACAAAACTGATTAAACTGTTTTTGCTTGTCTTTTCCCTTAAGATGAGTGAATCACCAAAAATTTCACACGTCTCTTCAAGCACACTTGTGCTCGAAATCGAATGCAGTAGAGAAGAAAATTGGTATCTCATGTAAATGAGCATGAAATAACGTTGGGAAATAACTTTATTCTCTACTTCATGTTCCGTCTTTCAACCAGTTTACACCAGTTTGTGGCTAGAACAAGTTCCATTTAGATCTCTTTTGTCGAATGACAACAAAAAATTATACCCATTGCAGAAAAAATATATCATCAAAACACCATTATGGTCAATCAATTCTAATACAATCAATATGCAATAAGCTAAATTTTGATTCTTCTTAAACTAATAGGTGAAATTGAATAGCGCTTCTTGAATCCGTTGACTTGGTCTTCATAGAGATGACTTCGTTGACGGTTTCAAAAAAACCTTTTAACGATGTTTTATACTGTTTATTTGCCACAGCATGTTGGAGCACATGATGGAGCACAGACTGGTGGAGGTGGTGGTGGTGGTGGGGCACAGCACATGGGTGCACATTGAGTTGGGCACACGGGTGCTGGTGGGGGTGCTTGACGAAGGAGAGCTTGGAAGTGGAGACAGATGGGTGGGCATGGTGCTGCTGGTGGGGCGGGCATTCCTGGGGCTCCTGCTGGTCCCATTGGTCCCATTGGTCCCATGGGGCCACCACATCCTGGGGGTCCAATTGGTCCTGGAGGTCCAAGAGATCCTGGTCCACCACAGCATCCTGGGGGTCCTGGAGGTCCTGGGGGTCCTGGAATTGCTGGTGGTGGGCATGGCATTGGGCATGGTGGTGGTGGGGGTGGTGGGCAGGGAATCATCATAGGTGGGGGTGGTGGTGGAGCTGCACAGCAAGATGGAGCACATACGGGTGCACATGATGGCGCACAACTAGCACCACAGAAGAATCTTTTTCCTAAAAGAAAAAATGCACTTTGTTACATGATGGTTCGTAAGTAAGCATTGAATTGCAAGTTGATTAAACATAGTAAATTTTATCAAAACAAGCAAAAGGAGCTTGCACTTTGAACTTTCACAACGTGCTTTTTATAAATAGCTGAAAAATTAGAATATGTGGATTTACTTGAAATGCTAAAGGGGGATTTTCTCCAACTAAAGAATTATGCGAAATAACGAAGAATAGGTGTAATCACAATGTTTTACATTGGGTAGTCTGCTTTCTCAAAACATATCCATAAGCAGCTTCAATTGCTAAGAAATGTCAATTTAGTATACTAAAGATGCCTTTATGTATTATCTTTTGAAAGTTTCTTTGGAATTGAATCCAAAAGAAAGAATCAAAGCAAGACAAGTACCACTTGAATTTGATGAAGGCAGACAGCAAAAAAGATTCACTTTGGTTGATAGAATATTTCATTCAATATTTTCAAATATCATTTACTTCTTACACCATTATAGCTATACACCATTTATACACATGTCATTAAAATATAACAAAATGTATTGCTTTCGTGTAATTTACGCATAGATTATAAATCTGCATGATAAGTAGCAGAAATAGTTCTAAAATGATATTGAGTCTATCTTGGTGGATGCAGTCCGTTGATTGTTCATTCGATAAAAGTCTTCAATAAATTGCTTATTTTCCACAGCATGTAGGTGCACATGATGGCATGCACATTGGTGGGGGTGGTGGTGGTGGTGGTGGGGCCATGCAACATGGTGCTGGGCATGGAGCTGGACAAGGCAATGCACGTGCACTTGCTTGCCATTGGACACAGATTGGTGGGCATGGTGGAGGTGCTGGGGCTGGCATGCCTGGGGGTCCAGCTGGTCCCATTGGTCCCATGGGTCCCATTGCTCCTGGGCATCCTGGAGGTCCAATTGGGCCTGGGAGACCACAACATCCAGGAATTCCTGGTGGTCCAGGTGGTCCTGGGGGGCCTGGTGGTCCTGGAACTGGTGGGGGTGGGCATGGCATTGGGCATGGTGGTGGGGGTGGTGGGCATGGCATCATAACTGGTGGGGGAGGTGCAGCACAGCACATAGGAGCACATGCTGGGGCACATGATGGTGCACAGGCAGCTCCACAGAAGAATCTCTTGGCGCCTACAAAGAAATAAAAGTTTTCTTAGTCTGTCTTGTATCAAAACTGACAAATTATCATATACGATTCCTAAACTTGACTGAAAATTGTGATATAAATCAATAAAAACTTCTACTGAAACCTTTAGAATTTTTCTTTAAATTTTATGAAAAGGTTTTATGGCTTGATAATTATCTTAGACAGGATGCATTCCAGAATATACTTATGAGCTCGTAATTTTGCGTATAGTCTGATAATTTAAGCAATTTCCTTTAAGACTAAAGTTTGAAGAAGATCTTTAATAACCCATTGAGGTTTTAGTAGGTTATTAAAAAAATCAATTTTTGACTTTGCATAGTATGGTTTTACGTCTTTATACAAGATGTGCAAATCCACTTCAAGAAATTCTATATACATGTCGTGTAAGCAGTGATGAATGCGAAGCAAATGTTTATGCATTGATTTGTTACGATGGACGAAATCAAAAGCGTGTAAAGGTTATGTTAGTTATGTTATCAATTAATTAGTTGAAGTAAGACCCCATTGCTAGAAAAAAAGGCTGAGAATTGTACGTTGTCAAATGCTAAACTGTGACTCATCCTCTTGCATTTTAGCTAAGATTGCAAATTTCAAACTAGGCCCTACTTTTTGAGTTATGGTGTCTCACAAAGGTTTTAGAAAGATATTAAGGTGAGTAATAAGGAGTATGTGTAAAGAAATTAGAATGTTAGTATGTTGAATTACCTTGGTTAGCAAGGAGCGTTGCGAGAATAGTGTTAGCTGAAAATATGAGTCATTCTTCCTGTGTTCGGCGTCTTCTTCATTTGTTAGCGATTAGCAGTTATAATCTTCAGCATGTCATCTTTAAAACTGATTACGCAGCTTCTGGTATCAAAAGGGCTGTTAAAACCTGCCGCAGCGTTTAAAAATGTGCGCGATTCGCCCAAAGTATGCCGCATGCGATCAGAGCGGCCAGGCTCTCTGGTTCTAGACGAAAACTTGGTCTTGCTGCAATTTGACAGCCAATTGATTTTTGATTAGAATAAAGTAAAAATTGAAATGGCGGTCAATTGGTTTGATATTGAAAAGCAAACTTGACGGTAATCTATTGCAATGATAAACTCACTGTTCATAATTGTGTTATTAAATGAAAGTTAAAAATCAGATGAATAACAAACTTGTGAGCATTGCTAGGAACACACACGTTACTTTGAACGTTAAAAAGACGGTTAAAAGTGTTAGCAAAAGTGTTAAACATCAGTTACTCAGAGAAGGACCTCAAGTCATTCAAAACATTTTTTGCAAAGCATCGAAAAAGCCAGACACTTTAAATAAAATGGTCCAAATTGGTAAATATAATCACAGCTGTTTTGCGCGTGTTCCAAACAATGTATCCAAACATTTAACAAATGTGAAAGAACTTCACCTTTTCTCTTTTCCTGCAGCAAAAATCCAGTTCTGTTATCGGCCACCAGTCTCCACAAAATAGAAATCCATCTCTTGTCAGACTCTTGCATGCCATTTTAGTCAAAAAAGCTTTTCATTTAGGCCCAGCTATTGTTAGCGCGTACGTTTCATTCAGATATCGCAAAAATCCTTTAATGCCTTCTAGCAGAGGATTGGACAAAGGCATTCATTTGCCACATGTTTTAACGTCCCTGTTTATTTCAAAAATGAAAACCTAAGCAAATAATGTCTTACTAAGACAGCTGTGAAACATGTTGGATGCTTCTCTTTCTAGAGGACCTTCACTGATACATAGAAATATTAGTCAAGCAGAGAAATTAGTTAATAAGTTTTACTTTATATTGAAAAAGGTTATTATTACTAAGTAGGTATCAATACGTTAGGGCATAAGATTGTGACTGCAATGATTCGTGGTTAAAAGGCGATTTCAGCTTTCTAAGAATATTTTATGAAAACTACCTCTCAGACATAAAGCCCTGTAGTCAAAGTTTTCTTGGATTTCTTACTGTGAAATTCTTCAAAAATTTTTCACAAAATACTGTATTTTTTTAATTCTTTTTCAACCTATTTCCAATCTACCCACGTCGTGTAAGTAAAATTTTACAGCTCGCGTTGGTTATAAATCCTCTTTACCTGACTTTTGGCCAAGAGTAAAGTACTTGCAGATTGATTAGATGAAAATACTGAGAAACTGGTTGAGCATTTGCACAATCACTTCTGTGATCATCGACTGGGATAACTCTTACAAAGTCTAATAGTCTTAGCCAGCAAAACGTAACTTTTTCAGAGTAGAGATTTATTAGTCTTCTGTATTTCCAAATCGGAAACAGTGTTTGAGAGTAAAACAAGTACAGTTTTAAGGACCCAGGCCATGTCTTTGTTACCCAATGTGAAGTGAGAATGTCAAATACCCAAGCATTTTCTCAGTTCTCTAAAAACTGTTAGAAGAAGCGTTAGAGATGAGTCAGCCGACTTTGGTTTCATAATTCGGTAATCGAATGCAATTATATTAATCTTTATGATCAATTTCTTGTTAGTCTATATTACATTAGAAAAAATTTACTATTCCATTGTAGAGACTAGGAGAAATTGTGTGGAAATTATAAGCAATAACAGGTACCTATGTACACGATTAAATGTAGCTAGTTAGTTTGTTAAAATCTGTTATCATGTCACGAAGAACGTCGAGGCTTTCATGTTAGGAAGAATGTCAGTGTGTCAGTCTGCGTTGTAATCCAGGTTATTTAGCTCAATTTGATTAGAAGAAGTTCGTTAACAACGACACAACATTAGTCCCACAATACTCCACTCTATCCCATGCAGCAGCTTGGGGCACAGGAAGGCATACATCCCATTGGCGGCGGTGGTGGTGGTGGCGGTGGAGCACATGCTGCAGGAGGGGCACACATTGCTGGTGGTGGTGGTGGTGCAGGAAGGTACACTACTTGTGGGGGTGGTGGTGGTGGTGGTGGAATGTACATTGGTGGTGGGGGTGGTGGGGCAGCAGCAGCACAACATCCTGGAGCTGCTGCCTGGCACTGGGCAGGGCAGCCGTAAGCTGGTGGGGCTGGGGCGGGTGGAGCAGGCAATGATTTGATCATAGCCATCCAGTGCAGACAGATTGGTGGGCATGGTGGTGCTGGAGGAGCAGGGGCACCTGGTGGTCCCATTGGTCCCATAGGTCCGATGGGTCCCATAGGGCCCATTGGTCCTGACATTCCCATTGGTCCACCAGGGCCAGGGGGTCCCATAAAACCTGGACCTCCGGGAAGTCCAGGGGGTCCTGGTGGTCCTGGAATGACCATAGGTGGTGGTGGTGGAGGTGGTGGCGGTGGTGGTGGGGCCATGGCTGCTGGTGCTGCACCGTAACCACCACAGCATCCAGCACTACAAGAAGGAGCACAACTAGGAGCACACGAAGCACCGCAGAAGTATCTCTTCTTACCGGCTGATTCCTCTTTCTTGTCTCCTGGAATACTTCTCTTGTCTGGAAAGGAAGAATTTATCTATTAACAACACAAGTCAATTGAATCTAAAGTAATTTAAAGTGAAAAGTATTGATTACAACAAGGGATAATATGTCCTAGCTCTGGAGAGATGATTGTACTATTGATAAGAATTGTAGCTTCAAAAATGCTTTTGTTGTTTAGGAAGATTGAGCAAAGAAAAGATCTAAGTAAAGTTAAAAGTTAGTTAGTTAGGCAACCTTAGTTTTATGCCATCCATGCTTTTAAAGGGAAAACAGGCTGTTTCAAATTTCAAGGTGCGTAAATCTCTTTCTGGCTTTTTTCCTATGAATTACCGTCTTATCAGCTATAGAAAACCAATTTTCCATCAAAGCAAGGAAACTAACCATCATCCTTGACGTCTCTCACAGTTTTAATTATGCGCCCATGATATAAATACGCCTCTTCCACTAGAAATAGAACGAAAATCTTTGCATGAGTATTGCAGTTTCCGTTTTAGTAATTTTGCTTTCTAATTACCAGAAGAAAAGTCTGAAAATGTCTACGTTTTGTCTCTTGTTTGCTTATTAAAGAACATGCCTAAGCAAAATTGCAGTTCAGCTAAATTATTTGTTCCTATAATGGACAATATGGTGACAGACTAAAGTGAACTATTTCAACATGTTTTGAATGACTCAAGGGATGATGATAATTTGCTTGCAGTGATGCTTGCGTTCAATGAAACCTTGCTCTTAATAGTTTGGCTAGCATTACAACAAAAATGAAGTACATTAGTGTGGTGTAAACAATTTTTAAATTGTTAAGTTTTAAAGCAACTATATATAAGAGTGGATTATGGCAAAGCTAAATAGCTATGAAGATAAATATTATAATGAGATACCAGGAGAAAGGGATTTTAGAATCTCATAAATTGGTAGGCCTTAAAGAATTATTCAATCCTAAATGCAAAAATTGTTTATTTTGAATTAAGCAAAATATGGGATAAAAATCGTACCAAAGACATTAGGGCTATCAGTAATTCAGGTTGCACATTTTTCAAGAACTAGTGTTGAGCTCGATAAAAAGATCACATTTTTGCTTTTCAGGCCAATGGTATTAATCAAATGCATGCCAAAACAAGGGTGAGAATTGAAAATCAATGAATTTAGAACAGATCAGTGCTTCCGGAGCAGGTAAGTATGGTCTAGCAGTCGAAATGCAAAACAAAACTACACGGAAATGTGAGTCACAGGTACGGCACCTGTTGCGCATGAGCTAGCGAAACAGGTCAAGAAACCCAAGATCATCTATTTGTTTGTGACGTATGTATCCAAAAAATGGCATCTTTGCCTCGTTAAAAATATTGCAGGAAACAATTCATCTTTTAAGTTTTTGCGATTCTCGGCAAACAAAAATTCTGATGATCAAAACAAGCTTGGAAAATAGAAAGGCAAATCCTGAAAAAACCCTTTTCAGAAATTGAATTTAGGGCTTTGTTTTCAGATTTAAGCAGTTGATGCAAAGCAAAATTTCCACAACAAAGATGGTTTTTCTTTCTTTTATGTCTATGCTTACAAACAATACCCAGCTAAAAACAAGGCATTAAGACCATAGCCTTCCCAAACTTTAATTGATTATCGATTTATGCACCCTACTATGTGATGGGTATACCCCAGGAAGGGATAAAATAGTAGTGTCAGGGGAAAGCAATTAATAGTAGAACAAAACATACTGAAGTCCTAATTATAGTACAGAAAACTCACCTTTCTTTGCGTAGGCCGATACGGCACAGAATAGGATAACTGCAATAACTAACTTTGAAGCCATTTTCTAAAAGAGAAAAGAAATTTTCAGTATTTGCATTTCAAGATTGGTAGAAAACGAAGCAGCAAATCCTTCTAGTACCATATTGCGACCAATAACAAAAGCGAATGCAGGTTTCTATTTTTCACTTTCGATTTTTTCACCTAGAACAACAATTGATTTCTACTCATGAGAAATTTGAGTAGCTATTTCTGGCCCCAAGTTGAAATGTCGAAGGAATTTGAAAGATATCAAACTTCAATATTTTGTCATGCACTGAACTGCAAAATTATCTTGCTTTGCTTGAAATTGTACTTGCAATATACAAAAGCTTTTGCAGTCAAATAGACACTGAACGTCTGGAAAAGTTGTAAATTGGAACTTATTTAAAACGTTGCTCGTTTACGTGGAAATAGCTCAATTCAAGTGAAGTAATTTCTCATATTAGTTATAATTTGTCATCCAGCTCATCATGTTTCAAAATGGTACACAATTTGGAAAACATCTGTACTTTGTAGATAAGACCTTCAGATACATATATGTTAAAACATTCGAAAAGACAGCAGCCATATACATTAGAATTGCTGTGTAAGATTACAAACAGCTTTAAGGTTAGTATTTCTTTTTGTCTTAGTGTTTATTGTAAGGAACTACTGGCCTAAATTTAAAGTGTAAAGATTTCTTGAAGACTCACCTCTGATTTTGACTGACCACCCAAAGTAGAGCTAAGGATACAACTGCTATGAATTTTGCTTATTGCATTTGAGATTAACCCTTGGCGATTATTTATTCATGTGGTGATCTATTCACCTCTGACCAAGTGATCATGAACAATACAACCAGTAGACGAATTTGATCGAAATTGCTTGTAGAAAAATTTCTTTTGATCATGTTCAGTGACCACGATGCGCTTGCAAGAAGATCATATTCTACCATAGTTTTTTGAAGGGTTGTGCATGAAATCACCAAGAAAATTGATTTCAACCTAGTAAGTTTCTTGTACATTGAGTGATCAAATCATACAAAACACCAGTAAATAAATTCACGTGATGACTCATGGCAGGAACGTCAAACCTGTGGCTGTTAACAAAACTTTCCAAGTCAAGTGTTTATTTAGATAATTAACGCAAATGTCATAAACTATTGTTTCAGGTATTCTGGTTTAGTTTGTAAACAGTCTGTGGAAAAAATGATCAAAATGCCTTTTTAAAATCAAAGTTTGATGGACAGAAATCATTTGCCAAAGAAAATCTAACATCACAAATTGTGCTAAACAGAAATCTTGTGCTAATCTCAATACAAAAAGCTTATTCTAAATACATAACTCGCTTACTTCGTTAAACAGTCAGTATTCAAATATCCATTATTGCTTGAAGTAAATTATAATCTGGACTGAAAATACAAATACAGATTTATCTTCTTCAGCATGCCAATGTTCATCTTGAACAAATTTTATTTTTCTAACATTCTACTTCTGTTTCTATGCTAGATTATTACGATAATTTAATAGCTCGATGTTAAAGGTGATTTTTAGAACTTTTCCTTAAAAGTTTTCAGTAACAAACTTTTCTAAAACAAAGTCTTAGTTTTCCCTTTCTTGTTGGGCAAGCACAGTTTCAACAGGGAGAGAATATGCACGAATTGCAGATTTTTATTTTATTGAAAAATGGCTCTAAAAATTTATTAAATCAAACACTGAGGATTAATTTTCAAGTTTATATTAAGCAAATTTTTGATTTGCTTTAACAAAATCTTATAAAGGCAACTCAAAAGTTTAATTGACTTTTTTCTCTACTAAGGTTTGTGATACACCAAGGTGTGTTTTTACTGTTGGTAAAAATGTCTGGCACTTATTGTCATCTGGCATTCCCGTTTGCCCACTTTTAAATGCCACTCTGCTGTTTGTTATTTTATCTAACATCATTAGTTAATGAGTTCAAAAAGATCTTAATTTCAAAACTTTCAAATACCAGCTGCGAGATAAGCTGAAATGTTTTCTCAACAAGTTACAGGCTTGTTCTTTCTATTATTTTTATTAATTAAATTAAGTAAGCTTTTTCTTTGTGTACAAGCAGCAAACATTGCATTAGACATGGTATCGTTCTCTGAAAAGATTATTCATAGCTTTATTGCAGTTCAGTTCCACTTAAATTGCAAAATTTAGAATTCTTCAATATTAATTATATTCTGCTAAGTTTTATTTTTGCTTATAAATATTTGCACTGATTCTAAAGAAATATCTAGACAATGCTAGGACGCTTCATTGCCTCTGTCTGCTGACAGGTACTCAGTGCTTTACAAAGCTATTGAGGTAATTCAAACTATGCATTGAAAATTCAGAACTTGAACTCCTTGTACCAGTTTCTTGTCAAAACGCTAGACCTCTTTGAAAACAAATGAACTCTAAAAATAGCAACACAATTTCAAGGACTTTGTTTCTCTTCGATGAAATTAAACAAAATGTTCTAAATTGTTCGAAGCTCTAACTAATATTCACAGATAAACGATAGCGTTATCTAACAAAATCAAAATAAGCGTTATCTAACATAATCAAAAAATGTCTATAGACATTAATGCATCGAAATCTTTTTATTTGCTAACTAAATTATCGTTATTTGAAATCTTTATTATCGTTTATGCATTGAGGCCAGCAAAAAATATAATATATACAATTGCGGACATCTATTGAAATAAACACTGATACGCATGCTGGATGTATTTTACACTATCTAAACCCTCGCCCCACATTCTATCCAAAGTTGCTGCGTGAATGTTTATAAGGGGAGATCAACATTGATAAGAAAGAGGAGATATAGTTTTCTACATTCAGATAAGGAAAAGAGATCAATAGAGGTATGAAATATGATAAGAAAGATTAGGAGTTGAGTCAAGTAAGTAGGTTCAAAGCTAGAAACCATGAGAAAAAATGAGAATTATAGAGGTTATGCTGCTACACAAAACACATGAGCAACTTTAGAATTTTTCAGAAACCCGTTGGCAGACTAAAACCTAAGGACAGATGAGTATGCCCTGGAATCTGAGCAGAAATAAAACTTGAGGAATCTTATCAATCTTTTTACCATTTTTAGCATTTAAGCTCAGAGGTTAGACCAGGCATCTTCATTCTAAGAGAGAACGTGCTGAGTATTTTTTTAGGGGCTACTACTCTGTATAACGTTTCAAAAGCTAGAAGATAGTTCGCCAAAAGATGATAGCATGTAATTAATGACATTTCTCTAACTTTATAATTAAAAAGTGGTCTACTAATTTTAATGAATACTTAAACCAAAATGCATTGATACATTCTCAAAGCTTGAGTTTGCACTTTTTTGAAACCACGTTAAGTACTATTTAAAATGGCATACTTTGAAGATTGCTAGCTGAAAGATCTCCCTGGAGAGATAAACTCTTGCAATTTACTGACATAAAAAAACTTTAGTATAAAGAAATGCCTGATGCCTCCTTGCCTTCATAAACGAATAACTAGAAGACCTATTATCAGCATGAAGTCAAAATCAATCTTAGTATCCACTCAACCTTGGCTGTTTTTTCATTGTTATTGTATCTTATCTCTGGTTGTTCATTACCACGTTTTTACTCTAAATCCACTTTATTCATTTAGTCTCTATTCAAGCGCAAATCCTAGACAGAATCATGTTTAGTGACAGCGCAAAAGCACATCTACACTAGTTACCAGCCTGTTACATCGACCTGTAAGATTTCTCTTTCCATTAATAAAAGATTGACGCCTCCACAATCTTTGTGTTGTTAGAGAAAGCTTTCTCAATGCGCAAACCAAGCAAATTTTTCTATGTTTAACTCGATCTTTAAACAAGAAGAGTCTAGCTTTTGATGTATTAAAACTACACTTTTGTCACACGCCCCCCCCCCCCTCCTCCCAGCAATATTTCAAGACAGTGGCAAAATTCGGGCAAATACTCGGGAATATAATGTTCGGGCATTGGAAAAGTTTTCTTTATTTCTTGATATACAACTTAAGGGCACAAATAAGCAACCCAAATATCAATAATTATTTTATTTGTATAATTATTTATACTACTTTGGATTATATATTCATACAAGAGTAAGGCTTTATATTTAGCTGATATATATTCAGCTTTATATTAGGCTTTGTATAAACATAAGGCTTCATATCTATATTTAGGCTTATATAAATATATTTTTATCATTTGAAAGTGCAACAATTCGAACAAGCATATACGATCGGCTAAAATATGTGAACAAATTTAAATACACTCAGATACAACCTGATAGATCATAACAGGGTTTTATAAGTCTTCATGAATTTTCTACCCCCTCGACTCCTTGTATTATTATTATTATTATATATACGTATATTAATTACGATGAAATATATTACATTAACTATTTTATCTGTTTCATTGGAATACTTGTTAATTAAATTTTCGGGAAATTAATGGAAGACGGAAAAATTTGAGCAAACATTTGTTGGCACCAGCCCCCCTCCCCCCTCCAATACTTGAGGTATCAATACGCTAGCAATAAACTAGCAATGAACTAGCAGATAAGTGCCACATGTTTGCAAAACTTTCTGGTAACATATTGTTAGAAAATATAGACTCCCATACTAAAAGAAAGGTTTTTAGCTAGAAGGATTAAATTTTTTTGTAATAATTTTGCTTTGTTTGGAAAGTCTTCTCGATTTTATGGAAGGAATCGATTAGAGCTGATTTGAGATATTTGAGGTCCCTTGCAAGAAGAGAACCTTAATGTCACAATCGCATTCTTTGTGAACACACATTTGAATGCGGCTTTGCTGTTTGTTTATAAAGATCAATGAACTAAGGAATAAACAGAGCACAAATAAGTGACTTTTTCTAACTATTTAAAGGTGGGTTGCTCCTAAACGGGGTTGAATTCAAGCTACAAAGCAAAAAGCAGAAAATTTATAATATCGGGGTACAATGTTGTTGTGAAAAGCATATGTACAAAGATTTATTCAAAGAGCGGGGATGTTATGGTTAGTTAAAGAGTAGTCAACTGTGTAAGCTTGCTGACAAGAGAAATTAAAAAAACGCCATTAATATTTTTGGCAAGGCAAAACGAACTCATCATTCAGATGTTTGTTGTGCTTTACAAGTTGACAAGGCGTTCATCATTTTCAAATTGCGCATTTTAGTTACCTTGATAGGCCACTATCTAGGCAAATTAAGAATCGGTTACTGCTGTAGACATTGAGGGCAGCAGATACGCTTCGTTACCAAAACCTGCAAACAGTCAATGGGCTCAGTCAAGGCCAAGGAAATTCTTATAGCATTAAGTTCACAATAACAGGTGTATAGCGTCGGATTGGATCTCAGAAAAATAGGCCTAAGTATTTTGCTTATGCCAACCATTATGGAAAGGAAATGAAAAAGACAACTGGAATCTTTGTCAGGCACACGTGCTAGTCACCGGTGCACAGAACAGACTTTTCTTCAACATAACAATGCACCGTTCGTTATCTCACCTATCGCTAACGACCTGTGACTTTGCATGGTGCTTCTTACTCGTCCTATTCTTTGCGGAGCCTGCAAAAAGTCATGGTAAGGCCAGAATTTTTTATTGTCATCAAATTGAGATTATAAGATGAACCTAAGCTAAAAATTTGCATGGTTGAAAATAATACCAACATTCTTTTTGCAACACGTTGCAACACGTGATTAGAAAGGTGATACAACCTATACAAAGTTTAATCGCAAATTTTATAACGACCCTAGCAGTTTTGAGTCTCAAATTCCTCAATTTTGCTTTTCAATTTTGCTGCATTTAGTAATAGAATTATAAGTAAAATGAATCGGTAAATGTTTTCCCATAATATCACTTGACTTCCAGCGGCTTTCAGCTTGTTGAAATCGATGAAAGTTTCAAGTAGGCTTTTTAAATGCCTCACAGATCTTTACTTGTGCCGTTGATGTCTACTTTCTTCTGATGAACTTGTTTACTGCTTGCAATAGATAATACCCAGCACAGCTGGATTCAATTTGTAAGAAATTGAGTACCATTTACATTTGACAATTACCCGCCCCTCCATTGCAAGAAAAAGATCTTCGTGATTCGTCACTCTGTCACATACATGGACACAAACAATATGAAAGCATTGTGTTGTGGTAACAAAACACGTATCCAAGTCCTTTAAGCCGTGCCTTGCTACTTTTGGCATTTTCTGTTGTGATGATATTATAAGATTCTGAAAGTGAGAAGGTGTTTACCACGACATACTTCAGTTATAGCTGTCCGTCGTTAAAATGTCTCTTATTGGGTTGGGAGATTTCCGTTATTGAAAGCTTTACCGTTTTGGCGTTTGAAGCAATTCTAGAATAAAAGAACCGCATTTAAGTTATAAAGCTAATATTCGTTTATATGTTATAGTTGAAAACTACCTCGAAGCTACCATTTGTGATGGCAGTTCCAAACGAATTAGTTGTCCACAGACACAAGATATCCACATACTACAAACATTTTATGGGAAGTGGAGAAACCACGACTGCCACGGTCCACTAGCCGTCAAAGATAATATCCTGACATGCCATGTCGAGCGGCCTAAATCAACAGCCATCATAAGAGACATATGCCAAGGAAAAAACAATTGTGAACTATACGCGGACAAAACAATATTCGGTGATCCTTGCTCTAAACTGTCGAAGTATCTTTATGTGACGTACTTCTGTTTACCTTCCCATTCAAGAAAGAAGACCCAGCCAAGCCGCTCGATTTCAAATTTACTAGCAAACGTATCACCTGGTGAGGTTCGCGGATTTCTTAGACAGAATATAGAAAAAGGTATCCAATCTATTTTCGATATTTGGTATTTTATAACATAGAGATAACTTGAGAAAATTGTTCTTATACAGCAATTCAATACACGGCCTCATTTCGGTAATTACTCCTCACTTGACAGTGCTAATTTTTGAGCTCAAATTAGGATTTACCATCATACTTTTTTAATCTAATATCTAATATCTAAATCTTTCAATTATTTGTCGTCACAAAATGTCGTCAATGTCACAAGCACAAACATCATGAAAACTTACATGTATGCTAAAATCATGGTCCTTGATCAAATTTGAATTTAAAAATTTAGCAAAAGACGCGTACATTGCAAACGAGGCCGCTTATGGAGTTGGTGTATTTTAGATGTAATATAACGGTAAACAATACATAACGCAATGCTACATAACTGGAAGAAGCTATCCACGCCAAAGCTCTAATCCAGCCAATGGCTGGGTCAGTTCAGGAACTTTTATCTTTATATTGTGCATAACACATTAAACAGCCAAAATCAGCCTTCTTTGGCAAGATTAAAGCATTGATTCAATTGATCTGACGTCCATTACCATTTCTAGGCAATCAAGAGTAAGCACTACATCTGTGGCATTGCACTAACAAATGACTATGAAAACAACTAACACAGGACACTGTATGACAATATTAAATTGCTTTACTTATGTAACTCTATCTGCCTTTAAATAACAGTTAACCTTTGTACCCTTTGACTCGAGTGCTCTATTTTCATAGTAAATTTACCACATTGGGGCAGACGTCATCCGAAACTTTTAAATAAGATCATACAATAATTAGACGGTGTACAGAATCTTTAAGATGAGCAAAACTTTTATAAACCCCGATGTTATCACTTTCACTGCTTTCTCGGTGCAGACCAAACCCCAAACGAGGGAGCAGCGCCTGAAACCGAGTTTCCAGAGACTTTAGATGACATGCCTGGCTCTGAGGACTTGCTCAACAGTCCACTCATAAAAGTCATACGTTTGGCGTCGGAAGAGTTATACCCTCCTAGTAAGTGAGGATCCATTTCAGAGGTCGATTTTAAAGGGCCTCGTTGGGTGCTCTCAAACGTTTATGTACAAATGAATCCTCGATCTCCTATCATTCTGATAATTTACAAACTGGAATACCAACCTTTTTTTTTTTCTATAGAGTAATGACAGTGACAAGGACCGCCGACATTAGCCGGGGCAAGTGCCTTGGGGCCCAGGCCCATTCTTGGGCCCTTTATAATGGAATCTTTATTAGTTTTCATATTCTGGAATCTATTTTAGTTGTCAAGCGAGGGGTCTACACATATTGATAGCCCTGGGGCACTGCCTTGCTTCCGGCGGCCATGACAGTGACAGCCTCCTAATAGCAACTGACACAGTTTTTAAATACTCAAAATTTTCCCTTTAACTTATAATTTATATAAATTCAAACATGATTCTCATAATTGGCATTAATTCTGGACAAACAGCTAAGCTAACAACTAACCATTTAATGCAGTGATATGCTCATGCTTAAAGTTGCATGCATATGGCTTTTTAACCTCGGCCTCTGAATAATCCAATTTCAAACTCTTATTCTTTCCAACTTATGAATTCTTTTAATGTTAAACTAATATCTCGACTATTGCTGTTTATTCAAATCGTATATATTACTAATCCTAAAGATGGGCGCTTTTCAAATATTAACAAGGTCATTTATGTCCGATGATCTGCGTGTATTGGTCCTGGGAATATTGTTAAGCTTGCTCAGTGTTGATACTCCCAAGGGCTATTTCATACCTGTACGGTATCTTCAGCCTGTATTTACCCATTAACCAATCAAAAGCATTTGGATCACTGAGCATGCACCGAATATAAAGATAAGCTGCTCTGATCTGTTTTGGAAATTGATGCTTCATGATGATTGTTGATTCTCATTTTGTCACGCTACAATCTCAGGCCAATCCTCAGTTATCCATTGCAGTGCACCTTTACTTATTGAATGCATTCCTTGATCCTTTGCAGTTGGTAATCTCAAGAACATTTGGATGTTAGCGAAAAGATAAGAGATTTCAATTCGAATGAAAACCATACTGGGCATTTTCCCCCGATACGATTTATATATGAAGTCATAATAAGAAAAATTGCCAAAGACATGAATGTTGAGGAAAGTTGTAGACTTGAATTTGGTCCTCTCAAACCCTGAACTCCGTTGACGATGGAAACCTAAGTGTGTTCTCTTAAAAAAAGTAATAGAAGAAAGTAGTACTGGTGAGAAGAGCCAGCATTTGTACGAAGGTCCGACAGGTTTCAAAATTTTCCATCATATGCACCAGCCTAGTTAAAATCAACGACACTATTTTCACATCACATAATTTGTTCCGAGGTAACAACGTGGCTCTTATGGGAAAAAGCAAGCCTTGAATCAAATGACAGTGGAATGTTATAGGAAAGGTTGTCATGAGAAGAGTGAGAACAAAACTCTGATTTATAAGCTGTATACATTGATACATAATAGCTTGATGAAATGCTGTCAAGCGCCATTAAATGTAAATTTTGTCCAAAAGCCTTTGCCCTAATGTGCATGTGCATATGATCCGTTTTCTAATTGGTACAGAGAAATTCATTGAATATTAATCCTAAACCGTTGGAATCTAGACTCGTCTCCCCAACAACGTAGAAGAGGCATTGCCTTTGGACTTAGCATACACCTGAACAGGTAGAGTCGCAGATAGTGGAGCTCTATTTCACGGTTATTTTGCATTTTATACTTGTCAACACTCGGTCAATCAAGGCCAACGTATACAGCACGTTTGGGGTGAGCAGCCAATAGGTAGGCTCTAAACAATGCTATCTGTAGTATTAATATCAAACAACCTTACAATTTGAAACATATATTTGCAGACATAGCACTGCATTCAGCAAAAGTTTGCAATGGAGAGAGTCGCACATTGGCCTGCAAGCCACAGCAGCGAATCAAGATAAACAACGCCTTTTATGGGAAAAAGAGTGGTCAAGATTGCCATGGTTCTTTGCCATACAAAGACGAAAGTCCGACGTGTTCAGCACTAGACGCAAAATACAACGTTCAGAGGTTTTGCGAAGGAAGGCGATTCTGTCTTGTGCATGCTGACGACACAACATACGGAAGAAGCCTGTGTCCGAACATCAACAAATACTTGCATGTTACGTACTTCTGCGAAGAGCCAACTGATTTCAAAGCGAGGTCGTCCGTCGTTACACCTCAGGTTGACTATGAAGAGGATGCGGTGACCAGATCAGAAATCAAAGCAAACGGTATGTAATGGGTTGTTTTATTCAATGCAGTTAGTACTGGAACTAAATGGGTTTAGAGATAGATATACGGAAATTTCTTACCCTGTTGTGAAAAGGATGGTTTGTTAAAAAATTATATTACATAAAATATTACTATTGATAGTATTATTGATAATGCTTGAACGTGAGGTCATGTCACATTAATCCAATTACATGGCCTACAATAGAGGGAACTCTTGAAGGCACCTATTGTGAAGTTAACCCAATGAGAGTTTAGGTGATCACCAGAAATAATTAGCATTTCAAGTGCTTTTAGGCTTAAAGTTTAAGGCAAAAAATGGAACCATGATGTTGCTGAATGTCGTGGCAATTTCTAGTGTTTGAATGATGAATTTCCTTCAAGAAATTATTGATTCTAACTTATCACTAGTGAAAAAGTAAGTAAATGATATGTTTTCTAAAAAATTTCAGATGACATCCCAAGGACAATTCGCGTTTGTAACGGTCATCGCAAGACAATCAGCTGCACATCCAAGTCAAAGACAATGCAAATTCATCATGCCTTTTATGGAAAGAGGAACGGACAGGATTGCAGGGGACATATCAGATATCGCGACAGTGTTGCTGACTGCATAAAAAATACTGCCTTCGACTCTGTGAATTATCTATGCAACGGACGACAGTCATGTGACTTGGCAGCTGAGCACGCGCTATTTGGGGAAGACCCTTGCCCGGGCGTCAATAAGTACCTAGAAGTTAAGTATTCATGTTAGGACGGAAATGACATCATTAACACTAAAAGGACTGGGTCGAGAGAATGAAAGCTACGCGGCTGGATGCCATTCAAAACAAAGTAAATTTAAAAGCTATCATAAAAGCAAACCCATCACTTGTCTTTATTTGCTCATCATTGCTAGTCGTGATGTATTAGTCTAAGAAGGTTCTTCCAAAATGGGAGCAAAGTCTCAAACAACAACTCCCCAGTGTTTCTACAGAACACAAGTGATTTCTAGGAGGTCAACTTTTGTCTACATTAGGAACATTGCATTTCCAGAGTTTTAACTCTAGGCACAGCCAGGCATCTTTTAGTAAAAATAATAATCGTCTACTCCCTCTTGATTAAAATTCATTCTAATCAACAAAAAAGAAAGGTTAATGTACTCAAAGCTCTGCTTAACATTCTGCGAGACAACATTTTTTGTATCTATTGTGATTCATGCCCAAGCTGGTGAAAAAAGTAGTGATTTTTTACATACAGAGACATTATTTTTAAGAATAAATTCAATTATCTAACAAGCGTCATAATAATCCTAATAATGTCTATCCAAAGAAAGTTACAGGATATTTTTATCAGTGCAAATTTTGTTGCAAATACGTTTGTTCTGGGGTCAGATGAAAAAAGTGTACTTAAAAATTTTTGATATGGAATTTTGAAAGTGACAGTTGAAAAAAAAAGAGATAAAATCTGGTTCAAATGAAAGGATATTCATTTGTGCAGCGGCCATTTGATGTCATTGCTAATGTCATTTTCTGATGAAAACTATTCCATATCAAAATTCAAGATGGTGATAAAAATATTTATAAGATCAAAATATGGCAAAGTAGCTTTGTGGAAAGATATCATTTATTGCTTGTTTCGTCATTCCTTAAATTCGTGAAGTCTTATGAATTCTGTGTAGTCTGTAGCATATCTATGTTAAAGTTCATATGTCGTGGATTTGCTAAAACTTTCTTTTATTTTACGAGATAAGGTAAGTTTTTAGTTCATTCAAATGTGAAAGACACTGATTTTGAATGCTGATTACTTTGACTACAGTGTAATATAATAGTTTGAACAGTTTGTTGTTTATTGTATAATATAATTTTTCACTAATAAAAGTACTCATTGTGATTAAATTACGTCAGAATTTTTTTCCTGAGTTCCTGCGATCTAAATTCGGTAATGATCTTTTGCTGAAAAATCTGGTTCAAATGTCAGGTTTTGAGTCGCGGATTTGAAGAGATAGGTCGGTTTAAGGATTATTGCTAAGGCCTCATTTTTTGTAAAATGATGTGTGATTTTATAATTCATTACTCAAGTGAGAAAATCAACCATGCCAATATGAAAATTTTAAGTTTGTGGATTATAGGTATTTCAACTTCAAATGCCCCGCTATGATCTTCAGCCGGTACACTCACATGTAGAATCAAATAACAAACAGAATATACTCTTCTCTAATTTTCACATTCACTCAATCAGCAATCTGATTGGTTGACTCATCAGAAGAATTCTGAGACTGGGACCTTGCTAATAGCCAGAGAAAGCCTCACTGTGCTTTTAATGCACTCAAAAACTAAGCGAGTATCAATTAATGGTATCACATAGCTGCATCAAAAGATATTCGTGAGCAAATGCACTAGAAACGCCTTTTATTTGCTTCTAGGAAACACTTACACGTTTTCAGTAAGAAAAATTTCACAACTTAATTCGTATTATCTCAAATGCGTCTAGTTTCCAACTGTTTACTATAATGCTATTGGCAACGGACGATGCCACATCTGTATCTGTCAAATATAGTATTCAGACAAAGCATACGCGTATTTTTTTATCAATGAGTTGTGTAAGCAACCATGTCTCCAATGCACAGCTAAGTAAAAAATAGTACCGATCACTGATACAAACATATCTTAAAATAGATTTGTATAACTTGTATGCTAATCCTTAAAAGGCTTTATTACGACAGATTTTCTTGTAAAATGTACAATTATATTTAACAAATGAATACAATAAAGCTATCGAAAAGGCTTATTGACATCAAAATATTATAGGTAATTTTTATATAAACATTGTAAAATTTGTGACAAAAGACCAAGAGTAAGAATACTTTCTGGGCAACCAGGTGATTTGAGCCTGGAAATAATTTATGCTTATGTCATGTGAGCTGAAGAAACATGTCAATCAAAATATGATTTCTGTTAATAATTAGGATAAGTTTTGCTAATGCTGGTCACCATAGCAATGATGAACTTATCTGCATTTCGATTGGCTGTGTCAAGTCTCCAAATACGGTCAGCAGATGTGAACTGCTTCGCAGCATATAATAAGAGAGAAATATAACCCATTCTTGTTCTAAACGATGCATCAGCAGAAGATACAGATGTCCTAGATGACAAGAGGAGAAGCGACAGACTATGGTTTTTCTGCACAAAAAAGGTGCAGAATTGAAAAGACAAGAAAAAGTTTCTTGAACAAAGTCAAGAAAAATTGGAATGTAACAACAACCATGAAAGTATAAACAGTGAAATTTTCTGAAAATGAAGCCTCAAAACGGACAATTTTAACAATTTTTCCCAACTTGATGAAGCAAAATATTGGTAATCAGGAACACTAAATTGAAGCACAGGGAGAAAGTGGTATGGAAAGGAGATATGGAACATAATCTAAAGCAAGTCCTTATGTTCTACAGCTCTTCAAGTTTATCCAATTTTTGGAGTATATTATCTGGAAGTTTATCTCGTTCAAAGGAAAATAGAACTTTGACCTGGGTGGTGTTGCTGTGATAATTGGAAGGCCATAAGTGTTCGCAGGAAAGTTGGTATGGTCTGCTGATTAATGTATTCGGAATTATATGTTGAGGACTAAGATAAGCAAATTTATTTGAGACAGGCAGCAATTATTTGAGAAGTGATTATTTTGTAGAAAGATAACAAAAGACTTGTGAAAATCGCAAATTTTGTGCTGCTCACTCGGCATGGCTTGGGATAGCCAGATGAGATTGTTCTTCCATGAAGTATCGGAAGATCTACGGGGTTTCATAATTACGATGCTAGTTTTAAACATGTTATGTCTCTTAGCAACACTGCTTCTTAATGTGTTCCCGTTGATAACCTTGATATTCGTCAGGTCTTTACAAACTGCATCAAATTCCCTACTAGGTGCTATGTGCGTTGTGGACATTGCTGTTGCCATATTCGTACAAATCATTTATCAAGCCATGCTTCAAAGTACGCTCTCATCGGAAAGTACGCCCAGCATTGGCACTTTTATTTCATTTGCTGTAATGTTTGCTCTGTGCAGAGGGACACTTTGCCTTATAATAGCGCTGATCAGCTTGGACAGGTTTACCGCCGTTTGCCAACCCTTCTTCTACTTAGGAAGAGTCACGGTAGCGAAATATTTGACAATTTGCGGGTCAGTTTGTAGCGTGTGGACCGGTCTCTGTATAATTGTAATAGGATCACGATCAGATACAGCCATATATTGCACTCTGGGATTCTGCATGACTTTCTCTTTCGGTGTGATTACATTCTGCTGCACAAAGATTCTAATGGTTGTTCGCCAGCAGCGAAGGCGAGTACAAACTGTTGGTAAAATCTCAGGGACAGCAAATACGGGCGGCCGTCGTCAACGAGAAGGTGGCAAAGCATTCTTTATTGTAATCGAGGTAATGGTATTCATTGCTGGAAATTTGCCAAGCTTGATGGCTTTGTTATGGTTCTTACCAGGCAACGTTTCTAATGATAGTATGTTAGTTTGGACCAACGTGGTAATTCTTGCCACAAACATCAATTGCGTTATCAACCCATTGATATACTGTCTTCGCTCAACCGACATTAGAAAGGGGGCAAAGAAGCTGTTTAAAAGGTCTGATTATTGGTGAAGATGTTTCAAAACTGGTGTGCTACGTATATTTTGGTTTTCCATATGCTATATCTTCAGTTGCCCGTACAGGTATATGAGCACAATGTATATATACTTGCATCCATATTTATGTATATTTGTATATATTAAACTGTTTATATATTAAACTTCCTGATTAAAACATCTTTAAGATATTTGTATACATTTCAGAGCTAAATAATTGAAACTCTAAAGACGATGAGAACGTTCAGAAACAAGTGAGTGCATTAAAGGGACCATCTAGATTAAAAAATTGTTGGTTGCTGCACAGATAATGCAATTTTGCTTTAAATATCGAAGAAAGTCTGAATCAGTTTTCTCTGACTTCATTAGACCCAAGTTGCTTTTCTTTGAATCTTTCTTTGGGCATCAAGCAATGTTTGAAAATTTCTTGTAAACCTTTGTAAATTTTGATCAAATTTTGGAAGTAAGGCGTCCAATAAAACTTGTACTTTTGCTGTTTATAAATTTCCCACTCTGCATTTCCAAAATAACAGAGAAAAATATATTAAAGAGGAATCGCTGTTTCTTCAACCCCACTTTTTTACTCTTTGATGTCATCATCGTAAGCAAGCAGATGACAAGCTAAAATGACTCGAGGACTGTTTAATCTGATATAAAACACACTGCAAAGCCAAGGAATTGAATATTTCTAAACGCTCCTGAAATTTGCGAGATCTTAAAATAAATAACCTGCACTTTTTAACCAGTATAGCAATACTTTTTAACGCTCAGTGCCTTTTATTATCACATTATGAAAGTTACCACCCAAAAATTTCAAGCCTTAAATTTAAATTTAAAATTTTAGATAGACGAATATAATATAGGCTGATTATATCTTTTTTCTGGGCTTAGGTCATCCAAGTTAGAAGGGAGGGTATGAATGCCTAGATGTCGCACAAAACAATAGAGTTAAAGGCCAATTTTTTGCCAATCACGTAAATTTTCCGAAAGCCTAAGACTCTTCATGCGCCAACAAAATTATGCTGGATTCGGCCATGCCATTTCTAAAGGGCTATAGTTCCTGTCTTTTTCTTTATACATCCAATTATACTTGTTTTTATGCACTGCTATATTTCACGCAAGTTGTCTTAACAAAGTGTAGGGTGCTAACAGTTTGGCACATTCTATTGATCGATGACCAAATGTAATATGATTATTGTATAGAAAATTTACTATGCAAATAAATTTTCTACATATACAATATATCAGAATTGTTTGTTATAGCTTGTGTTGTTAAATATCGTATGTTTAAAGACATGATCGAAAACCCAATTATGTGCCTTTAGGACATCACAACAAAGAGTTTTCCAATTAATAAACACTGCTAATAGTTGATAAAGTTAAAAAACACTTCACCTGAAGCGAAGATTATAATTGAAGCTTTCCAAAATTGCTTAGTGGCATTTTCGCAGTGATCTTTCTGTCTTTCAATTCTTTTACCTTAAAGCTGGAATCGGGGCAAGTTCTCTTGTTTCAAAACACATGTCTTGCACCGGCGAAGACATTTTCATGTTTCATTTTTACGCATTTAAATTTTTTTCAACTACAATTCAGTAGAAATCTGTTAGCGTGAAATACAAGAGAAAATAAAAATTTGCCATAGAAAGTCGAAAGCTAGAATAAAAACATTTTTGAAAAGAGAGAAATTATAATGGGAAAAGCATTACTCGATATTTAAAAAATTTGAATTGTAAAGCGGTTTAAGTATCCAGGCACTGGCTATTCCTTCTATCTGATTTTGGCAACAGTGCATATCACTGCTTTTAAAATTCATTGCAAAAGACAAGATAAATGATAAAACAAATTTACATAAATGTTTAGAAAGTTGCTGGAATAAATGAACAAGCTGGTAGCAATATATTTTTGTTAAATGATATAAACTGCCAATAGACTGGCTACGTTGTAAAGGTTGAAAACACACACATAAGTAGCTACTACTGATTTGTGTGTTTGTTGTTGTTCATTCTTGTCACGTTGCATTGTTACTTATTTACTACATTTTATCAATTTTCCACCACAAGACTTCCATCGGAGTCCGCTGAGCAGCCTGCTATCGTGGCCTTTTTTATTCACACAATTGCTACAGAAAGTCGAATGTAACGAGAGCACGTTTCTACTTCAGTCCCTTTTCATAAAAAAGGTGCTGTTGAATGTATTTTTAAGCAAAGTCGACTAAAGACACTTTGGTACACTTTGGTACATTTTTAGTACACTTTTGTAATGTCAAGCCAACTCAATGTTTATTAATTTCCCTACCTTTCCAAGAATGTTACTTAAACGTAACCCTGGAAAACAAAGAAATACTTTTAAGCAATGATAACAGCAGTTTTAAAGCAGAGCAGCATTGGGGTTCTGGACAGCAGTTGAAGAAAAAGCAGAACATGCAGAATGGCTCTGCAAAGCGATAAACTACTTGAAGCAGGGCGAAATGCGGCCTCATTTCTTAATAACAGCTGAGCTGCTGTTTTGCAGAAGGCACATCTTATCTAGTTTGCGGTTATATAATGATTTATCATGGATTTGAATTAGAAGCAAGGTGAAAAGAATTTTCCATAAAACGATTGACTGGCTTTGAGATACGTATTGGGCCACAAACAAGGTTGTAGGTCGTGGATAATTTACAAACACATAGAATCAAAACTAGGCAGCTTAACTGAACCATCCGTTTGATCTTCCATGCGTACAGACACAGACGATGAAATTGTGGAAAAACCAACTCAAGCATATCGAAGATCAACAAAAGCCAGTGGCTATGTGAAGACTGTTTACTTGCTGCGCAAGGCTACTTGCAAGAGTTGCTTGTGATCACCGGTCAACTCAATCAGCCACTGATTACCACTGGGTGCTATGCCACCGAATTTCCCAGGCATCTCTGTGTGCAAACTTTTAAGATAAGGATAAGACTTAAGATAAAGAAGTATTTCGATTAAATATTAAACATTATGCAGAAAAGAAGGACTTTATCTTGGTGAAAGCCTGCAAATTTGACATGGAGGAGAAGATGATTTGTTTAATTTTCTTCTTCGCGTCAATTAATCTCTCGTTTGAAGCGGCATTACCTAGCAATTCGCAACGCCAAGGTAAGACACAATTAATTACTTTATTTGGGAGCAAGTATTGCTAGTGCAGGCTCATTGCTATTTTCAGAATGAAGCCAGTAGTTACAAATAAAGAAAGGCACATTCATTACTTCAATGAAGTATGCATCTTTCACAGACCATTGCCTTGCCTGGTAGCCATTTCAGTTTCTCAGCTTGAAAAGTGCTTAATTTCTTGAATGTACATGCATAGAATAAAAAAAAATTTTGGTTACTGTAGACCAGCCTGTTTCAGGTATAAACAATACCATACGCACTTTTCGCGAGTTTGTGTGTAGAACTGCAAGGCGGTTCTTAGTTGCTACACCGATATCAAAATAGCTACACCTCAGCTAGCTTCATATTGCGGAGCATTTGTAGAAATATGCATCCTACAAATTAGTAAGGCTGATCTATATAAATTAGAACAGAAATATCGCTAAATTTGCAGTTTGTGTTCCAAGAAACACATAGCGGAATTGGTAACAGAATTTCCGATCCAATCAAGTATTTTGCGATTAATTGAGAAAATACCAAATCGTATTTTTCGTCAACAGATGATCAGTTCATGGCCGTAACAGTCTGCAGAGGAGGCCGTAGGACTATTGCCTGTCCAAAACTACAATTATTACATATATTTACGGCTTTTTATGGCAAAATGAGTGGGCAAGACTGTGAAGAGCCTATGGTGTCTCCAAGGTCACAAATCCCGACATGTAGCTCCAAAAACGCTGCAAAGGTGGTAAGAGAAGAATGCCATGGTCAACAGTCATGTGACCTTTACGCAGAAGACTCTCTTTACGAAAATCCGTGTCCTGAAGTACTGAAGTATCTCTTTGTGTCATACGCTTGCCAAGGACATAGCGATCTTCTGGGAAAGCTGCGGTCCATCGAAAGCCGTGCACAGATGCAGCAGCCGCAGATGCAACCGCAGATGCAACCGCAGATGCAACTGCAGAGGCAACCTCAGCTGATGCCATTTGCACCGATGCCACAGCAGGAAGCAACATCAATAGGGACACTTAATGGTATGATTGCCTCGGCATTTTCATATGTACCGGAGAGAGCTACTAATAAATTATAGTTCTATTCTGCTCACTTAAGGAAGATTTTCATTGTAAAACGTTATTAGATAGAGCGGGATTTTGAGATTGGAGCTGTTTGTTCTAATTGCCCCAATAAAATTATTTTTGCATCTTCTTTATTACAGCTCCGTTGGTAAGCAAAGCACCACAGCAACAAGATATTCGCTCGATGTCTGTGTGTGACGGAAAAGCTGGCAGTATTGTATGTCCCAACTTGCGCATAATTAGAATACACGGGGCATTCTTCGGCAAACAGACCGGACGAGACTGTCTGGGACGACTCACACGTGACAACATACCGACCTGTTTTGCGCCTTACGCAATAACGACTGTAAGGGACATTTGCCAAGGGCAACAGTCGTGCGATCTTTATACTGAACCCAGCATGTACGGAAAAAGCTCCTGCCCAGCATCAGATAGAAAATATCTTTCAGTGACATACTCGTGCATAGGGCATTCGAACTTGGAAAGAAACCTGCAATTAATTAAGCAAAGAGGAAGAGCGGGTAAAGTCAATAATAAACATATTTTATAATTTCATGCAACTATTTGCATTAATTACCATGTAACCACTTGTAAGTAGCTTTTAACAACCTCCCTGAATTGCTGTTACATCCTTTAAGAAAAGAAGGTAAGTCCATGAACTGGAATCTTAACACACTCTCTAATAACCAATTAACTCTGTTAAAATAACATTCTTTTTTCATTATGATATGATTTTCCTAACTTTCTATTTTGTCTAGCGATATCCTCAACTAACAAAGACTATATACGATAACTTCATATTACAGCCTTGGTAAAGCTCTACTAGGCACACGACGTTTAGGACGCTATCGCCTGCACTGACTATAATTAACATCTTTTGAAAGTCAAGTATTAAACACAAATTAATACTATCTGAACGTCAGGTATTTTTCAAGCCATTTATCAGGTATTCATCACTTTAAAACAAAGATGATGATTTTTCCGTCGAATATCCGGTCTGTCTACAACCAATGGAAGCACGTTCCTTCCAAGAAATTTCAAGCTCAAGAAATGTTGATAAATTCTTTCTTCTTTGAAAACATACATGGCAGATCCATTTTTATAGTAGATAAGATGGAACCAGATGATGATTGAACGAACTCGGGTCCTGAGTCAAAGTATCAAATGAATTTAAATACCTTCAAAAATAAACCTTTATAAACTGCAATAGCAACACGGCCTAAAGTTATAGATGGTAAATAAAAAGATTCCTTACAAAAAAGATTCATTTTAAAAAAAGTTCTTAAATCCCTTCGCGGATTCATATTAAATCGCGGAAATAAACAACAATGGCACGGCAAAGACAAAACTTTTGCATGACATTAATTTGTAGGCCTCTGCTCGCGTGTATGTTTTACTGGTACAGTTTTGTTCCTTTGCAGCCTTATTACATACCAGGAGTAGATACGATTTGCATAAAATCTAGGTACAAACTTACTCTATCTATTTGCCACATTTATTAATTTTCAAACATTCAAACAATGTGCAAGAAATGAACTTAGCTGCGACAGATGTAACGTCACATAACTAGGAATCATGATTAGAAGCAAAGGGTAATCGAATGCCATAGCCTAGCCTGCATGCGAACGGTGTTGTAAACTAATCGTTTGCCAAATCGACTTAGCAAGTCTGTGAACGTTGAAATCGCTCGTTTAGGTCTTGTTGGTAAGTTTCATCTCACAAAGTCTTTCAAAATCCATTCAATTCATATAAACGGAAGGAAACCAAATTCAAGCAGGTGAAAAAATTTGGCTTTACATAAGCATTTTCAATGTGTCAGTTTCTTCTGTCGGTATTAGGTTTTGCCATAGTTACTGTTAGAATGAAAGCTGTCTGAGACTTGATAACCTCGTTGAGCAGCATTTTCGTTGCCTCGTTTCTACTTGCCAATGCTGCAAACCTTTCTGTGACCAAATCAAGCAATTCTTTTTTCAACTAGAATGAGGCTCTTGTCACACTTCCATGACCAAACATAGGGGTGGGTTACGTGGCTTGTGCTATTCCCTCCCTTTATTTTTGCATGAAATGTTTGTGGAGTAAAAGAGAAACTGCCACTTGAGTGGAAAATGAAATGCTTCCTAGAATGCAGAACAATTGAAAAGAGAATGTGAAAATATTGAGAAAAATAAAGGGACTGACAGTGAATATGGTATGAAAGGCTCTAGACCTTTCAGGAACTTTGAATAGATATCGAATCTATCATGATGAGCTAGATGAGTGCGGATGCAACAATATCTACCAAGAATCAATATCAAAGAAAAGAAATTGTGCAAGAACTTTCAAATATGCTTTCTTTTTATATCGATATCATATTAACGTAGAAGATGTTTCATGGAGGACAAAAATTATTGTGAAGTAAGTAAGACGACTATTCCTACGATTTCCTGTAATTTCTGTACATAAAACCTCTTTGCAAAGACTGAAGAAATACAAAATGAAAGAGCATCAATTTAGGCTGCATTTGAGTGGAAACTGTGGTAACTGTGTCAAAGATCCTTTCCACTACTATCCGTGAGCTAAGAACAAGAAACTTTGTTCCATAGAATTGTAGAAGAAGTTCATATTAACAAATCTTGCTACTGAAACATCAGCAACAAGTTATTCAAAAATGTTTAGGTTACCAAACATCTAAAACAAGCTCATTTTGGAAGAAAAATCGCCAGAAGTGCCAGATCATCAAAAAAAACCTAGAGAACCTTATTCAAATAGCCATAAGTGATGGTATCATGATTATGGTTGATAAATGCTTATGTTAAACGCGCTTTTCCAGAAGGCAAAGACACTTTTCTTTAAGCAAATCAGTTTTCGAATACTTCCTGACAATACGGACACCAGCCAATGGTCGACCCATGTCTCATAGATCACGCTTATTGTGCAGCTTCTATTCAGAAAATCCTGCATGCTGGCCTACCGAATAACTGTTATTATTGTATAATCAATTTAATGCAAAGATGTTTAGCAGGATGTTTTCGCAGAGGATGCTAATCAGTTCGATATTGTTTTGTGCATTTGTTTTGTTAGCAGATGCCTATCCCTATTATAGCGGTAAGTCACTTACAATCAGAATAAACCTTTTGAAAAAGTATCAATAAAAAGTAGTTCCTCTTTTTAAGTGCTTGTTAGCTACTATGCACATGCTAAACATCTCTCTTTGCAATAAAATGGTAAATAATAGTTGATTGCTATTTTCCATTGGCGTTTCGCTCCGCACAGGCCTCCTGTTTGCCTCGCGGGCAATTGTAAATGTCGCAAACCCTCTCTTCCTGAAACATTGAAACGTAAATTTATAAGGCAGTTTTAGCAATTTTTCCATCTAAGTTGTTTTAAAATTTTGCAAAAGGAATTGAGCATTGTGTTTTTATAAATCACATTTGTTTTCGTAACCGGCTGCGTATAAGTCGAAGTTCCAAGACCAAATATTAGGCTTTGAAACAACACTCGACTTTCACATGGAAAATTTTTACTTATGCTTACCACTCTACCTATTCTTTTGGGTCTCTAATCTTAATTTGGAAGGCGGGAGTAACTTAAAAACATGTTTCAGCTATTATGTTGCTATGTTGTTGTTTTTAGTTCTATAAAGGATTGCGGTTGCTTAGGATATCTAAGATTTTTGCATATTATTCAATGCATCTTAATTAGCTTACAGAAGTTGAAGAACTGTTATAAGGTACTTGCATTTGGTTTCTAATGGTCTATCTGATTAGCAAGTATATTATAAACTATATCAAGCAGAGTTGCCAAATCGAAAGTAAATCTATTATTTGATATTTTGGTATGATTGTATTTATCATTCATAATGTAAATTAACATAATTTGCATCACGGATTTGGAGGGGATAAGCATTGCATTTGCCTATCGTTTTCTCAGTGGTCATTTTCTGTGTAACTACAATTTCTTATCTTTCACAGGATGGCCCATGCCCAACGCTGCTGGTTTTGCTCCTTCGCAATTCAACGCAAACGCCCAAAGGCCTTGGTACCAACAAGCTGCGGCTCGTACTATGCCAGTACGGCCAGTAACGCGTTATCCCTTCTACCCAAAACCAAACCCGAGCATTTATCAGAGACCAGCTGCACGACAGATGCTGCAAAACCCTTACCAGCCTGCGCAGTACAACCCTGCGATGAACCAGCAATTGAATTCATTCAATGCATTCACCACCTCACCTTCTTGTGACATGTGCAACGGTGATTGTAACAACTGGGCTTGTTTTGGATGTGGAGGTTGTGAGACACCACAAGCTGTGCAGCAAACATATACGTATCCGTACCAAAGACAAGATGCAGGTTGGTCCCGAAGTTACTTATACCTGTCATTCTTATAACAAGCAATATTTGAACCTGCAGTCTTGCTAGTAAGCGATTTTTACCCGTATCGCCTTCGACTGAGAGCTTATTTGCCGTGTTTAAAACAAATTTCATATGCATCGGCGAGGTCCACTGTGCAGACCAGACCATGCATTATTCATATTTGTTACAACTTAGAGGCAGCAATAAAACGCTATATGACGCCTACCTTATACATTTGGCAACCTTTTTTGCACAAAATCAAAGCAATTCACGGCAAAGCAATTCACGGCAAATACAGTTACTCACGTCACGTTGGAAGACATCAGCAGCCAAAAGGAAATTATCTTACACTTCCCACGCTCTTGTTCTGCCAGACAAATAGGTCCCTTGTAGTGTAGTTAAGCCATAACAAAGACAATCTAGATTCTGATCCATCTCTTTCAAAGGCATTCGACAATGGTCTGTTACAGTGTAGCATGACTTTTCTCTGCAATGGTGAACTGTAAGAGCAAAATGCAAGTATATCAATCTTAACAAAGAGTAAGTAAAGTGGAAACCCTTCAAGAAGTTTCCTGTGAATTTGACAAAGTACGAGAATCCTGCACGTCAAGTTTCTTGCCAGCATGGGGCATTCTCAGAAGAGAATTTATAATTTTACCACCTTAGCAAACCGTTGGTTGAATGCCCATGCTGTTTTCCTGCTAGAGGAAAACGATCTAATTTGAAGCCAAATCACTGCTTCTATCCTGTGGTTGCCTATCCTAAGGTTTCTGTCATATGGTCGTCATTTTCTGATCAATCAGATTAGCATTCGTTTTTGATTTGACAATTCATTGGGAAATCTGTGCATTTTGGTCTGTACAACAGGACGATTCTAGGCTAAAGCTGCGAGATTAACACTTAATGCATTGTCTGATGCCTGAGAACGGCTACCTGGTGACTGCATTAAGCTAAACTGGAAGTAGTAGTTTAGAACCGTCCTGTGCTACATACTACAGCGTGCGCAGCTCTGTCTATTCAGCATTACTCACAATATTACATAAAGATAATTTTTCTAACATATGAATAAAAATTGCATTTAATCAGAATAAAGCATTATCAATCAACGTCAATTCAATGAAATATATATCTGATTATTCCAAGATTATTATAACTGATATAAATATTTTTCAGCGTTCCATGATAGTTTCATGGGCCATGAGATGGCACTATCAGGTATGGTACTTTGGCCAGTTCCAAAATTGCCTAAAGCGATGCGAAAATTAAACCCTAAAAAAACTAGATCGGAAACATACGAAGAGGAAGCTGACGATGGTTCGGCTAGTGGAAATGGATCAGGTGATGACGAAGATGAGGAGGACGATTCACGATAACCGCGAAAACTTTAAAATATCTTGACGTTGCCAGCAAAAATACTGCATTTAACAGTATTATGCTGCATATTACTTCAACAGCATGTGGATTGTTCTAAGCGTATAAGCCAGAGCAATATTGCTGATATGAAAATTACAAGAGTAAAGAAATCATCAACATACATTCATTAACAATGGACCATATATTGCTTAAACATTGCTTATGTATTGAGATAATTACTAAAGAATAACAAGTGAAAGTTTGAAAATACAGACGAGTTGAAAAGGTTGAATTACCAATGTCCATGAAGACATTATCACTTGCATAAATAAACGATCAATGATAGACTTTTGAAACCACTTTTTTCAAATGAAAGCTAGTCTTTTCAAACACTCAAGATTTTATCTAGAAGTACATTGATATTCTCAATGTTCGTTTAATTTGTAATATGCTTTTGTGTCTACACCAATGAAATGTTCGACTCATTAAAGAGAAGAAATGTGATTAGTAAAATAAGATGAAGTTCTAGATAGTTCTTTCAGATAGTGAAAGCTGACAAAGAACGGTTAGGTTTGATATTGATTTCTGCAGCAAACAATTGTTCACAACTTTTGAGTTTTAGCTATATCAAATTACAACTACTTCTGTAAAATCCTCCTCAACATTGTGTATGACTAATGCTTTACAATATCTTAGCTACAAATCTGTAAATATTTTTCGATATAAAGTTCTTCATGACACATAATTGACTGTCTTTTTACTGACAATCTTATTAGTGGGCGCAGCTGCCTTAAATTTTCAAAATGGCGGTATTTACCTGGTAAGATACACTCAATATTCGTGTAAAAATGAAATGAAGTCTTTGATACTTCCTTACAAAAATTTCAGCAAATTTGAATTTTGCCGTCACTCTCAAATATGACAATTCAAATCATCCAAAAGCTGTCTTCTACAGAATTGCAAAGATGAACTCTCTCAAAAGACCTTCTATCCACTTCAATATCGGCCAAAGATATAGCTAGCAACATAATTTGGTTCTTCAACGCATAATGTATATTTTGAAAAAAAAAACAAATATATTCAGTTGTGCAGGACCTCGCAGTACTAGAAATTGTCATTATTGTTAAACTGACTTTATATTGAATTCCTAATTTGATAGCATCCTTTAAAAAATGTCAAATACGTATGGAAGTATCCGCTATATAACTTTTGTGCCTTTAATAAAACCTACTAACATTTTTGTACAAATACGTACACAAGAATCTCCCGCCAACAGCGAGCTGCGATGCGATAGCGGGTGAAGTGTTTCAGTCACAAGTGTCACTGTTAAAAACCAAAATGAGGAAAATTGAAAAGTGGACAAAAGGAAGAGCAAGGCTATTATCTCCTTATGTTTCTTCTATAAACCTTTTTTTAGGATGAATGTGGAAAAATGCTGCACATTTCCATGCCAGCGAGCAGGGCCTGAAATAAGAACTTTTTACAGATCCACATTTCTTCATAAAAGTTGGGCGTGGTACTTTGCTGCGAGTGGCAAAATGGACGTGACAAATATAGAAACTGCCATCATAGTGCAAATAGAATGTTTTAATTAGCCAAAGTTTAAATGAATGAAGTATAAGAAACTAATTCTTTACAGTATATGGATTGGGTTAATAACAAAATTAGCAACATATAGTGATGTCTTAGCTTGTGAGCAAAAAGTTATCGAAAGGTAACCCTTTGAAATGGTTTGTTTGGATCTCCGTCAAAACTATATTTCTTTCCCTTCTCCTTCGAAAACCAACTTAAATCAGTCTTGCTTCCCAGATTCTAGTGCTTTTGGTTTTCTGGAGTCATATTTTTGTAGCTGTTCACAGAACTCGAAACTTGCGATATTCGTATATTTGATAAGTGTTTCTGGAGCTATACTGCTTGCTTTGCCAACCTGTTACTATCTTTTTGTAGATGGGAATCAGTCTCTCTACATCGTCAGAATCGGGGTTTGCTGTGAGAATGCGTGCCATTGTCTCCCCTGGTATAATTCCTCTGAGAACAAGTCTCAGATCTCTGTGATTTTAGTTATTTATTTCTCAAATTTTAATAAAATCTTGCTAAATTTTTATCCGGGGCTAAAGCTGAGTGAGACCTTCAAAAGGCATTTTAATTCCATTCAGCCCATCAAATTCTTTGTCATCAAATCTTTTTTTCAAAAAATTTGATACTATAAACGAGAACCTTGTTACGGATAGCAAATAATCTCTTCTCTCACATATGTACAAATTGTGCTTGTCTCTTTTTATTCGCTTTTCGTGTAGTTTGAAAGCATGCTTATTCCCCCCATCTTGCTGGTAACGCAAACACCACGCACCAGCCCATAGGGAAATGGCTGGAACGGAGCTAGGGGGTTTGCCATATATTTTTACGACCACACCCTTTTAAACACCGGGAAAAATTTGCTTCTTTCTGTCCTTATTCTTAAAAATAACGATTCAGAGAAGATTTCAATTACTATAAAAATACAACACCGCCTTAGATAAAATACAAATTTATCTTTGATCAAACGAGTTAAAGCACCATGAAAAAGACAAAAACGGGTTTCCAGTCAAAAAGAACTGCTACTAATGGGTTCGTTAGCGTAAACTTTAAAAACATTTTCTAACCTATGATTGCAAAAAAGTTAGGGAGGACTATAGCCCCTGTTATGAAACATTCCCAATTATATTTTTCTCCCAGATACCACCGAGAGGCTTATTAAGTTATAAAATCACACTAACTTGAGATGATGTCTTGAAGATGTATACCGAGTCCATCTTACTTCAAAACAGCACGACAATATCAAAAAGCGCAATTGCGTTTTCTCCGCATGAACTGAAGCTACAAGTTTTGAAGTTTCTTAATTTTCTTTATTGTCCATTGCTTGTTCCTTGTAGCATTTTACTTATAAAAAAATGATTGCAATCCATAAGGCTGGGATTGGGCTTTAACTTCCAATTTAAAAAACGTTTCTAATTCCATCTTAGGCATTTCAATTGGTATTTTATGCTGTACTTTTGAGAAAGTGCGCTATTTACATATCAACACTTTTTTCAATTACAGTTCCACAATTTCAATTTATAACTTCACAAAGTGAGTAAGATCCACACTTATTTTAGGCCCTGACAGCGAGACAGAAAGAAGTGGCTCCTTTTCTTGCCTCGTTTTCAGTTTTCGTTCTTTCCCCACCCAATTAAGTCAAGTAAATGCTGAGAAACGGAAGACGTCTATCTGTATCGTTTAGAGGGTAGGCAAAGTACCACCAGCTTAGATATATATATATTTAAAAAATGGGTTTGAATACGATATAAAAAAGCAAACAGGATCCTCTTGAAATTCTGCAATCTTGTTTTTTATCAATTCGTGAAAACTAGTCCTTTTTGTGAGCTTTCTTAAATAGGCCCAGTTAAATGATTTTCTTAGATGACAAGTTAACGAAACGTGAGTTGCAAAAAAATACAGTTCGAATTCACTCTGCTTGCTTAGGAGTTAGTACGTTTTTCCTTTCGGCAGAAAGAAGAAAAATGAACTCCCGTTCAAGATAATGTGCTTCAAATTGCCTAGAATATGCAATAAAAACTCTTAAAATCTAGCAGCGAGAGCATTTAAAAAGGTTCGATGCACAAACTTTATAGCTATAAACAGAAATGAGATGACCAGCCATATGCACTTAAATGGGAGACGTGATCCTATGGTGTCCCAGTATACAGGCAGGTTGGCGCATTCATTGATCAGTGTCAATTTTCTGCGCAAGAGGTCAAGCGTAACTAACCATTTGATCTTTGCATCACAAACGGATATTCACCGAAGAGCAGGACAATCTTTCTTCTCCCTTCTTATTGTTAATAAACAATTATTTTCTGGCTGGAGTATAAAAAGTTATCACCGACAGAAGTTCAAAGGTATGTACATTTATCTTTGGTTAGAATTTTAATACAAGGTTAAAATATTGCTGCAAAAGATGGTAAAATTCAAGTAACGAAAGGGAAAAATTTTTTCCAGCATTCTGCTTGTCAATAGCGTGATTACCACAGAGATAAAAAAGCATTCCTTTTGCTGGAGTGTGTTGAATAACCATTCTCTAGTCTTCCTATAGGATAAAAAAACATGTTCTTTCCTACATAAGAAACAAAACTGCCCCTCAAAGAGAACAGCCTTCTCGATCTTGTAGGTCTAGAAACACTGTTAAAATAAGTGATTCTGCCATCGGTAAACATCTTTTAGATAAAACAGATTGTGCAAAAGTCTATAATGACAACATGCTTCAGATAATTGGCAGAGCCCGGTCGTCTTTCTATCTAGCAGTTTTGGAATCGATCTACATACAAACGAAAAAGCCCCCAGTGTGTAGACAGAAAGAGTTTGTTTTCTCTCTTGGACCCCAGAAGTAATTTTTTTTAGGCATGCGGCACTGATTGGACAACTATACCGGCCTTGTGCATGCGTTTTTCTGATTGGCCTATTTCGATCCACAACTGGGTATATATTTTTCAAAACCATTTTCAAGTTCTATACCGCCAAAAAACTGCTCATATTCTCTAGCCCTGAAATGACCTTCATATTTTCATTCTTTTCACGTGTTAAATGTTGCAGCGAAAAGTAGACAAGCATTGTAAAACCCAGGCATAAATTCATGGGCTAAGCAGAAAAATCATGTGTCATGTCAGGCTAGTGCTGCCTATATGAATACGTCATTTTTGACACAGCAAAAATTAGAGCTATACTCCCGGACAAAAATAGTTGCGACTTTTCAAAAATACTTTATGTTCTCTCTTTCCTTTGAAAGATAGCTTTCACCCTCCCCATATTCAATGTTGAATGCATGATTTTGACGCAAAAATGATAGAACTACAAATCCAACATTGCTGTGGGGAAAAGGGGGGATTCGAATTAACAGAGGCAAGGTAAAGTAGAAAATTACATAAATTGCATTTTGTCTCAACATTTTTGTCCGGTCCGGGATTATAGGTATTGAAAGAGTATTGTTAAAAATAGGAAGAACCAAACGTGTCAAAGCAATTGATCAGCTGCAAATAGGGTTATTGTCTTTGAAAATTGAGGGATGCACCCTTTCTGTCCCTCGATCTCTACAACTGTGTTTTTAATAGCCTGACGTGTTTATGGTTTGTTGTGTATAAGGCAGTGTACAAGCAGAAACTATAAACTGGTATCTTGGAACCAATTGATATTTATTTCTCGTTATGTATTTGTTTAGCTTTGGCGAAGTTTTATCTATTGAAAACCTTGAAGTATTATGTCAATTAAAAGTTATTTTAGTAATTTATAGAACTTAAGGTTTGTTTTCATAAATCAAAATATCTTTCAGTACAGTTTTAGATCATACACTGATTTCATTTTTATCTCTTGTTGCTGTTGCAGATGTCGGTTAAACTAGCAATACTGCTGACCGTTGCACTTGTGTGTGCCTCTGTAGAATCAATAAGACATCACAAAATAAGAGCAAGAAGTAAGTACAGTCGATTGCTAATTCTGCATCTTACACTTCATCATCATCGTCATCGTCAGTAATATCCTCATCATTAACCGCTATTATGAATGATGCTCTGAACTAGTAAGAAAGCATTGTTAACTGCACAGGAAAACATTCCCCCCGTCATCATCAGCTGCATAGGGACGCAATTATGAATGAGCTTTTTATGTAATTTAATGAAATAGTCATCTACAACAAAAATTGAAATCTTTTTTTGTGCCATTTTAAGGGGACTTGATGCACAGAGAGGAATACTATCATGATCGAGCTGGTATGTATATTTTAGGCTTTTTTCGATTATTAATTTTGAGAACATACTGAGAAAATGGCCCTAAGTAAAATAGAAACATAAGATACCACTTGTTGTAAGGACTGAGGTAGGGAATGCAGCAGGGTTTTTTTCAGTTAACTGACTTTTTTTTACTTTCGCTTTAAGCAAATCATCGGTGAATCATTGTGTACGTAGAATGACACATGATTGGATAAGGTAAAGGGGACCTGAAAAAGCTAATTGTGTAATGGGCTTAATCATTTCTGCACTGGTAAGTGGAACTTTGACAGGAAAAATCATTCTGGCACTTTGATGACAATTCTATTGAATGAATGAAAACAATAGCAAAAGAAGAGATTTGCCAATATTCAGCATCAACAAGGGGGACTCAACCCCCCTGAGCCCCCCTAGCTCTACAACCCTGATTACAGGGGATAAAATATTGCCTAAAAGTGGCTGGAAAATGGCTGAAGGATGAAGCAAAACTTACTTGGAATAAATTCATTTTGCTTAGAACATATTTTATGGAAGGCATTTGGCTTTTCTAGATTATATTCAAAAGAGAAGTGCAAATCCATGTGGAATGAGCTGCCCATCTGCTTGTGCCCCTGCCTGTTCACCAGGATGCTGTGGAGCAGCAGCACCACCTCCACCAATGCCAGGACCAGCTGGACCACCAGGACCCCCTGGTCTATCAGGTGGACCTGGTCCTTTTGGACCACCAGGGCCTATTGGACCACCTGGCTGCCCAGGATGCATGGGACCTGCCGGACCACCAGGGCCACCCGGCCCACCAGGACTTCCTGCCCCTCCAGCTGCATCTTGTCCACCCATCTGTCTACATTGGTATGCAATCATCCGCCAAGCCCCTCCACCTGCTCCACAATACTCTTGCCCTACCCAATGTCAGCAACAGCCAGGATGCTGTGGATCACCTGCACCACCACCAATGATGCCAAGCTGTCAGCCATCATGTGCTCCTCAATGCTGCATGCCCCCACCACCACCACCACCTCCCCCAATGATGCCAAGCTGCCAGCCATCATGTGCTCCTCAATGTTGCATGCCCCCACCACCACCTCCCCCAATGATGCCAAGCTGTCAGCCATCATGTGCTCCTCAGTGTTGCATGCCTCCACCACCACCACCTCCAGTCGCTATGCTCCCATTGCCAGCAAGAGCACCGCCTCAGTGTCCACCTGGATGCCCACGATCTTGCTACCCTGCATGCAGACCAGGCTGTTGTAATCCAATGCCACCACCAATGCCAATGATGATGCCAAGCTGCCAGCCATCATGTGCTCCTCAGTGTTGCATGCCACCTATGCCACAAGCCCCACCACAGATCATGATGGGTCCTCCTCCCCCACCACAGATGATCATGATGCCTCCACCCCCACCACCCCCAGCATGTGCACCATCCTGTGCACCACAGTGCTGCATGCCACCAGTGATCATCCCACCACCCCCACCACCCCCACCACCTCCTCCCCCAGCAATGTGCCAACAAGGCTGCTCTGCAAGCTGTGCTCCAGCATGTACTCCAGCCTGTTGCAGTAGGAAGCGCTCTTCAGAAGAAAAGCAATAAACATGATGATCCAATAGTTCATTTCACAACGTTATTACTTCACGTTGCTCGTATGAAGGATTTCTCTCCGCTGTGAACTATGAGATTGGTCTTAAAACTCTAACTGCATGTATATGATATCCTTAGATTACTGCATGTATTGGTATATTACTTCAATAAATGACATAACTACATCTTTGTTTATGCTATCGACATCAAAGTTACATAGCTTCGGTCAATGACTTAGCATCACGTATATTCAAGAAGAAGAATTCTGATTCAGTATTGCATACATTGGTATTGAAATCACGTCTAGCAGCAAATGAAAGATATCCTGTAAATACTGCAATTAGTTTAAACCTTGTTGAAATTATGATATTGTCAGCTGTGATTATGTATTTAACACGTTTTTTGTAAAACAGTAGTAAGTTAGAAGAAGAAACAGATTTTCCTGCGCCTAAGATGTAAGTCTTTCTCTTAAAGGCTGCAGAAAAGTATGGTTTAATTCTACAGAATTATCTGTGTTGATAGCTTATTAGTATCCCTATGTAAGACGAAAATATTATTTAAATGTATCATATTGTTTTTAGAAGCATTTGTCTTTCTTGGTGCTCTACATTTTCTTACAATCTGATTAAATGGTTACAATATCAAAGAGGTTTAGCGTAGACATTTAAATTGCCTAGAATATATTTCTCAAAAGAAGAAACTGATAAATTCTGCACCTATATTATTCTTGAAAGCAAAAGGATTGATAAACTACATGAGATGTTTGAACCAGCTGGATACAATGTAGTCTGCATGACATGTCCCCTATTTGTAAAGTCTACAAGCAGGCTATACAGAATGCAAAAATACTTATATACCTCATCAAGCAATTGAATGAAAACAGCTGCTTGCTGAAAGACATTAAGAAGATATTTTGCAATACCAATGGTTACAGCGCAATGTTTCGGCCTGGTTTGCTAATTTCCGCTTGGTGATTCTGAATCTCAAATCGTCCAACATTATGGAGTTTTTAGCACTAGGGACAAAGTAACGAATTCTTGAAAGCTTGAATTTGCACTTAAAGCTTTCAAATCTGATGGCCTCCAATCTGACAGAAGATTACACACTGACAAAATGTGCTAACGATATCTGTATGAGGTTTTCAGTATTCCATGCACCTTATAGTTGTCTCCGAAATTTCCTGAATTCAGTTCACAAGTGTACCACTGCTTGCACATTCTAACAACCTTATATTGGCATTAAAATTGAGAGAAAATAAAACTGATAGTCAAGTTGACTTGAAATTATGCTTTGCTGAATATTTTCAGGGCAACCTTTAAGTTTTCGTGCTTTGTAATAAACACTGAAATGAAACTGACAATGGGCACTATTTCAAAACTATTAAAGAACTGAACGCTGATTGAATACAATTCAAGATAACTTAGAAAAGGCTTTTAACACTAGGTAACCAAAATCTGGTTAGATGCTTCTCTAAATGAAAATTTTCCCAGTTTGCTAACGCAGTTTATCAAATTTGAATTTGATTTAAAGGTCTCTAGTTTCTCGATAAGAAGTTCCTTATGGAACAGTGTGTTTCTAGAGAACTTATGCATTAGTAAATTCGGAGTTTTACTTTACAAGAATTCTGAGTTTACTTTACAAGAAAGTTTGCTGCAACAGAGTACAGAATATTTTAAAGGTGTCTCATTTAAAAGTTAAAAAAAAATTTTACACAGAAAACTTCCAATAAACCATGTGTTGCTCTTAAAATAGAACTTAAAAAGCAAATTTTAAAATCGTGCATAGTAATTATCCTGGTTGAAAGAATTCAAGTCAACCTACAGTTTAGATCTTATCAGAAATAATTCCATTTCTTTTTAAAACCAATTTAATAAACAAGAAGCTATTTACAGAAAACAATAGAAACAGATTTGTACAAAGACTTATTGAGGATGAATATGTTTAAGAGATTTTGAGAATATATTTTTAGTAACCACCAAACCCTAGACCAAACTGATTGGAAGCAATGTAGATGTTTGAATGCTTTTCTAATAGTTCAATATCTCTCTCTAGTTGATTCATCTCTGCTTCCATTCTCTCTTTTCTGTTTTTCTTTGGAGCTGTATCAGTTACAACTGACAAGCCCTGGTACTGATGATGAATTTCTTCCCAATTTCGCTTCAAGCCATCTATGATTGCCTGCCTGTAAGTAAATGCCATTTATATTACAGCATGAGTTGGTGAGGAAACCAAGATATAATGCTGGTAAAAATAGCATGTTCTGGATTGTTAAAAGTATTAAACTAGATAATTCAGATCAATTGCAGTTTAAATATCATTTCCTATTAATTTATGAAGTGAAATGATTGTGTGACAATGAATAAATGCTGCAAAAGATATGATAATCTTATAAGATCCTTGACAGTCTTGAATTTATGACAATAGAAATTTGCTATTTTGAGCAGTCTAATGGCAAAGTTCAGTTATAAAATACCAAATTATTTTGTTACAAACCTTTCAGAATCTGATATGCAATCCATGGCACCTCTTTTCATACTTTCCTTGATATATTCATCATAATCTCTTTGTGCTTGCTCTATATCTTCTTTACGTTTGGCCAAATAGGTAGGTGTCTTTCCATACTCTTTTTTCTTTATGTATTTTGGAACAAGACCAGATGGTTCAAGCTCATGCTTTTTTCCATCTCTTGTGTCTACAAAAGTTGCCACTGGTTTTTTGGGTACAGACATAATGTTATCTACTGCATTGTTTGTGATAAAATTTCTGTTTGATTTCAACCCCATGACAGGCTTCTCTGTATGTTTTGGTACAGCGGGCTTTCTCCTTTCCTCATCGGGGTAATTAAAAGATGACTCTGTAAAAGCATATGAAAAGATTAGGTAACTTCTGACAAAAAAGCAATTTGACATACAATTTAAGATAAAGCAGAGCCATATATACAATTAGCAACCTAGAGAAGATGAGATGACATCTTACCTAGACGACAATGTAGAATTGCCAGAGAGCATTTTCTTTTCACATTATCTTACTACAGATGTGCTTATAAAAGGACAGGAAGGAAGCATCAAAATTGCAAGTGAGACATGAATTTAAATTCCTTACATCATTGTAGTCAAACACCAAGCCACATAGACAAGTTTAAGCAAGACAACAAAGCCAAGATCTGTTTTTTCAAAGCATCATAAATTGCTGATGATACTTACTGTCTGGCAACCTTGGTTCCTTTTCATGCTTCTTCAAAAAACTTTTTGGCTCATTGACATTTACTTCAGCTGGACCCTAATGCAAATATCCACAAAAATTAGAAATGTAGTTCAGACCATATAAACATGGCAAGAAACATGTAAAAACAACTAAGAGCAATATATTAAATTGTGAAACAACTTAAATCCAGTTTACAAAGCATGGCTGAGTTTGCTGAGATCTTTGATGTGCCAACAGCCCTGCACCTCAGGTGCACAAAAATCATCCAAATGGGCCATGTGTACCATTATTTGGGATTTTTGTCATAAAATGCAGGGTTGACACATTTATTTAATAACAGTCTTGCATAATTGACAAAGACAGAAATGTAGAGATGTTAAAGAATTTCAGCTTTGTAAGCTTTTAGTTTTAAAAACCAATCAATTGTTTTCAGTGGTATTTTAATGTGGTAAAGATATTTGCATAGAAATTCGGGAAAGGAACCTCCTTTAATTTTGCTTCTTCTTACAGTTTTGATGCATTCACAATCCTCAATCCTGATTTAACAAAAAGGATCCTGCTTGGTTCAGCTTCTTATAAGATATTCAAATATGTGGTCATATAATATTTTAAAAATGTAAAAACATATTCAAAATCTATAACTGTCATGGGTAAGTTCCATTGCATTTATAACATTAGTTTGGGATAAAAAAAATGGGGCATTGGGTATGAACTTTTTTGAAACCCATAGTTAAATCAAAGGTTAACATGTGCCCTTAGTGCAAAGTCTGCATCTTGGGACATAATTATATGCTCTTCAAACTGGACTTGAATTAATAAAGCTATGGAAATCGGATTGTGAATTATTGGCATTGTCAAATTGAATGAGCCATCCAACACATTCCAGCATGTAAAATAGATGTAAAATATGAAACTGATGATGTTCAAAGTCAGTTGGAAGTACTGCATCAAATGTTCAGTGCTTAGAATGCTTAATCAGGTAATTGCTCTCTGGTACATAAAAATATTCTCTGATGTTTTTATGATATTTACTATATGGTAAAGATAATGTTGATAAAATTACATTCCAACCTCTGTTTGATGCTGTGTTTGATATGGATACATTAATATTTTTTATAGAATTTCAAAATAATTAAAATATTGAAGGCACAATCACTGTAAGAGAATAGTAATTCTTTGTAAATATAGTTAGTGTTTTTAAACTTATCTTTTCAATTTGATCAAATAATTTATCTCATCTTGAAATTTTTGCTTTATTTCTAGCATGACAAATGAAAATTACCATCGTTTTGTTCATCTGTTTATCTTTCTTGTAACCAGTTTTTACACTGCTTGAGAACTTTGAAACATGTCTGCAAGAGAGAACTTGTTGTTTATCTTTAATATCTTTATCGTTGTCGGAATAAGATCTTAGTTTCAATGCTGAATATTGTATGATGTGACAGTTTCAAATAAATGAAACTGAACCGAGACAGAACTTTATTTTAAATTAACACTTTTAAAGCAAATATCGGCAATATAAAAAATAGCTCTTAAGGAAAGTCTTCTATAATGTAAAATGATGCTTAATAGATAGACAAATAAGAGTAAAGCATGTGTATGGCGTAATTGTGTTGGGTTCAATAAAATTATTAGAAGGAAGGATTGCTTCAGGCAGTCAGTTTAGGCCAGGCCTACAAAAATTATCAAAACAACTTTTACTCCACTAAATATATCTTATATGAAAAAAATAAAATCAAAGCTAAACAAAAGCTTACTTACTTTGGAGGTTTTGGTGGTGGTTCTGAGACTTTTGGTATTAAGTTATATATGCTTTCTTCATCGAAATACATGGCTCCAGATTTCGCGTCCTTCTTCGATGATTTCCCTGCCCTTCGTGTCTGCGATTATTGTGTTCGGGTTGCTACGAGCAAACTTGGTTCACAAGTTGCTAGGAAACTGTTGTTTACTAGCCTCGCATTGACACCCGAGTCAGAAAATCCCCCCTTATTTTTTCAATGATTTTTCTAAAATGAATTTTTAAAACAGCCTCAAGTAACGTAACATCCGCCCGAAATAAAAGCAAGTTAATTTTCATTTAAGCAATTAACAGAGAAAAGTAGGGGATTGCTCCATTAACCATAACCGTTCGCAAGCCTTTTTCTTTTTAACCTCAAAAGGTGACTTTCACAAATCGAACCAAATCCTTACCATTTAGATCATCACACACACAACCAGCGAAGCTCGTCTCGACAGCAAAACAAATGGTTTCTATAGCTTTTGGCAAACTGCATTTCGCAAATTAACACAAAGAGCTAATATTTCAACAGAATGCGGATAAAAACAAAGGCCAGACTACCCTGGGTACCAGAGCCACGTAAACACGAGGGCGAAAATAGACAGGAGTGCAGAAGCGGAGGAGCGTCTCTGCTTGGCCTTCGGTTTACGTCTTCGAAATCCAATGGCTCTGGTACCCAGGGTAAGGTCAGACACGGATTTATCAGTGTTGATCATGGATTATTTACGCCATTAATAATGGGGACGAATAGAGGTATGGGCAAAGAATGTAAAGAGTTTACAAGCAATCTAGCTGCAAGTTAGCCCAAACTGACTGAGGATGGAATGACCTTTGAAAAGTTAAAAATCCGATATTCTACGAGTTCGGAAAACAATGATTAAAGAATTCAATTACCAATATTTTCAATTAGTAAAGGCAGAAATCTTTTGAATCGATAAACAATTTGAAATATCTTTTTGGACTTTTTAAGTTTTTGGTTATTTACAATCTTCAATTCTATTAGATTATTTGTTATTTACTGTGACTTTTACATACAAGTTTATAATTAAACATTATGTTTTAATTCTTCTTCGGCGGTTAACAATACGTTCGGCGATGGGCTTAGATATGGAAGCAACGTGGATGGTGACTGCCTCTCATACTGTAAAATGTAAAATTCGGAATTGCCGAGAGATGACCAAATGGCCTTTATAAATCATATCACACAGTTGAAGATGGAGGGAGCGAGTTAAACTTCCCAACCTGTTCCACATATACAAACGCCATACGTTTAGAAAGGTTGGACAACAATTAAATTTTGTTCAGGTTGTAACTCAAAAGAGTGGACGGAGTTAAGTTTGGTGATGAGACTGTTCTTGCTGCAGGTTGCCGAAAAAGAAAACTAACACAGTTTTGAAAAGAAACAACTACCTTTCTACCAGAAACATCTTAACACTTCTAGAACATATAATTGAAGCTATGCTGATAAGTTGCAAGAACTATCTTCTTTTGCAGCTTACAGAAAATCATCTTCCTCGTCTGCAATTTCCTTGGCATATTCCAAATCTTGCTTCTCTCGCTCTCTTTGTTCCTGCACAAAGTGACATTGAAACGAGTTGAAAGTTCGTTATAACTTTTATAAAACTAAGATTCATTGCTGTAGTATCCTCAAAAACATGAAATAAAGTTTCTTCACCCTAAACTTGTATAATTCCCCACATAGAAACCAAATGTGTGTCCTAATATGATTTACACATGAAATTGGGAGTGAGCCTAAAAACGCTGTTCTGCTCCAACAGACCAATGAGATAATGTTAGCAGTTTTTTCTTTTCTACTTGTAGGCAGCAAGCTCTAGTTTGCTGCGAGGTTAGCTACAGGAAGTTAGTTTCAATTTAACATTTCAATAGCATGAAAACGAACTATGGCCATTTTCCAAACATCGCTCTTCGTTGGTGTAGATCTATTACTATCTTTTCAACAATCAAGTTGGGAATGGTAAAACATTTACAAGAGGCGAACTACAGGCTATATCGAAGATGACAATTCAGGAAAAATTTAATGTATTTTTCCAAAATAAAACGATTCAAGACTCATTTTCTACGAAAAATAAACCTCTTTTTTACCTCCAAAGTTTCAAGATTCTTGTTGTACGCTTTGGGAGGGTACCGCATTGCCTGAAAAATTTAAAAAAACACACTGATCAAAAATTGGGAACAACGATTAATTCGGTGGTCAAACTTGTGAAAATATATAAATACCTAATGGTCCATGGAGTTTTCTATATAACGTGGTCCCGGGCAAAACCATTCTCATGAGGTCGGTGCGAGTTCCGTCCGTCTATTAACATTAATTTGCTCTTAACAATTTTGTGCAATACAACTCGTTGTTGGTATCAATTACCATGCTCTGACTCTATAATTCTTATTTATCAGTTCTGAATCTCAATCTCAAAAGAAATATTGCATGTTTATCTTTTCAGACATCGATCAACAAATAGTACTTTATTGTTTTACAACATCGTGGCTAATAGAATGAAAAAAATAAAATAAACATTGAAATAAAAAAACTTCACCTTGATAGATTGGTTGTAAATATCGAGACAGAAACTGACACGCTGGTGAAAGGCATTCAGAGGTTCAGTGGTGGAGTACACATCGATGTTTTCCTGTTCATAGAGAATAACGTAGTAAAAATTCAAAACTATAAATAAGATTACTATGAACTGGTCTGTTGTAGAGTGTTGGATGCCGTATAGACAGAATTGTACAACAGTCTGGTATGAACGGCACAGAAACGAGACATCATCCGTAGAAAACTTCTCTCTAATTCAAGAACACAGTGGTAACGATCGAAAAATCTACCAACATCAGAAGAAGGTAAATGTTTGATCCGTTCCTGATGACAAAACAGATCTGCAGTTGGCTGCAAGGACGTGTCTAACAGGGAAGACATATTCTACTATAGTAAAATGAAAAAGAGGATTGTTTTAAAAAGTAAAAAGTAACCTTAGATTGGACGTATCCCTCGGAGTGATTAATAGTTGCCTCGATGACTCCATCTCTGATGGCCTAGAAAAGGTTATTAAAAATTCATTGTGTGAGACCTCCAGAGCGGTTGTATCCAACATGGTACTATGACAGCCACAATTCGGTCAACCAAAAGCGAGAAAGAAAAGGAATCACCTATGTAAATAAATGGCTAGAAGGTACCAATATGGAAAGGACTAATTAACTTTGTTCGAGTATGCTGGGTAATGAAAGTTGGAAAGTGGCTGTCAAGAATTCATAAAGAAGGCTCGGGTTGAAATTCAAGTAAATAAGTGTAATTGGGATTCTTCGTTCAAATTATTTGATTAAGGCTCTGAAATGATGACGGTCAAGAATAAACCATTCAGGCAGAGATTCAAGTAGACACAAACATATCATTTATAACTATCACTTCATTTCGATAATTTGAAGAAAAGAGAAAAAAGTTGAATCATATTACAGCATACCAATGCACTAACAAGTATGCTATGATACGGTTCCACTTTTGCAATCTTGAAATTAATCCTGATGATTTGACATTTATCCTTTTGAACTGGAAACAGATTGGACCCAAGTAACGAAAACATTACCTTGCTAACAATAAACTCGGCATCTTCGGCACCGTCCAGCAACAACTTCTTTGCTATGTCGGACAACGAAATCCTTGAGTAAGAAAGACTGATCATTCGAATTCCAGTTTTGATCACATTGTGGCGCAACCTGTGCAGGAAAATAAGACATTGCATTCAATGAAATGGCTGCGGTGTTATCGCAAATACCCACACAATCAATATTCGCAGCTCCAATAACTATCCTCACACTATAAATCGCTGTTGTATTTCCAAACATCAATGTCACAAAATTTTCTACCAGATAGATTTTTGGATTTTGGTAAAAAGAATTTGTAAAAATTGCTTAAATTTACTGACAAAAAGTAATTCAAAAGACCAGGGTATAAGTTTTTACAATCTTTTCCTCCTTTAAAAGCTTTTAGCTTTATAAATTTACAATAAAAAGGTCAAGTTTGCAAAATTAGAGGCTTGCTAGTTTTTTATTAGTAGGTAATAACAGGTGATCAGTACCTTAACTGAAATTTCAAAACTCTGCAGAAATTCATTTCGCCTCGATCAGAAATGTGTGATTTCTTAACAGCAATTATTCGAGTATTCTTTCAAGATTTTTTATGTGGCATGTTTCAGATAATTTCATAAGCCCCCTTTTCGTATAAGCCACCCTCGAATATCCCCCATTCAAAAATATAAAAAACAAATAAGCCCCCTGGGGGGGCTAACTTGAGGATTGACGGTATTCTCTAGATTGCCAAAATCCAACTAGCAATCAAAAATTGGTATAATGAGAGCCAAATATACAAGGCTCTCATCGATAAAAAGAAGCAAGTTGTATTTGGGAGGTTTGACGGATATCATTCCAAACTGCAAAGACAAAACCCACATTGTGTAAGGAAAATAAAACCCACATGGTGCAAGGAAAATCCAATATTTCGCAAAGATAAATCCGCTTTTATATAGATAGCTTGTCAACAGGCGTTAAGCGTTATCTACGCTTGCCACACATTTTATGTTAAGCAAGAAACATTTCAATTGAAAATTATGATGGCCTAAATCAGTTTGATCTAGGTTTTATCGAAATGGTGTAATAAGAATTATCAGCGAACAATCAATCATAATCTAGAAACGTTGAATTTAAAATTCCAATTTATTTAGCTCTATAACTGGTTTTGCGTTCAACAACGTTTGTTATCAAGGGCGTGCCAACAACTTCAACTTATGACCTTCTTTTCAACAAGCAATTGAAATTTCTTTGTCCATTTTCATTTCAGAATCGGATTGAGGACGAGAATTTTAGTCTACCTGTAACGTTTCATGACACAAGTGCTCATGATCAAGACAATTGAGGACAACTAAGCTGACAACTTCATTCGGCAACATGGAACTTTTCGAAATTTTTTAACAATTCCTTAAAAGTTTCAAAGTTCATATCCTCGTATAATCTACAATCTTAGCCAGAAAAAATATATTAGAACTGAAAGTTGGGAGGTAATTCCTAACCTAGGCTCCAAAAAGCCCTACCGTGAGGTTTGGAGAAGTTTGGTCTGGAGAAGCTTGGTCTGGAGAAGTTTGGTCTGGAGAAGTTTGGTCTGGAGAAGTTTGGTCTGGAGAAGGTTGGTCTAATCTAGCATACCTGATTATAAGCGTGAAGGTTTTCTCTGCATGAAACTTTTCCTTGTATTCCTCAATAACACTGTTGAAAAGCTTTAAATCGCCAGTTCTAACAGCTACAATACAATGAAAGAGAATAGATTAGCCTTGCCATCCAAAAATACGTATTCATTGGTCTTACGGAGCTCCAGTTTCACCGCAAATTCGACACTAGGAGCTTAACAGCCATTTGTTTTCGTCGTCGACTGCTAGTTTGCATATAAATTGTACTCACAAATTATCATTCTCAGGTTCAGGTAATTCTATTACATAAAAATTGAGTGCTTGTTTTCTAGTAATGGTCTGAAATAGTTGAAGAATTCAAATTAAAACCTTGAGTGAGCTGCAGGTATGGGGCCAAGGTCTTCTTCAAAATTGCTTCTCGAAAAGTTTTGATATCCGGAATTTCTCCTAACAACAGCTGAACCACCACTGACAGTCTGTGAACCTGAAAAAAATATTCAAACGACACTTATATTTTGCAACCAAATTATTCTTGAAAAGAGTATTTGCTGGCATCAGTCCTTTATTGGTATTCTTCTCTGCTCATTTACTTTTTTCTAGATTGATGCAAAGCCAAGACCCTATCATCTATTTTAAGAAAGGCTTCATGGAAAAAGATATGCAAAACGTTCCTCTTTGACTATTCAAGGTTGCAAAGAAGGGTCCAGAGGAAAATTAGTCCTCCATAGCACTAAAGTTGAAATTAATTCAGCAAACTGTAATCACTCACATGCTGCTTGAAACCAACTGCAGTACTTTGAGGAGCCTTTCTTATTGCATTCATCAGATTCTTGTCTGCCTCACTGTAGTCTAACTGTATAGCTTTGATAAGACCTATCAAAATTTGAAAGTTTTTTCACTAAAATTTAAATATCGTTGGAGAGCAGCTCTATTAGAGCTTTCCAGCTACAAGCACATGGTCAGATTGTGGAGTTCAGGATGTCATAGCAAAAATCAGCACTAAGCAGGCTAAAATATGTTGGAAATTAACTATTTTAATATCTGCACGCTATTGTATGTTTGTTTTTTGTTCGCCTACAAGCAAATTACAATAAAAAAACATCAATAGAGATGGCATTTCCTAAAGTATTTACCAAAGTTTATGTATCTGATTTCCTTTTACATTAAATAATTGGTTTGTTTTCTTTAAGGTATACTTAAACAGTATCTTACCTAAAATGCAATTAGAGCAAACTGAACCTACCTAGATAATAAAGAAATCTTGCCCATTCATTGTTTGATGCTGATTCAGGAAAAGTTGATTTGGAGACAAGTTTATCAGCCTTCAAAACAAATCAAAGATGTGACTTTTCATAGAATAAAAAAGTTTAAATAGGCACTGTTATTATATACATATTTAAATAATAAACAAAGCACAAGTTTATGAATGCAGTTTTAGCTGGGAAAAATTAATATGCAAATTACAATGTGCATGTCAGATAGCATGACAAGAAACATTGTGCTGTATGATTCACGCAAATTTCAATTCTAGTATAGCCTACTGAAAAGAGTAATATTGATTGCATGCAAGAATCAAAATGTAATGTCCATTATATGTAACAAATCTATATGTTAAGTACATAACAGACATAGATATAGGGCAAGGAAAAAAAATATACATATGTACAGAAGAAGATCAAAAATAAATATCTACCTGATCAAATAGATTGTAATGTAGGTAATTTCTCAATAACAAGTTCAGAATAGTAGCCTAAAATAAAAACTATAAAAGATAAATATCTTCTTATACCTTCTTCTAAATTAAGCATCCGTTCTCAATCAACAACCTTAGACACTTACTTATCTGAAGGACTATATCAACCAGAATTATTTCTTTTACATTTGAAAAAATAAAGCTTTTAAGCAACCCAACTGAAAAAATTTTGTTGGAATTTCTAGCCAGAAGACAGATAAATGTTTTACAGTATGTATCTTTTGAATAAGTTTTTGTCTAAAAATTTTTTAAATGTTGGATTACTTAAACAGATGTCAAATCCTTTTCTTGTTCTTAATTACAGAAAAAAACAATGCTTAAACGGTTACCTATACAGCGTGGTAAATAAAGGGTATAACAAAACTTGACTCAAAGTTTTCCAGCTTAATGATTTATAAAGCAAAAAATTTCTCTGACACAAGGATTTGAGGAACAGGATCTTACAGGACACTACTCAACATAAACTGTATTAGGAACATAGGCTTTTCATGGAATTTCAAAAAATTTTGACAGCTGGCTACTGACTCCTTATCTTTAAAAGTGCAGTCAGCAAGGCATCACAATTAGAATGGAGAAAGGGCATTTATTTCCTGGAATAAAACATGCAAAAATATAACAGTTGGGGACAATGAACTTGGACCTAAAGATCTGCTTGATCTTATAAACAAATTTTGTACAATAAACTAGGACTTTCATTTTACAGTAAGTTCCTTATTTGGACTTGCATATTATGAGATGCTGTGTCCCATGACAGTGCCCACTTTACAAACACAGACATCTAGACATTCAATAAATTTAGATACCGACAAAAAACATTTACTGAATTACTGATTTTGAAAAAAAGCAATTAATAATGTGGGTTAGAAACTCTAAATACAAAGACATTGCTATCTTAAATGATCTCATTTATTAAAAATTTGAGATGCTTTACTCAAATATGCTTTGGTAAAACTCCACAGGGTAAAAAAGGAGAGTGGAATGCTTTATTCATTTATACAGACTCATTGTTACACTCAATTTTTTTCTATCTTTATTATTTGTGTGTTGGTTTTAAGAAAAACCCTTATTTATGATAAAACTTGCTTCTAGTAGCTATTTAGAAGTCATATCATAGTTTGAATTAGGTTTACAAGTTTTTAAACACACAAAATCAGTACCTGGCCTTCTTCATCATGATGTAAAGTGGAGTTTCTTAGACGACCAAGCAAAAATCTGCAAATAATTAGTTATTGATCAATAGTCACTGTTATTTATCAAAGAAAGTAGCACAATTTTTGAACTACAAATGTATAAACAAAAAACAAAAATTCTGATACATTTTTTGATATATTTCCATGTAGGAATATATAATTTTGATACAGATAACAGATACACATTCTGTACAGCAAAATATTCATATCATTCAACATGAATACAATAATGCTAGCTTAACTATCAACGAGTGTGAAAAAAGTCGATTTTTTATATAAATATTGGCATTACCTTATCATGAGACACCCGGAAAAGTAACTAAAATATTTGCTAGTGACAAAATTTTTATGTGACTTAATTTTTTCCAAATATTTATTCATCCTTATAATCTTTACCTAAGAGGTACCAAAGCAGTGACATAAGACAAAAGGATTGAATTTTTAATATTGGTATTAAGGTTTAAAAGAAAAAAACTTTTTGTTAACCTATATAAATCATTTAAACTTTATATTAAACTTGATATTTATAGCATGCTTAAATCGATAGTTTAGGAAAAGCAACTAGTTGTGAACATCAAGTAAGGGAAATGTGACTAAATTTTAGACATCTCTCTATAACCACATTTCAAAAAATAACAAATAGCTAGTTTGCTATATTTGTCTAAATTTGACAAAATAAAAGTCTGGCTAAATTCCATTCTATTTAGTCAAGCAATAACTAAAAACACATTGACAGCTAAAACTGAAAGAAATCAAAGAAATCTTTAAAAAGTCTTAACACTGCTTAAATTAAATCATATTTAGCAAAGTTAAGAACCTAGTGGCTGGAAGGTGACGAAGGCAATGAAGTCAACTATTTCCCTTAACTATATGATTAATTTTTGATTAATGTCCATACCCTCTTATTTCTTTCAGCCTGTCAAGAGCTTCATACGACCTTGAGTAGTGAAAGAAGCAAGCAGCAGCCAATGGGTCAAGAGTTCTTCTGTTATATGACGTTATCTTATTTGTCAGTGCATCAGCACATCTAACAGCCTAAAACATAGAATATCATCAAAATCTGAATAAGAATACATGTTCCAATCTGTCAAAAGTTGAAAAACAAAATCTGCATTAATTTTTTGATATAATTACTATCTAAACAGGCCTTGCCCGGAAAGGCGCTCAGAGCGCACCCAAAAAAAGCCTTGGAGAGCGATTTATAGAGCCCCTCAAAACGTAAAAACAATATTAACACGGAGCAAAATAAATTTTTGGAATTTGTTGAATCGACTTGATCAAACATAAACAATCTTCCCAACAGAACGCAATATTATGATTTGCATAAGATTACCCCTTGAGAAAAAATTCAGCAAATTCAACGTTGGGTTTTCAATATCATTTTTTTTCTAATAACCCTCTAATAACCATCGAGGACATAGGCCATCAAGCGTATTCTCCGGCAGATTTATTTGATTTTCGAGCAAGCCTTAATCTTCTATTGAGGTATATACTATTTTCAGTTTTTTTAATAACTTAAAAGCGCCTGTGCAAATCAGCGATCACGTTTCCGTCCAAATTATCGCATTGCCTTCATTTTTAATTTGCTTTTGCGAGTAGTAGATGTTCTAGCGTTTCTTATAGAATGGATAACATGAAAAAAGGAAACAAAGTTAAATGTTCGATTTAAAGCCATGCGCTTTGATGAAGCAATATGTGAAACTGAACATAACAGTAGTGATACTGACACTGATAAAAGCTCATCGAATGATGGCAACTTACATACCTAGAAAAATCTGAACAATTTTGCGACTTTGTTTTATTATATTTCTATATTTATATAAACATAGTGTTTGTTGCATGTTTTGTTATTTCATATTATGGTGCTTTCTGGTATCACCGTTGAATTTCATATTTAACATTCTTCCGAAGCTTTCAATATGAAGCTCTCGATCTCCTAAAGCTCTCGAAGGATGCTCTCAAGGAAATTTACTTAGAGGTGCGAAATAGAGCGCCTAGAGTTTCTAAAGGGCCTCTTTTTATGGAGCACCTTCATTTTACTTAGAGCAAGGCCTGTCTAAAGTAATATGAAGTGTTTGCTACAAAACTTTTACCCTTTCAAATACTTTGTTATCCAAACAGTGTAACAAAACCAACAGATGAATAAATACATCCACTTCTGGGATAGGTGTGTAATTTGCTAGCTTTGTGCTCTTTGGTCTTGGCTTATCTGATGATTCTGGGTCAGGCTTCTCCAAAAATTCATTTAATTCAGATTTTGAAGCTGAAAGAAAAACAAAATACCAACACTTTCAATTTTTAATTTTGTTACCAAATATTTAAGTAAATGTCTAAAACTAAATAAATAAAATGAAAATGTATTGTCAATGTCTAAAGAGAGAACTCTATACCAGTATGTATGCAAAATGATAAAGGTATCCTGTTGCTGTGTACGAAGTATGCTGGTAATCTTAAGATGCTGCTGTAGACCCCCTACGTTTCATGTGCTATAGTCAGGGTTCTTTTGATTAACTAGTTTTTTGCTGGTTATTTTTCAGTTGGTCAAACTATTAACCTGAGATTGAATAACTTGGCTGTGAAAGTCCTTTTCCAGGATTTTGCTTTTTGAAGTCACAACCATTAAAGATGGATAATGTGGCTTTATTTTTGGTGCCTTTATGGTATTGCCTGGACGCGTTTAGGATTCTGCTTGGATGTTAATTAAATAGTATGCTTGCGAAGGTAACTTGAACAACAATGACAAACAATGACAAAATGATGATAGCAATACATTTTTACCAATCAAAACTTGTATTGCCACTATATCCGTATCTTAAATTACATGATGCCACGAAGGGTTGACCGATATTGCTAAAAGCTGTGCCACCTTCCCTTCTGGCAATGAGACAATAGCTTTTAGGATCATTGGCTTGCTGACAACCTGGAGTCATCATCAATTTGTGGCCGCAATAGAATTAGGCACACTATTACGGGGAAACGAGCATGCCTTGCAAAGCAAAAAAGTTACGGAAAGGCGTCTATATGTACATGTATATATATATATATAAAAAAAATGTTTTAGAAAGGCAATGAAAAAAGACAATTTATTATTTTTCCCGGAAGGCGTTTCATCCTTTCAACGAGGATTCATCAGCCTATTTATATTACCATAGTGTACTCATTCTTCGTACACAAAAAGTATGTAGCACTTACTTGGAAGGCAGAATAAATTGATAAGTCTTCTGAGGACATTGTGATTGCACTTTCTTCTGGTTGAATTCAGTGACCTTAAGACGCGAAGAAGATATCTGTTTTCCTTGGACGAAACTGTTTTTTCGATCTGGAATATTTGCTCTTTAATTTCTAAAAAAGTAAAGAGTTCTTTATAAAACTTTAAAGGCGGGTTTCAAGGTAAGTTCTAAAGACGCTTAGAAAATTTGTCATGAGATCTCTTTCTATGATATACAGGGGAAAACTATAAATTCAAAAAGCATTCACCGTCAAATGTTAGTGCATCTTTTTCTTCTTGTGATTTTTCTTTGTTCTCAACTTCTTTGTTTTCATCACCCTGCATTTCAACATCTTCTGTTTTTTCTGCTGCCATCTTTCAACTTGAGAATGTCCGAAAACGCTTCCCCTGTGCAAAAGACTCTTGAAAAGCAAAGCAGTTTCTTCGTATTTGGCCGGCCTAGCTTTTCTTCAAAGAGTTGCCTCCACTTCAATTTCGATTCAAAAGGAGTCTAGCGCATGCGCCCCTTCACAGACGTTAACAAAGGCCTGCCGATGTAAACAATTTTGGTGGGAAATTTAATTTTTTTACAAAACAGATGAGAAAATTTAGAAATGGCAACAAGTTCCTGGCCCATATTATCTGCCTCTTTAGAGTTCAGTGAGTATTCTTAGTCATTGTTGGGTAGAGTAATCTTCGTGTTCAAGTCATGAGCTTTTGTTTTTGCAGAACTTATACGCAAGTTCTTGTAAGTTGAAAAAATAAGTATACTACAAAACACCTTGTTTACGTATTAATAGGAATTGCGCTTGTGTCTCGATGCCATATGGACAGTGTTGGGGTGGCTAAGCTACAAGGAGTACACCTGACTTTGACTAAACCAGTCATTCGTGCAACTCCCGCAATAGCGACTGTTATCTACACCAAATCTACAGTCATTTTCGCGTTTGGTGTATCAAACAAATGGTTTTAAGTTGTTATTCTGAGTTTCACGCTCAATGCAATCATCAAGCAACAATTCCCAGTGATATATACATTACACATTATGTTGAATAGGCCATGCTTGGGTAAACCCAAGAATTGGTATCGACTATCGGCCTACTATAAGTACTAAATTCTACTTAACGATCTTTTCAAAGGGACAATAAATAACGCTCTTGCAAAAAGCAAAGTTACAGCCAGTGATGCTGGAACGACAAAGGAGCAAGCGAGCAGGCTTAGGACAAGAACGTTTAGATGATGGTTCTCGACTTTGAGAATAGGCAAACTTTTTGGCACATGAAAATTATTAACACGTCATGCAGTCAGAAAAAAACAGGAAAATTGATGAAAAAGGAACTAAATTCAAGATTTCATACAAATTTCCATGATAATTACAAAAACCAATATCAAGGGTACATCAATAAAACTGACACTTAGCTTACCTTGCTCCTCATATCAACGTGCAGGAGGAATGGTTGCCCCAAGTGCTCCCTTTCCGACTTGCCTGGTGACATCCTTAATAAGTACAAGATAATCAAAATGTTTTTTTTCATTAATCTTTATTCTTTTTAGCCGCACAGTACAAGCTGCCAGTCCAATTTGATACTGCAATACAAATCCATTTGACGAACGAATCCCATCGAGATGAGGACGAAGCTTTCAGCAAAGTTGTCACGTTGCCGGTATAAATGCTTTTCATTGTATGATCGGTAGAGAATGATACCCATGGCGAGTTATAAAAGTTCTGGTTTTTTTATGTTGAATAAAAATTTTGTATTCAAGGAGATGTAGAGATTCTGAGCTTGACTTTCTTTTTCAGGAAAGTCTTTCGAAAGGCTACTTGGATGAAAATGAATTCCAACAAAATATTGATTCGCAATAAAGGCTTGGAATAAAATTTCTTCTGACATCGGAGTCATACAAATAACATTGCCCGAGCATCAGCATTGCAAAGGCAAATAAATTCTTGCTTACCATTCCGCAGCAACCCATATAATTTGTAATGATTATGCAACATTATCGTACTGGATGAAAATGAAAATTAGATTCAAAAGGACATGAATTTTGCTTGAACATGAAGTTGCATCTGCGTAAATGCTCTCTCTTAGTATAAAAACATATTACTAATTTCAACATTGCAGACGAGCATTCTGGTTGTAAGAATTTATGGGTGTACAAATCTTTCACATGCTGACTTCAAAATAGTTGATGACATATTGGTCTATGCACGTGTGATATCTGGAGCACTGGGGAAAAGTACACACCATACAACATTCGCAAAGGGGAAGCCTGTATGGAATGAATATCTATTCTTTCCTGTGCAAGTAAGATGCTTACTTTACTAAAGTACTGTTCTTGATTTCAGTGCTGTAGGAATGACAGAATTATCAAAGAACACCATTTTTTGAAAGCAATAGGACCAAAATAAATAGTTCATTCGAAATAGAGGGATTTTATTAATTTTGGGGGAGGTACGATCCCCTTTCCTTTGAAAATAGTAAATATGGCCTTACGATTTGGTAAGACAGGTAGTGACTTTAAGGAAAATTCGTCGCCACCCCTTGCTTCGGAGAAAAATACTAGCAAAAATTGCAACAGTGGATATTATTGATAAGCAAAGAAAGAACGCGTTTTGTTGTTGATCAATTACTTTAAAAATAAGCTGTATGCAAGATCAGGCATCATGTTATTTTTAAACAAATATTCCTTACTCATTAAATTGTTAAAATTTGAAAGCTGCCTTCTAGCAAATGTATTTCCTTGTTATGTTTCAGCTCACTGGAAATCCAAAATCAAAATCAAATAAGCTTACTGTTTTGATCATATGGCGAGATGAAGCTCAGGACAAGAAAACTGGAGTATCGAGTCATAAGCTTCTAGGGAAAGCTGAATTTCTGCTATACAAATTAGCAAGGGTATGAAAGCCTTGTGTTTTTTATGATTTGTGTTGATAGTATAAGCCTTTTGACTTAACGTACTATATTGACTTAATAATTTCATTATTGAAGCATTTATATTGAAGGTTCACACCACGATTCATGAGTTTAAACCTCAAAAATGTTCAAATTATTTTCAGTTGCTCTAATCTTCTGAAAAAATTTTTATCTGAATTGCATATAGATTTTTGTATCTTTTTGAAGATTTTTTCCTCCTAATTTTCATGCTTTTGCAATGATAATGAAACTATTCTTCTGCTTTTTATTTCTTATTATTATATCTCTCTCGATAAAGCACATCAAAATATTCGAGACTATTGACATCACAAACAGAAAGCAACAGGTTTGTTTGATTTAAATTAAAAAATTCAATGTGGAATCCACAATGACCCTTTCTTGATATCTAGCTTTTAGATGTCAAAAAAAATTTCAAATTTTTCAAATAAGCTGAAAATATTTTAAAGAAGTCTTCATTTATATTTGATATAGTTTATAGCCTTTTCTTGTCGAGCTCTAACATAATCTATATGAAGTAAAAAGACAACAATTAATTTATGCCAGTACTAGAAACCAATATTTATCGAAAAATAGACATTCGTTTGCATATAGAAAATGTCAACATATTCTAAACTTATTAAGAAATCGAAACTAATTTATAACTGCTTCATTTATGTTAATCAGGGTCTTAGTCGAAATTCCTTGTAGGGATTGTGCCTCAACCCAAAAGACATTCGCTCCTCAGAATAATTTCAATACAATTTGATCCCTGCTCAATTTAATCGAGTCCAAAAGGGAGTTTCTCCACGCACCTTTATAAAGCGGAAAATATAAAGGAAAAATGGCGAGGAAGAAGATGTTTAATGATTTTATTTCATAATCTAAAAGAGCTTTTATTTTGTTAATAGAACGTTGGCCAGCTTCAGATTGAAATGGCTTTGGTCTCTGGTCCTTTTGGATTTGGTCAGGCGTTTCAGGTAAACATTCAATCTGGCTATGAATAAGTACTGTAGATTTAAAAATCATTCCTATGTATTCCAAGAAACGCAAGAAGTACTTGAGAAGCAGAGAAACACAGCAATATGAAGACACTTTTGACATGCAATATTTCCAATGATGAAGAAACTGACTGTTTCCAGTTTGACTTGGTGATATCCTTTTGATTTATGACTGATCACTATCCTCAGGCTATCATGTAAAATATCATAGGCCACTTAAGCAGCAAAGAAAAAGCTTTGCAAAGAAGACAATATGATTAAACCTTGGAAAGTTGTGAATTCATGTTATTTGTGCATATTGATTTTTCATCCTCCTTACCGAGTAAAAAATTTGTTTTCATTAGAATATAAAGTTCTTGGTTACTTGAAGTTAAAATTTCTTTCTTAACTTTAGATCGAAAACAATCTACATTCTCCTGAAGAAATGGTGAAATGTTCTTTATACCCAAGAATAGCGCCATCTTATGAAAGATTTCACTGCAGAGGGTAATGAAGCAACTCTATCATCTTAGTTGATGAATTTAGCTCACGTCAGTTGATCTATCAAAAATACAACCCAGTTCAGCAAGGCTATGGGGCATTTGAAAGTCAAGAAGCCATTTCTATGATTTACATCTAGTGATTATCTTGTTATTATCTGATTCACATATTTTGGACGCGGAAATCTTACTCTTTGCAACATTCGTTGATCTTTATTAGCCTCGCCGTTGTTCCAAGAAAAGTGCAGCCATCTTCGATAATTCCTTTCAACAACAGAACCAAGAACTTTGAACCGACAATCAGTGAAACACACGGTAAGAGCTGAATCCAAATGCAATTTCATGCTTCCGGCATGCTTCAAACAGTTAAAGAAAAATACTAACACAAAGGATCTGTTTTGATCAACTAAATAGATTTGAAGAGAAAATTCATCGACACACGAAACAATTTTTGGGCAGATGACCGAGCAACAGTATGCCATCTAGTGCGCCATTCCCTTTCTTACATTTTTTAACATTCTTTATTTGAGGCAATTCAAATAGGGTTTTATGAATTATAAATCGCAAGGTATATCGAAATTGGCGATTTAATAGGAAAGATCTTCTGGGTCGGTGCATTGCTTACCACGCATGCAGAAGATGCTCTAACGATTTACTATATTCGTTTTGAGGTTTGAAGCATTTATAAAGCTTTATTGATTATTTACAAGAAAACTTATAAACGCTGTTACTAACGTGAAAATTAGTATGCATTTGTGTGTCAGTTATAGCTATCCTGTAGCGATTTCAACAACTTAAGGAAATCCTAACAAAATTGATTGTCAAATAATTTTTGCTTCTTGAATACTAGGGACTGTCTTAACCCTAAGACAGTGCTCTTTTTTCAGATAAAGAAATCTATTGAATAAAATAAATTTTCTTTCTCACCTCCCTTCCTTCTAACTTCCAAGGAATGAAGCCACTATTGCATACACAGAAGTCTTTCTCAGTATTAGCCAGTCGCTTAACAAGGTAGGTTGTAAGTAGATGACATTCTTTTTGACAAGCTGGTTTAACTTTTTGAAGGTAGCTGTAAAAGTGAAACCAAGAAAGATATCAAAACCTCAACTATATATGGCGAAAGTGAACAATTTCAAAAGTGCCTCTTATGTATCTAAGTTTACATTCATTTTTTATAAAAAAATGGCCGCGCACCTGAGCCCCCCCCCCCCCCCCCCCACCACTACGTCCCTGATTTCTAGGCACTACACTCATTTTTTTATAAGAAACTGGCTATAAGAAACGAGTACTGGACAATCAGAAAAAATTAAGAAACTTCAGTACTCGAAGCAAAAAAATTAAGAAACTATTAATTCGTGATAAAACTGAGTGAGAACAACCAAATTTTGTAAAATCCAAGAACATGATTGCCCTGGTGGCCTAAAAATTAAGACACAAGGGATATAAAACATACTTCCCATATCTAAATACGGCGTCAAAACGGAAGCGAATCTCTCGACGTGAAAAAAAGTCAGAAACATTTCATAACATCATTCATGACATCACAATTATGAAACTCTTAAGTGAGTATTGAAATTTCCAGAACATTAAGAAACTGTAATACTGAACATCAACTTTTGTTTCTTATAAAAAAATGAGTGTATCTGCTTTGCAATGAAAATTTTCTGGAAATACCCGATTATTGTTCAGTCTAGACTAGATCTACCCATTCGTACAACGCGAAGAGTGGCGGAAATTCAGGTTATATTTAGAGGGCGCAGGCCTACGATTTGAGGACAATCGAGTCAATTTGAGGACTCGGCTGGATATCAGGGGTTGGAAAGCCAGAATTTTTCGACAAAGACATGAAATGAGGAGTGAGAGGGGGGGGACTGGCCTCAAGATATCCATAATTTCTTCAACTAAAACTAGATTTAAAAAGCACGTTGCACAACCAGTGCTGTGGTGATATGCAAAGAAAACAACTCAGCTTTGCAATGCGTAGGGAAGCGTTGTGAGCAATCTTTTTAATTTTTGCAACAATATAATAATAATAATAATAATAATACAAATATTTACAGAGGATGGCCTCAGTCACTCGGGGGTGCTTTTCATGAGGGTCCTCTATTTAACTAATTATATCGATTTAGCAAAACATTACAAAATTAAAAAAAGTTCATCATAGTGGATAAAATCAGTTCACATTGTCCAAAACCTTTGTTTAAAAATATTAAAAGTTCCTGCCAACTTAATGTTTGTGTCCAGTTTATTCCAGTCATCAACAAACAGATAGGATGACATTTGCTTCCCCCAATTTGTCCTTACTTTAGATAGATGGTATTGCTCTTTGTTCCTTGTCTGGATGTTATGCAAATGGTGTCCTGTTTTATTGCTGAAAGTGTAACTTATATCGTTTTTTTTCGACTTGTAAATGGTGGCACATCGATGGAACTTTCGTCTGATATCTAGAGATTTCCAGTGCAGTAAATTTAAGGCCTTCGTGCTTGAGTCATTTGGTTTCATGTTCAATACCAGTTTGGCGCATTTGTTATGAAGAACTTGCAGAGTCTTCTTCGTACATTGGTTATTTCTATCCCCCCAAACAGTATCTCCATAATCAAACAATGGTATTATCATAGTATTTACCAAAGTTAAACGTTGTGCCCTGGGGATTAGATGACTAATTCTTTTTAACAAACCTATTCTTTTTTCTACTTTTTGCTGCAATGAAGCAATGTGATCGCCCCATGTCATATTTCATTTATTATCATTAACAATGGTATAATGATGCTAAAATTAAAACTATAGCGCGTTTTCAAAACCAATATAAGTAGCAAATTGTATCATTTCCTTTTCTAGACTTCCAGCACTGCATAGTGGATTCCTTCAGCAAAAAACGAGAACGTCAAGAATTGCTTACTTGCGTGGAACTCTTCGATATTTGGTAACCTTTTTGCACTTGTATTTGTAATTGAGACAGGCTGTTACTCGATTTTTGATTTTTTTATTCATTGCAGAATTGTCCTTAAGCTTGCTTATTGAATAAGAAAGAGATTATTTTCTATTCTCCTACCCTGCTGTTTTAATACATGTAAAAACCTTTCATTCAAGAAAGTCATACCTTGCTCTAAACAGAAATCTTTAATGTTTTTTTTATACACAGTCTAAAATAAGTACATTTTACAAAAACAAGATTACAAAGACGATGCCAATGGGAGCATGATAGGCATGGCTATCCATTGACCTTAACAAAAAACAATACAGTAGCACCAAAGGCTATACCAAAATCCTGTTTAGTCCGTGCGGATAGCTGGTTCGATCAAAAGACAAAAGGCTACAACTTGAAAAGAAGATAAAACTAGGACCAGATTTTGGTGTGGTCTTTAGTGCTGATTCTACATTACTATACATTTAATGCTAAAAGATAAATAGAGAAGGATGAAATATAAGATAAGTTAAACAATTGTGGTATTTTCTGGTGCTACAAGAAACGTTCTGATGTATGAATGAATTTTAGCGTTGATTCTAAAATTTTTTGTTTTCATCATGTGGAAACCTTTGGTCACCATACAACATAATATGCACAAGGGTTTGTTTTGACGGGTTTGAAATGCTATTTAGTTTTAGTTTTTCGTTAATCGCACCAAGAAGATCACACCTTTGATCATCGTATGATCATCTTTAATGTTTATCGCATTAAGTGAATGTCTAACAATTTATACCATTTGCTTCATGTTGTAGGACAAGGTTGACAACCATCTAAGCCTAAACGAAGCAAACGAGAAGCCTGTAAATCAGGCAGCACCAGCTAAGCAGAAAAATGACAGTTGCAAAGAAGCACAGGCTCAATCAGCAGGTTTTCTAACAATAATTTACTGAGCTTTTCAAAAATGAAGATGATATTGCTAACAGTAGTTGGTTTCATCTTTCATTTATCATTGTTTGAAATCTTACGGCGTCATAGTAATGACGATTTGATAACTTAAATCGGGGAGAAGGCTTCTGGTGCCAAAGAGCCTAATCTAAGAGATCCTTCGCATTCCCATTAGCCCGATCCATTCCAGAATGAATTGTTTTTTCGATGGCCCTGCAAATCTATATCTCACATGCAATTTTTCTATCCAAAGACATGAAAAGCAACGAGAAAAGCAAATCGAATTGAAAAATCAGCTTAATCTTATGATGACCTTTCTTTGTAGCATTACTAACTGTGTTGAATTAATGCCATCTTGTGCTCTTTAAAATTGCTAAGAAAACTTAGAATAAAGTGGAAATTTTCTTTTACACAAATACAGATATTGTCAGCCTGAACGACGGACTTCATGTCATTTCAGAGGATCAGGTATATTGATATGCTTATTCAATACGGGGAAAGGGAGCAAAAACTAATTGTAAATGTAGAATCACACCGTATCAAGGAATAGAAAATCGTAAGAAATATATTTATTCCAAGCCCTTTTTCAAATTTTGTCAGGTAATAGTATCCTGGAAAGCTAAGTTTGATATCCACTCTATACTGCCCCACGTCTCTATAGAGAAAAAGTGCTGAATTCCTCCCTCTCCTTGGCATTGCTGTAGATTTTAATGTCACAGGATTTCATCTTTATGATAGATGTTCAGATTTTGGAGCCATACTTCATGATAACTATGAGTAACTTAAAACTAACTCAAAAAAAGGAGTCAGGACCAGGAGCACAGGCTTACTAAAGGAAACAGGCAGCATACAAGTATTTAGTCGAAAAAAATAACAACTTATTAAATATCTATTCATATAAAGGAAGCCTATTGGGTGTCATACTTCAGAAATCAGATTGAAGTCAACGAAATTATGTAGCGGTTTTATTGAAGTTATTACATTTGAACCCTTTCAAAAGTAAATCCAAAAAGTATAAGCCAAGCTGATGTTGCAAAGAACATGAGCACGTTCTACTACGAGGAACAGAATGCAATACGTGTTTACGATCTTATGACGTGGTATTACGCTAGTTAGGATATCTGACTCCTACACTGGTCTCGTCTCATATTATCAGCGTTTCACAAGGCAAACATTCAAAGATTTCCAGACAAACATTAGATCATTTTAAAGGTTACCCTTGTCATCTAGTCTGTATGCAATAAGAGGTCAAGAAATTCTCGTCTTTTATCTTGCAAGGTGACAGCTGCCCTTTTAAAACCATCAAGGGTATAAAACCATTCCTCCCAAAAAGACAACCAAAGAAGGCGTGGTCATTTTTCAAGAACTTGGGTCGTCCTATCAGTAGTGGAAAGCTAGTGAATTAATACACAATTAAGACATTAAGACATCATGAAGCAATTTTCAATTTTTGATTGGTCTTCGCGAAATCTCGAATCCTTTAAGGATACAATGTCCTTATATTTAAGTACCAAAAAAACATGCAAGTTGTAGTATCCTGACCCTGGAACGCATTTGGAGGTGGCTTTTAGCTCCGGGTACCCAAGGCATGCCAAGGAACTCCAGAAGGAGCAGGACGCTCTTCACATAATTTTTTTTAACAGGAACCACTACGTAATGTATGGATCCCTAAGGAACTCTGAATATTTTGAACACTGCAAAGAATCGAAAACTAGGAATCCGGTTACATTCACATGTGTACAATGATTCAGAGTCTACATGCAGGCTACAGCTATCTCTGTTATAAGCATTGTCCTATCAAAGCCAAAGTTTATAACTGTAAATGACTACAAAAAACCAATGTGCAGTCTCTAAGGAAGATTTTGAAGATGCACCTTGGCATCTGCTAGATATATTTGAAGAAGTGGAGGACAGTGTATTTGCCTGGAACTGTCTGTATAATTACATAGTAAATCAGCATGTAAGGAAAAGAAGAGCAAAGATAAGACAGAAATCCTTGTCTCTCACATAAGGAAGGAAATGAATCTAAGGTATAAATACCTTGGAGAAGCACAGTCCTTACCAAGAGATGACGAAATGTGGAACATTTACAAGGCGAAAAGGAATGAAGTAAACCGTTTATTGAGAAGGGCAGAATCGGATTACTGGAAAAGAACTCTAGATGAATTAAGAAGTCCAAAGGATTGTTGGAGGATAGTCAAACAGGCCCAGAGAAAAATAATGAAAAAAACTGATAGGGTCTCTATGTGATGCAAATGGGGAGTTATTGAAAGATGAAGAAAAGAAAGCTGAATGCTTTAATGAGTACTTTGTAGGAATTGGAGCAAATCTAGAAAAGGAACATGTACCTGTCAACGAAAAGGAAGTTATTAGATTCATAACGAAAGTAACTCCAACCATCTCTGAAATCAGTATTAACCAAGAAATTGTTAGAAAAAGAATTGAAAAGAAATTTAAGCCAAATAAAGCAATGGGTCCGGACGAGATATCTCCGAAAACGTTACACTTACTTGGTAGCACAGTTGATTGCGGGCTTTACTACATGTTTAAAAAGAGCATAAAATGTTCAAAATGCCCCATGGGCTGGAAGATATCTTGCCTCAGTCTTTTATTTAAAAAAGGGAGCTCAACGGATAGAGCCAATTTCAGACCAATCTCTCTGTTGAGTGTTCCTAGCAAACTCTTTGAAGATGTCGTCTGTCATTCTTTAGACAATGATGCGAATAGCCGTAAACTATCACGCCACAGGCAATGGGGATTTAAAGAGGGTCACCCCACAGATGGTATGCTTTTACATCTAACTGACAAATGGAGGAAAGCTCTAGATAATGGGTATAAAGTAGGGGTTATCTTCTTAGACTTTCGAAAAGCCTTCGAGACCGTGAACCATGAAATACTATTGCAAAAGTTGAAGTCAGTTGGGATTTTTGGATCATTGTTCTCCTGGCTGAAAGACTATCTACAAAATCGCATGCAAAATACCAAAGTCAACGGAAAAGTTTCAAGTAAACAAGAAATCAGATATGGAGTGCCACAAGGCTCTGTTCTTGGCCCAAGACTTTCTAGCTTGTATGTGAATGATTCTCCAGACAGTGTAGTAAACGGTGAACTTTATATGTTTGCTGCTGACACCACGATTTTTACGGCCGGATCTAGTGTTGATGAAGTGTGCATCGCATTACAAGATGTCATGAACGAAGTTTTCAAGTAGTGCTCTCTTAACCAACTACAGTTCATGGGGGCAAAACAGAAGCAGTGATACTAAATGGAAAGAATTTCATAGGTCCACTTCAGCCAATAACTTTTAGAAATAAAGTAATAAATTACAAAAATTCTCAGACTGTCTCGGTGTAAGGATAGACAGTAAGCTATCTTGGAAACCACAAATTGAAGAAAGTTGCAAGCGATATAATAAAAAGTTCAAAATGCTGAGACATTTGGAATTCTCGCCTAAGGAAACCTTAGAAACCATCTACTTTAAGACAGTAGTACCGTGTGTAACATATGGTATTGCTGTCTGGGGATCATGCTATTCTTCATTGTTAGATGACTTTGAGACAATTCACATCAGAGTCGCTAGAGTGATCCACAACATTCCACAAAGAGTAATGAAACATGACATTCTTAGTTCTGTCGGTTGGCAAACATTGAACTATTTTTATACTAAAAGGCTACTTATTTTGTCCCATAGTGCATTTTACGGTTTGGGAATTCCCGAAATAAATAGTCCTATTGAAAAGGAACAACCGAATTGCAATCTGAGAAACTAGCTCCGATTGCTGGTGGATCGTCCTAAAACAGAAATTGGTAGGAAGTCATTTCGACACAGAGCTGCTATTGCATGGAATTTGATACCGAACGAAGTAAAAAAAAGTTAATCAAAGTGTGACCAAGTTCAAAATGAAACTAAAGTAAAATAAAAGAGACTGTACAACAGGCACCGCGGAGCATGGGGGCTGGGGGGGGGCTTTAGCAAATTTTGCAAAAAATGCCAAATATTAAGTATCAAACTACCAGAAAAGCCCTTTTTTATACGGTTTTAGCCCCCCCCCCCAAATTTTTAAGACCCCCCACTTTTCTCAACGCTCCACGGTGCCTGTACAATCAATAACATGCGAAAAGGAACATTGCTGCTTGTCAGCGTCAAGTAAAAAGAGTGACTATACTTACTTTTAGATTATGTTTATTTTAACTTGCAGCTTGGCTTTACAAAATTTTATTTCCCAACATATAGTGACACCTTTCTCAGTAAGATAGTATTAATTTTGTTTAAGTAGTTCTGGGTGTTATATTTAGATTTTAGTTCTAGATTAGATTCTTAATGTAAACATTTTAGATAAAATAACTTAGAAGTAGATGCATGTCCACATCAGCATGTATGTATGTATGTATGTATATATGTATGGTCGGGTAGTGCCCAAGGTATTGTGCAAAACAGTTATGCTGTAGTTGAACATATTAGTGAAATGTGCGTCAAGATGAGTAACTATTTTTTGCTTTCCGCTTTAGGAGCTAGAGGATAAAGAAGATACAGGATCCATCCCGCATTTTCTGGAAAGCATTAAACAGCTAGGTGTGTTTACGACAGACACTGTATAAATTGCAATCTAGATTTTTCGAGATACATAGCCTCAGAGAAATTGTTAGTATCCTGTTTGTTGTACTTAACTGGGTAAGTAGAACGGAAAGGAAGGAAAATCGTTTTCCTTGAAGTCTGTGATGCTTGTTCATGTTCTAAATACCCATGACTTTTGCAGTCCGTGTTATACATTTTAGAAACACTAATATTTTTTGCACTATACTAGACTGTTTACACAAAAAAAAGAAACTTGCTAAATTTTAAATCGCCCCCCCCCCTTTAAATACCTGGCCAAATAATCTAACTGGTCACTGTTCGCTGGTGGGCCTACTACATACATTTTGTACTCAATTCTTACATTACCAGAATCAAATAGTTAGCTTGATTCTCCTCTGAATTTCGTTTCACTTCTTTTCCAATCTAAGTTCGCTGGGTGCAACGGCTGTATTTTTTGAAGTTTTACACAACGTATAAAATAAACAAAACGAAGCGCAAACTTACATCAGTTCTAAACACTTGCCTCCATGTTCAAAAGTGGGAATGTCGATGTGCCCAAACACCCAAACAGGGAAAATTGTCACAGGACCAAAATTTGCATAACGTGAAATAATGGCATGAATCCTAGGAGAATTAAATAAAACAAGGAAATGCTTGCGTAAAACGAGATGCTTAGGCCCAGGAGAAACAGAATACTTTTATCAATAGGTGCGCGAGAGTTCTGTTTTCTAATTTGATAAGCAAATACCTTGTTCTCAATGCTGTTGATAGAGATCGCTTCAGTTGGAAAATAATTTCAAAAAACGCTGCAAACCATAACAGCTACAGAAGTCTACCAAGTCATTTCATTAGGGACGATTCTATTTAAACTCAAATCCCCTGCCAGTTTTCATTTTTAGAGATCTCGTAAAAAGCCTGATGTATAGCCGGGTATACCCTTTCCTCAATCTTAATCACAATTAAAATGATGGACTGGCTGTGGATTTGTAATTGTAAATCCGAAGATATTGTCTCAATTTCGCTAAGGAAGTCTTGTACTTGCAGATGTTGAAATGGTTGCAGGCCGTGCTCCGTGGGACCCGCCCATCCGTTCTATATTTGTACTCGCGATTATCTTGTGCGATAGTGGATGCGATACCTGAAGTGTAATCTCTTCCTTACTTTGACCACCTTTCTTACGACATACCATTTGTTGTTTTACAGAAGAATCTCGCAGCCACTCTTCTACAGTCAGATCCGCGTCAGTGTCATCATCCCTTCACTCGGTTGACCTTACACCTGAGTACTACACCAGGAAGCACTTTAGAAGTTCTAGCCTGCTTGGAGCCCTGTTCAAGAGCACAGCATACTTAGACGAATAGGAAGAGCCTTTCACTCATTAAATCTCTCTCAACATTCCGTAATTGTTGTTAATCGTTCTATTGTTCATTTGTTTTTAGGGTTGTCTATTTACTGACATACTTTATCATCACGATGTACTGTCTCTCACCCAATCAAATTCGAGAGTTTCAAGAATTTATTTTGCAGTAAAGAAGGCACAAAGACAACCAATCAATTTACTGCTAATCTTGCTAATATTTACACTATAAGGACTTATCACTGAAAACTACAACATTTGATAAAACATGATATATTATCACATACAAGCACAAATCTACTAACATATACGAAAATCAAGATGATACAGTAATTCATAGCTTCAGTATGTGACACATTTATTACAAGACTGCATCAAGCAGTTGACAGAGGCATTAAGGCATTAGACAAGTAATTTACACAGCAAGTTGAATGGATGAATGAATTTAGAAGCCTTGATGTGTCTATTGTAACATTTGATTCAATATCCACTTTCTCAATTTTTTGAAAAACATGAACAATTTTTAAGTGCTGGAATCATAGTTCAAGGCCTATAAATAAATTCAATAACTAACTGTTTTAAAGGTTACCTTCAAACATACTAAATAAGTTCTGTTGAAAAACAGCAAACATTTTATTATAAAATCCTTAATGCTTATGAAGGAAGTTGATACTCTTATTAGTTTTAAACAGCTTTATTTACATTTGTTTCTTCACATTGTATGTTTGTAGCGAAATTAAAAACTTTTACAATAAAGGTTGAAGAGATAAAATAGGTTTGGGAAACAAAGTACTGTATATTTTCATCTGTTTACATTCTTTTGGTTTTAACTGGAGATACATAAACTTTCCTTATTTTCCTTACCTACGCATTTTCTAATCATTTATGAAAAATTGTTTTGATAGAATCTGTAGCCAGCCAATTTATCTGTATGTTTTTAAAGGCAGGTTAAAAATTCATTGCCATAGACACTGCAAAATGGTCAAAAATGGACCAATTTACCTTTTTCAAGAAGTTACCCAATCTTGTAACTTCCTGGTAAAAGAACTTGTGATGACTAGTAAGAACTAAGGGAAACTTTCATATAAGGAAATAAGGAGTTGATTCAAATTTTGATGAAAACAATCAGCTCAGTCATAGGAGCTGAATATATATATATATTTGAAAAAACTAGGAGTTTTTATTCAGTAAAATTAATAAAATAGGCTTTACTCAGTGAGTTGTTAGAATACAACTGAAAGAGTTCACAGGCTGAAAATACAACAACAACATTAAGACAGTTCTTGGACTTACACTACCAGTAAGTAACCCTTGAAAATAAAAACTTATATTGGTATGATGAACCTCCTTACCACACATTATATAACTACATTCTATCAATACAATTAAAGTGAGTAGTTCTGAAAGTTTGGTATCAGACTTGAAAACCAGATTTTCTAACAAAAACAGAACCAACAAAACCTAATTCTAAGCCTAGCAAACAAATCAGAAGTCTAGGTTGTTACATGGACTAAAAACTATTCACCACATTTCCTGTTAATAAAAGGGTAATCTAACATATTTATATAGACCAATTCAAAACCAATGCATGCACAGAGACTATGGAGGTGACATTTTATCAATCAAGCACTTGAGGCTGTGCTCTTTGCAATATAATATCGTTGAGGGTTTCAATGCCAAAGCAAATAACAGCTATTCAAATCATTAAATTTGTATGCAAATTTTAAAAGCAAATAGATTTTTCTGAAGTGTACTCGAGATCATATTGAATATGAAGATAAAATGTTGGGGTTGGGGAACTTTGCACAGCTTTACCTTAGTCAGTTTTGTTGCAATACAGGTCTTTTAAAGCCTTTAGCTCATCTATGAGGGCCTTGTTCTGATTCTCCAAAACTGCCACCCTGTTCTCTAAGCATTTGACATATTCTTTCTTTTTTCGTCTACATTCTTTTGCTGCCTCCCTGCAATAGAGAAACATTATCAAACCATTTAGACGACTTTTCACTTAGGGTATATATAAAATCAATTCAACCCCAAAATGTATCTTTTAGTTAATATACTGTAATTAAATAGGTCCTAGATATAAGGTACAGGCCTCCTTTTATGCACACCATCAACAGCAATACTTCCCTGTGCCTTGTTTATTCAAGATGTGTAATTTATAAATTATACTTATCATTAACAATCAACTAAGTTGCAGACTCTGGCTATCGTTCAATGCCTAGTAATTACTAAATTTTTATTCACTTATTATTCTCATGTGATTAATCACTTGTTAACAATTTTATAGTTAAAAACAAGTTTGGCACGTTTGCCTTCAGCATCAAAATAGTTAAGAACAAACAAAAGACTTGTCATAGCACACATACAGTACTTTATGATTTCTTTTTGAAGCATTTCATGACACAACAAATTAGAAGCTTTGCTACAGGTTTCTAGTTCAAAATACCAACCTGTATTGCAACTTCCTTCCGAATGCATAACAAATTGTTTAATTACTCAAAAGAAGTTGAAGGCTAGTTATTTTATAATGAGTTATAATGTAGAAACAAAAAACCTGTCCAGCAAATTACCTGTTCTTTAACAGTCTAAGCTCCCTTTTTCTTGCAGCTTCCTCAGCTAAGGATGAATGTTGTGGGGATGACTGGGAACTTCCTGGTGATCCCATTACCATTGTCTGGGGAATCTGTCCTCTAATGGCATAAGCCTATCACAAAGAAAGATGGATATGATAGCAAACAAACTTAAATTAACGCTTAACATCCTGGAGACAATTAATTACACACAGAAGAAGACTACAATTAAGTCTGAAATCTAATTGACAGTGTGAGAAAGACTAAAACTGGACTTCATTGATTTAGCATCATTAGTAACATGCATGATACTACCCCCATTGCAGGAAGAGAGGACAAAAATACCAGGGAAAAATTGTTTTAAGTATGTGTGCTTGTGATCAATCGATTTTGGATATAATATTCACTGAGTTTACAGCTTAATCACTGTGTATTTTCTTTGTCTAAACCTAAGCAAGGGCTCTGTGCCCAAGCTCACAACAGCAATGTTTAGGATCTAAGAGGACAAAGAGATTACCAGGCAGCCAAATAGACAGGCATTACATTGGCTACCTCAAAATGAATCACTATTCCAAAGGTGCTAAAGAACATAAACAACACAAAGCGTATGCCTAACTTACGATCATCAATATTCATCGTTTTTGCATTAATCTGGTATTATAACTAGGGCATAAAATACCCCGATGTACAGCATCTCAAGAAAATATATGAAACCAAACAACTAGTTTCCAATCAACAGTAATTTAGGGATCATTCATATAACCAAAATCAGGTTTATTGTTAAGAAATTCGCAAAGGCAACAAACTGATTGAGCAGATGAGCTTACAGGGATGAGCTTACATGGGTGACCACCCATTCAACAATATGTTTGATATCATCCAGGGTTTGATGGGGGGGGGGGGGACCAGGGTATTATCTGACCATGATTTCTCAATGGGTGGATTTGCAGGTATGATTTACTGTTTGATTTATAACAATATTATGATGCGAATAAGTTCCTTGTTTTCATTAGCAACTTGAGCTGTCCCTTGCGAAGGAGACCCCTGCTCTTACAATTGGGTCAATAGCCTATGCGAATGATTTGGTTAATGCCATTGCAAGGGCAAGGGCAATTGCTGTGTAAAACCAAAAGACTTGTCAAAAGGTTGAAACTTTCACTTTCTTTCTTCAAAAAGACTCTGAATTAAGAATATTACTTGCCAAGGAAAATCTTACAAAACAATTGCAGATATAAAGACAAAATACACTTTACAGTTTCCACAAAGAGAGCAGCTTGTGTAATAAATTTGTTAAACCATTTATGACAATGTCTTATGGAAAAAAGAAACAAAACAAACTCTCACCTGTCCATTAAACTGAACAACAGTGGCTTGCTGTGACTGCCCATTGGCAGTAGGTATCTGAATAGCTTGCATGCTTTGCATTGGTATACCATCGGTTGATGAAACTTGAACTGATGCAGACCCTCCACTTACTTCACCAACGTCACTGCTGGGAGAATCACCAGTTGCCTCACTTGATCCAGTGTTACTTTCTTCATATGGTTCTACTTTTACAGGTGAATCACTTGACAAATCATTCAAAATTTTTCTATAATGAAAAATACAAACCTTGACTATAACATATACCTCACAATAGACCTCACAACTGCTTATCAAATGATGAAACACCAAACACTTAGTGGCTTAAAAACCAGCTACAGATTTCCATAAAAATGGCTTGTTTTGTAGCTTTTAAGATTTTCAAGTTCATTTCACTTGCAATTCCACTTTTTTAGGTATTTTAAACCAAAATATTAATATTTGCATTGTCCTCTGTTGGTATCCCCATCAATCTCTTGCTTGTTTTAGTTTTGCATTTCCTGGTGAATGTCAATCTTACTTTTTAGATCAAGCCCCAATGGGATCTTATCAAAATGTAAAATGGCATGTTTGGCTGGGGGCTCATTTGAAGGTGGGTCTTATCAAAAACTTTCAGAGTGGACTACTGACTATGTTATTGACAATTAAATTATTTCTTGTTTTTGTAGTCTTTTGTGAGGTTAAGTTTGATTTATGATCATGAGATCAGGGGGCATGTTGTGTGCTTGGAGAGTCAGCCTTTTATTCTTGTTCTCATTTGAGAGTTGTGTGTTGTGACTGGTCGCAAGGTTCTTAATTTCTGTTTTTGCTCCTTGTTTTTGGTCAACATTGTTCAGTATTATCATGGGTTGTTGTTTATGAATGTTGATGTGTGTTTGGGAAGAATTTACGTCATTTAAGTCTATCTAACTTTTCTTAACATGACTGGTTCATTATTTGTGGTGCCAATGGCAACATGACTTTTGTGCACACTATAATTTGCACAACAGTTTCTATGTGGGGAAAGATATTTTTCAACCTGGCCTAGGAAGATAATGGATAGTATAAATCTGTGAGTGGATGTACTATAAAAAATCGATTGTCAGATGGTCTGAACAGAAATGTCACAATATAAGATTATGCAGCCAAACCTTATAATGAAAAATTTCTTCATTTTCTAACAAAATTTATTGTTGTCCAGAGGACAGATTGAAAATGACTGTTACCTTCGCATATGTGTTAAAAACTATTTAAATAAACAAGTGATCTTACCAAGGAAAATATATTAGCTGGGCTTCCATGTTCATAAAAGCAATTTCAGCATCCCACTTAATTTACACAGTGAGCCACAACATTGTGGTATATTCATATTCTAAAAGCACAAGCTGATATGGCAGGAATTTCAATGGCTCAGCTTCTATAGGCCTACTATTAAGTAGTATTTAGACAGTGCTTCTATTGATTTTTATCTGCCTATCGAATTTACCTGTAGGATGGACGGCGGGATAAAATGTCACGTCTCTTTTTGGTCTCATCATCTAACACTCCATCTTGTTGATTGCAATTTTGATCGGGGTTATCATGCATGCTTTGTAGCTGTTGTTGGAGTTGGTTCCCATGAGCAGTCTGGATGACTGAGTGTTGTTGCCCTTGCTGAATTACTGACGAAGAGCTCGAGGATGTCGCTGCCAGAATCGATTGATTTGTCTGATTGCTTATAGATGATGGACTCGGTGTACGTTTGGATGTGGAAATTGCAGGAATCAAATTCACTGCAACTGGCACTGACGTCGTCAAATTTTCCATCCCTAAACGATGACGTAAATTGTATAAGAAAACAGCAAGTGGGTGACCCACAAACGGGGCTGGACGGGAGTGAAAACCAGATATTAAACGATTATGCTGAATTTGATATAGGAAAAAGTTTCTAAACGAAAAAAAAAACAAAAAAGGTTGTCGGGTTATAATAATGGCCAGACAATTCCTAAACTTCGTGTCTGGATACGATAACAAGTCGTCTGTGGTGCGCTGGGGCGGCCTTAAGGAAACCTAGGACCATCCTACACCTAGCTCAAAAAGAACAAGGCCACATACAAGCCTTTTCAGCCAAAACAGTAGTGTAATAATATAAATGAAAAACGAGTCGATAATACCTTAACAGCCTTTAGAAGCCGTTTTTTTGCCGTCATAGATGCTGGACAGTATACAAAGCAACGGTTGCAGATCCAAAACTAGCGAAGAGAACAGTTTGCGACTTGTCTGGCTACCAACAAACGGATCTAGCCCGACATCTATCATGCCAAAGAGTCTAATTAGAAGGAACAATTATTTCACCTTGTACAAAACTGGAAGATAATCTGTTCGTTTGGCAAGAAATGCTACGGAAATTTTGCTAATACTTACGTCACTTTTCTACGTCACTTTGAATTAGAGATTGCGAGTTTTCACAAAACTACCAGATCAGTGCTGTCTGCGACTTGCTACGTCGAAGTGTCGTCATTTCAAACGTCATGCCCAGTCGAGAACAAAAGAACAATCTGCGCAAAGCGTGACGTTATAAATTTTAACCAATTAGGGGCCTTCTATTGTCTTCACACAATCCCAGCGAATGATTGTCCACCCATATTTGTCATGAAACCAGAGAGAGGCAACCAATCAAAGCGCGCCAGAAGAACGCTCCTTCGAAGACTATTAAATTTTGCCAGTCATTGTGAAGGGGAAGCAGTGCTTCCACTACTTGGAGGGATTAATCCTTTTTCGGGATTTTTGGCTGATTGGAAGCAAAAAAGAAGGAGTTCGAAATTGAGAGGAAATTGCTGAAATGCATTTACAAACATTGAAAATTGCCTTGTCAGTCAATAAGAGGGTCAATTACACAAGAAGAGCTTCAAGGTTATGCAAACTTTGGCCCGTAAACTGATTTGGCAAAGTCAAACAGCATCATATTGCTTTAGTTTAGTCGGTTGGTTTTAATCAGCCTTTTGTAGTTATTTTGTACACATACACACCGACTGAAAATAAAGAAATGACAAAGGACTCTCCTTCGTAGAGTTGATAAGACATTGCCAAGAGCTGTTTTTAACTTTTGAATTCAGATCACATAATCTTAAAGATCTATAATTATGCGAAATCTGCTTAATGTGTTAAGAACTGACTGTGATATGATGAGCAGACGTTCTGTCCCCGTCAAATTGCAGTAATTTTGTCAAGGCCGAGCGAGAGGTGTTCGAGGCCCTGGGACCAAAGCAAAAGACGAGGCCCCATGCGAGCGTAATGAGCAGAAAATGTTTGCAACCACGCCTTTTAGAACAGCTAAAATAAGTTTTTTTTCTCATCAATGATTCAACATTTGGCGCTGTTTATATACCGAAAGGCCGCCGGTTCACACATGTTTAGAACAAAACTTGAAAAAGCTAAAATTCATTCATTTCTTTCAAATGTTTTACTTTTTTAAGTTTACCATGTTAAATCTGCCCCCTCTCGGCGGCCCTGATTTTGGTCTCTGCTCTAAATTTGACGAATCCAGGGGGCCTGGGGGCATGGCCCCTCCACTTTTCTGTTGAAAAAAATGATTTTTTTACGCAAAGTTTCCTAATATTCTCTTAGGAACTGTGCTTAGTAATCTTTAAATATGACCTTAGCTAAAGCTTGGTAACTATGTCGTTACTATTTCTATGGCCTTAACTATAGTTTATGCTTTCCAAGTTCTATTTGTTGATGGACAATTAATCAGAAACGTTAAGCCTGGTTCCCACTTGGTCGTTTGGGTCGTTGGAAAATACCCGAACCGCTGAAAAGACTCAGTGGAAACATACCTGCCAACAACCCAAAAGACCCGAAAAACTCAAACGACAGTTGTCGCAGAGATAGAAAAAATTCTATCTCCGCGACCCAAAATACCCACGCATGAATGATTTTTGCAAGTGGAAACCGACAAACGACTCAAACGTCTCAAACGACCCACGCTTTAGTAACTTTTTCTTCAAGAATAGAAGATTTTCTTGTAACCGCGTGTTTGACTAGAACAAGAACAAGATAGCTGAATATTTCACAGCAAGCTTTATGGAAGAAGTTCAAAAATACGAGTGCCATAATAACAATTACTGGAAAGAGTTTAAAAACAAATACAAAAATATCAAATCATGGCAAGCTATTGCACTGAAATTTAGTGATCTAACATCGTCGTCAGTACAAAGTCACCAGAGGTAGAAATAGTTGACTTTGCAACATCAGTTGTTGTTTATCAAATGCTACCATCGTTCCTTCCACGCATGCCGCCAAAATTAAATAAGCGATGCATGGTGCAAGCATTGAACAGCATCAACAACAAACGACTCAAAAGACTCAAACGACCAAGTGGAAACCAATGTGTTCTTTGGGTCGTTCGTGTCTTTCAGGAACGACTCTGACGACTCAAACGACCCAAACGACCAAGTGGGAACCAGGCTTTACAAAAGAGAGAAATCAGCTGTTGAAAGGAAAGAAACTGTGGAAATAAAATTTTGAGAATATGAGAAATGATAGATAGGCAGATCTGTTCTTTGAAAGTATCATCGTGTAAGCTTCTAGTCTTATTGTATCAATGATCCATTCCTACTAAGAAAGAAAAAATCGAGATGTAATTAAAAATCCCATCAAACTCGCTTTGACGAGCCCAGGATGAAAGTGCTCAAATCCAGAGTCGTCAAATGTTTTTTGCTGATATTTCAACGTCAATGTTTTTAAAACCGTGATTCATTTATTTTCTCCTCTATCTCATTTTAGTTCCTTTTCAAATCTGAAAAAGCTTGATTACGAGTTAAATCAAGTTATTCTAAAATTTTGCAAGATCAAGTTCAACATTACAATAAACGAAACTGTGCGACACAGCGATAAAAGAAAGCTTGAAGATATTTCCTCGGATTTTCTTTCAGTCAAAATCCATTTTAAATACAGTTTATGGTCATCCCTTAAATACTATATTTCTAAAATTTTTCTTGCCGCCAACTATGGTGGCGGGCTTTCCTAGACCCTTTCAAAACTTTGATTTTTTGCCCCTCCACTTTCAAATACGTTTCGCCGGCCCTGGAATCATGCCAAAACAGCAGAAATCTGTAGAAAAAGAAAACCTTAATATCGTGCATTGGTCATATCTAGCCCAATTTGTAACATACTGTACTGATTTTGCATGTTTAGAGGTAATTTGTGGTGTTCTTTAAGGATAAGTGTTCCAAAGTTGAAGCTCCAAAAACATTTTTTGTCAATGTCACATTGAGAACTCTATTGTCGCTACCCTAATGTTTCACTCTCCAATCCTAAATGTTTCAAAAGTTTCAAAAAGTGCAAAATGAGGCGTCTCTCATGAGCCACTGCGATGGAACAAAATCCTCAAAGTGCTTGGGAACAAAGGCCCTTCTTCGTTGCTGCTGACCTCAGGGCATTTGATTGTTTTTACTGATTTAAGAAAATCAGCAACTGTTTTCACGTATTTAACCTCCGTCATATGATGTAATGTTTTCAAAATATTGCAATTTGGCATCATTTGCAGTAATTTTAACCCTTGATTCCATTGTGTCCTTACCCGTGGGTAGGGAAACTTATATGACAAATTTAGTAACATGTAGTTTTAGCTCTATATATTCTGTAGGAAGTAAGAGGAGCAAAAAATCTCAAGAATGAATGATTCACTAACCATTTTAATTACTCATCGTTCTCGACGTAAATTAAATGGGAATAAATCGCTGAATTTGAGTTAATTTCCGCGGGGAAAGTGCGCAAATTGCCCTTTTCTAGAATCGGGTCGTCCCACATGTATACCGTTAACAGGCTGTCAATATCAAATTACCTGAGCAATTCGCAATGATATAGAATTCGCAATTACTTTGTCTACGAGGCCTTGCCCTAGCTAGCATATTTGCTTCATCGCAGTTATGTAGCACGAGTCACACTATGTTGTATGCGTTTTCCCCTCCTTTCCTTGTTCCCGTTTCTTCTTCTGCCTTATCCCGTCACATACTTCTTTCTGCCTTACCTCTTCTCACACAAACATTCGATTGTGTGACAGGTGTATCAGTCTGGTTGGCTGGACAAAAAACTAAGGCAGTTTTTCCCTGAATCAAACACCGACCATAAATTGCGTTATTGCTCGAGCAAGACAAGGGCTGATGCACCAAAGCCCAAAATGTTTTTCATGAGATTAGGGTTTCGTTTAGCATAACTAAGAGGTCCCCGCGTAGAAATTATTTCAATCAAATGTAATTACTTATCTTACATATCTAGTTCATCCAAGGCAGACAGTGTAGTCAATTTTCCACTAGGCATTTTACTGTGTGAACAATTTACATCCATATGGCTCTGAAGAGCAACGTGTTCAGACATGATAGCATTGAAACATCCTTGAAGACTCTTGGAAGCTCTTCATAAGCCCTTTATAAAAAGAGAACTGAATTTTCTTTAAATATCACCTTATTCAATACAAAAATAGAAAAACAAATAACTGTAGTGTTGTTAAATACAGTTAACCAAGAATTTGTTCTGAGCTGTTACAGGGCCTTATAGTAATGCAGAAAAAGATCAATGAACAAAGACCAAATAGATGGTGAAAGGCATCTTTAAACAAAAGTTTATACAAAAAGGAATGTTATAACAGTTCATACTGAGAAAATGCATAAACATGCTTTAATAAATAGAAAAGACCTTTTTACAAAATGATACAAAAATGTTAAAGATAAAAATCAACTTTTGTTTATAATTGTGTATGACAAATATGAATGGATTTGAGGTCTTAAATTAAACACTAAATTCTAGGAAAAGCAATGCAGGTAATATTAAACTATCATAATTTTAAATCAACATTAACATATAAACACATTTCACAAAAAATCAGTTGAAATTAGTTAAGTCTGGTAACAGAATACCAGATGAAATGAAGTCAGGAGTTTACAAATTCATTTCACAAAAAATCAGTTGAAATTAGTTAAGTCTGGTAACAGAATACCAGATGAAATGAAGTCAGGAGTTTACAAATTCCATTTTGAATAGAAAAGGAGGCTAAGAATTGGCACTTTCATAGGGGATGGGATATTTTCTTATCCTCTGGGACTAAATTGGAACAACAGAGAGAGATATAAACTTTTCAAGTTAAAACAACTGACAGACAAAACAGCCATGGAACATTAAAACTATAGAAGTAAATAATTGCTAATGAGTTAGAATAATGAATGACCAGGAGGTGACAGGAAGTAGTTGACTGATTGTAGCAAACACATTGTTTTCTACCACAGCTGTACCATAATTACTGCTGATTGCTGAAGTTTCTTCATGACGCTGGGTAGGGTAAACCCTGTAAATTCCTTTGATAACAAGTACTAATAAAATTCACTTTGGATTTTTATGTGAAGTGAT